ATATTAAGAATTAATTAATACTTTTATCAAAACTAGAAGGACTAATATATAATACTTCAGGTTTCAGTCTTCCGGGTGCAACAAATTCAAAGGCCTCAAATGCAGGCTTTAATTGATTAAATTATAAATTAGTCCCTTTAGTTTGGAAAAGTAAAGTAGTTAGTCTTTCTTGTTTTGAAAACTAATTATTTAGTCATTTTTTTCAATTTTTTGTTATTTTTCAATTTGTTTTCCTTTTAAAAAAATTAGAAAAAATAAAAAAAATAAATTTACATCATGAAAAGATTGATGGAAAAAAAAGTAAAATAAACTATATTACATTAAACATAATGAATACTGATAAAAAAATTAAATAGTCAATTTTTGAAACAATAAAATTAATTAATTCATTTATCAAAACTAAAGAAACTAATGATAATTTACTCTCTCACCAAATTGTAGCCTTTGAATTTGATTGCATGCAATTAGACAACAAAAGAAAAATATATATCCTTTCCCAAGTTAAAATATCATATAATTTTCAACTGCATTCATGTCATCATAAAATTATTAGAGATCAACTCTGAACATTGAAATCTTTCTCAAGTCTCAATTTATTTTAAACTTCTTATTTTCTTAACAAATCACATAAAACATTCTAAATATTTTTTTTGTTTGAAAAGTAGAGAATCCATGAAGGTAATTCTCAATTCAAATTCACTTTATAATTTTTTTTACGATATTAATCTATTATAAATGTTATTAACTATTTTTTCGGTAATAAATTCAACTAATGTTATATGATATTAAACTATTTGAAATGTTATTACTTGTTTGCATGCTTAATTAATAAAATTGTTAAAAACATACGAATTAAAATGAATTTATTAATAGTTACTAATGTATTCATGGTATCGGTCACCACAATCATTATTTTATGACTGCGATCGTTTTTTCAACCGCGATCGCTATTTAAAACTATGGTCCAACCAAGTTTTTATTTAGCATTTGCTTGCTGAAAGAGGAAAAGTGATCAGAACTTGTAGAAGCTATGTAATTTATTTCTTCTGATAGGATGGAATTGGCACTCCTGACTCTTCTGCAAGCTTTTTGTAAGAACTTTGCAACTTTCGAGTCACAGGCCCCACTCGTCCATCGCCAACTTCACGTCCGTCAATCTCCACAGCCTGTTAAAGGATATTCGTAAAATAGGTGCTCATTGTCAAAAAACAAGAGAGTTATGGTATATTAGTTCTTGAATTTGTCAGAGTGACGCTCCATGAAGGTGCCAAGTTCAATATCACTCAGTTTAGTTCGACCAGCATAGTATTCTGTTTATCTAACGAATCAGCTTGAGACTTTTCACGGGAGCCAAGCTAAACATACACGAATCGCGGCCAAGCCTACTAATAAAAACCCTTACAGTGGTGAACCTAGTTTGGACAACGTGAACTTCAAAGTGTAACCGTAACTATCGCTGCTTAACTACTTACTACGATTTGAAAGCAACAGTGGTGCAGTTTGGTTTTTTAAGGGCAGAGTATGAACATTAAAGGAGGAGACTCCAGAGAATTATTTGCATAGCTAAGACAAACTACATAGTACGCAAACTGACACAAGATTCAGCAACTTGCGGATAAGGAAATAATGAAAATGGGACGGTTTAAAATGGCCCACTTCCATGGAGGTCTGTCTATGGGCACTGGGCAGGTTGGAAAAGACACACAACTAGATTGACAGACTAGCCATTGTATTCAAAAATGATCGCAGTAAACGAAAACTTTTGCAGTTATAACGATAATAGAACCATCCTTAATGGTAGGCACTTCATTCTTAAACTCATTGGCTGATGTTCAGATTGGGAGGACAGCATTGAAATCAAAGTTGCCACCACCTACAGGACCTCAAAATCACCTATGGAAGACTCTAGATATGAAACATGATGTTGCTGTGGACAGAGACTCTGACCCAAGATGGTCCATAATGTACCCTTAGCATACTAGCATAGTTGGAGAAGTTATATTTTTAAAAAGAATATACTCACCGGGCTAAGCTCTCCCATTGTTCCAGTCGTAAATACCTGCAGAGCATCAATTTTCTTAGTGACTCATGAGTTTGTTCAAGTAAAATAAAACAAATTGAAAACCAGAAGACAATTGTTCACAAACAAAATATATGAATTCATTGCTTTAAGTAGTGGGATGTTTCATTCGAAATAGGTCAACCGAATTTAATTTCTACTTTAGAAATATGTTGTCTAGCGGTCTAGCCAATCAAATAATGAGACTAAGCTCATGTCTTTGTAGGTAATCATCATGGTCCACAACACTGGCTGCATGATTTTAAACACAGACCACTGATGATAGAAAACTACTAGAGGACATAACTTAAGCCAATTGCTAGATTCATAAGAGATAATTCTGCACAGGTATCATAATATAGTATCAATTTTGGGAGGTAGTATAGCATGTTGCCTCGCCGAAATAGCTTTGATTAATAGAAAACGAATTATTTCTCGAGTGCAGAAGATGTAAATGCCGCTTTGGGTTCTAATGAAAAATGTCATCTACAAACTGTTATCGTGCTGTAAATACTTCACTATTTCGTTGGCACAAAGAATTAGATATGAATTTCCAAAGAACTTCTTGATGAAACTCCGGAAAGTAACTATGGATACCTCATCTGCAGTGTGGAACTCTGATAAGCTGATTCTTCTCTCCACTAAGACCAAACCCTCTTTCACCACTAAATCCATAACCTGCAGCATCCAAAAAGGATAAGTAAAGTCTCTGAAAAAAACGGAAAAAATTTGTCAAAATTATAAGAATGAAGGTTGAGGTTAAAATATCCATCAATTAATCATTTCTCACCATCCCTACATCAAAAAAACTTAATGCAATATGTTTTGTCATCTTTTTTTTCAAGGAAGATGGAAGTAGGTAGAGTTTTGTACTGGTCAGAAAGTCTGAATAAATCAATTTACAATTGAAAAGGAAGTCAGTGTCACTTACAGTAGCTCGGGTGATACCAGGAAGGCAATAATCAGCATGAGGTGTCAGAACTCTGCCTTTTTTCACTAAAAACTGCGAAAGTGCAAATGATTAGTAGTTATCACTCATCTGGGTAGGGGTGAGAGATGTTTTTACAAATGCTACACATAGGGAACTGCCATGATTGCCCAGGAGTAATGTCCAACAATACAGTGATGATTACTTAATCATGGCAAGAGCTTGGTCTATCTGTAATCCCTTTTTGTTTTTTGGAGGGGGTCTCAAGTTTATTGCAAAATCAATGTCCGTGACTGGTCACAATGACATTTTTTATGTCTATACGATAATATGTTTAACCAATTGATACGAATTATGAATCTGACTTAACGAGTGCCATCTCACTACAATCTCAATGGCCCATCCATGTGGCTTTTTGAGAAGCACCTAAAGCTTCTACGTGTAATGTAGCTCTGACATCAGAAACTGTAACAAAGCCAGAGGCTTACAATGTTTGTAGCATTTGTTTCCGACACAAAACCATCCTTGTCAAGCATGATTGCATCATCAGCATTTGCATTATTCCCTTCAATCTGCACCATGCAAATGAAAACAGTTTTATTTCAGTAGGAAAATATAACTATGACCGATGTATGCTCAGCTACCTTGGCTTTTCTTAGTCTAACTACCTATTGTAGGTAGTCCAGCATGCAATGTGAATAAAAGTTAAAACTGCATATTTGATGCCACTCAACAGGGTTTGTTATTTCAGGAATAAAACGCCTCTACAGCTCTACTAGTAAAGATATAAATTCAAAAACTTCCCAGACCTGCATGGTGAGTGAGTATGTATACAAATGAAAATTTGAAAAAAAGAAAAGAAGGAAAGGAAATATAAAAACAAGGGATTCAAATATATATAACTAGCAATCAGGACAATACCTTTGCCAGTATGTTATTCAGGAGGTTGTTGTGGTGAATTTTCGAATCCAAATTCTGGTGAAGAATAGAAAACCATCAAAGCAACAAAAAGTAAGATACATAAACCTAAAAACCCTCTAAGATCATCACACACACAAATGTCGCTACCCCATACGAATAATGCTAAGTAAGTTTTAGTGGTTCCTGACAGAATTAAATTTTGAGTTCAAGATAAGGGAAGTTTAATAAATTGTTCAAAAACATTTGGCAAGAGCAAACTAAGATAAATGATTTCTTAGACAAACCAGTTTGATGAGTATGTACTAAGAGTATTCGAAATTTCAGAATGAAGACATAGAAAGGCCATTCAGAGTTTTATTTTCAGTTATTGAACAGTACTAACTGCAGCATTAACAAGTAAGAAGCCCAAAATCTTACATTTGGTGAATTACGCCGTGTGGTAGCAGTCACCAGAGTTATACCATGTGTATTATCATATACCGGGGGTTTCCATTCTGGAAGCACTGCGATTCAAACAAAAATCATGTGGATCAAAAGAAAGTCTGTGATGAAAGTAAATTCTATAGACTATCAAAGATATCAAAAGGAAAGAATCATCCCAATTTAATACAAGCCTAGGTATTGCAATCTAGATTCTAAAATTAGTAACTCTGGTGCAGTGCAAATTAACATGCATGTGTCAATAATACAAACAACTTTTACAAAGCAGTGTCACGCTTAAATAGCATTGAAGACTAGCAATTAAACTTACCAATTAGGGTGCATCCATAGAGGTTAAATGCTGGGCTCATCCCAGAACTAACCTGAAAAGAAAACAATATGCTAAAACATTGAAGAAATTGCAGCACTGACAATTTTTCTTGTTAGAAGATAGACTGATTTAATTAAAGACATAGAAAATGCAAATGATTGGAACTTAAACCTTCTTTCCTCGTGTGAGGGATAGTCGAATATGTGAATTATCAAACATTCCATTCCTTGTTAATGTTCTGAAGATGGCTTCCTTAACCTGCAATTTAATGCCAACCATTAGAAATGTTGAATTGATTAGCCCTTTTACAAGAGAACAAGCAACTTCCATTTGATTCATCTTTAAGCCCTTACTTCTTCACGAGTTGGAACATTCTTGAAAGCAAGAGCCTTTGCTGAGTCAAACAACCTAATGAAAAGGAAAAAATCCAGCTCAGTTTTTATGGATGGAAAAGTTCTCTCTCAACCATGAATAAGATCATCATCCTTAATGAAATGATTTAGAAGGGTTAACCTCTTATGATTTGTTCATCAATGTGGCTTTGGAGAAAAAATGAAACAATTGGTTCCAACCATCAACTACAAGTAGAGGAAGTAAATGTTTAAACAAATGGTAGCACTAGCCACCCAAGACGAAAACGTGGGGAAGAAACCATCGGGTATGTAGATCAAAAAAGCAAACAAAAAAGCACGAAAAATAAAGATGAAACGAAATCATCTATCTGTGACTAGTTTAAGACCTTACTAGTTGTATTCCATTTTGTAGAAAAATATGGAAAAAGAGAATAATAGTTGTATTTGCCATATTGGACTCAAAGTGTTACGACCTACATATATAGTAAATAGATTAGCCTATTTAGGAAGTATTAGCTGTACAAAGAGACAAAATTCCCTAACTTAGGTAACATACAAACTTTCTATATTTACACCATAAATTACTCTATTCTTAATTATTTCCTTTCAATACTCCCCCTCAAGCTGGCTTGTAAATGTCTTCCATTCCATGGCCAGCTTGCTTACAAGATAATCAAACCGAGGTTTAGGTAATCCTTTGGTGAGAATATCAGCTACCTATTAATCTGTAGGTATGTAAGGAACACATATTAAACCATTCTCAAGTTTTTCTTTGATAAAATGTCTATCAACTTCAACATGCTTCGTCCTATCATGAAGAACTCGGATTCCGAGCAATTGAAATCGCAACTTTATTGTCACAATACACTTTCATAGGAAGTAAAATTGAGAGTTGCAAATCTTCTAGCAATCTATTAATCCATATTATCTCAAATGCCATGTGCCATAGATCTAAATTCAACCTCGACACTACTCCGTGCTATAACACTTTGCTTTTTACTTCGCCAAGTGACTAAATTTTCACCAACAAAAGTGCAATAACCCGATGTTGATCGTCGGTCAGCCATGCTTCCCGCCCAATCAGCATCGGTGTAAACTTCTATCCGAACATTATCACTTTTTCTAAACATCGACCCTTTTCCGAGTGTCCCTTTAAGATACCGTAGTATTCCGTATGCGGAATCAAAGTGTTCTTTGCTGGAGCATGCATAAATTGACTTACCATGCTCACGACAAATGCAATATCAGGACAAATGTGTGATAAGTAAATAAGCTTACCAACTAGACGCTGAAATTTTTCTCTTTCAATCACATTTTCGACGATAGCTGGGCTCGGCTTTAAATTAGCTTCAATTGGAGTCTCAATTGCTTTACATCCCAAAAGGCCAATTTCATTAAGTAAATCAAGAATATATTTTCTTTGATTTACAAATATACCTTCTTTTGATCTTGTAAACTCCATACCTAGAAAGTATTTCAACACTCCTACGTCTTTAATTTCAAACTCCTTAGCCAATCTTTTCTTTAGCGTTAATAATTCATCAAGATCATCACTCGTCAAAATCATATCATCAACATATACAATTAAAATTACAATCTTGCCCTTATCGGAATGTTTATAGAACATAGTATGATCAGCTTGACTTTGGCGATATCCATAGCCCTTTATTGCGTTCCCAAAACGTTTAAACCACTCTCCGGGAGACTCGTTTAAGACTACATAAAGACTTTTTAAGTTTGCACACTTTATTTTGGCCAATAGTACTTTCAAAACCTAGAGAAGGGCACATGAATACTTCTTCTTCCAAGTCACCATTCAAAAAAGCATTCTTTACGTCTAGTTGTTGTAGAGGCCAGTTAAAATTGGCTACAAGAGACAATAACACACAAATGGAGTTAATTTTTGCTATCGGAGCAAACGTTTCTTGGTAATCAATACCATAAGTTTGAGTAAACCCCTTAGCAACAAGTCTTGCTTTGTATCTTTCTACACTTACATCCGCATTGTGTTTTATAATAAAACCCATTTACACCCCACTATTTTCCGATCTTTTGGTAATTCCATAGTCTCCCACGTCCCATTCTTCTTTAATGCATCAATCTCCTCAAAAGCTGCTAATTTTCACTTTGGATCATCAAGTGCTTCCTGAATCTTTCTTAGGATAAACAAGTTAGAAATTTTTGATATAAATGCCTTATGTTTGTAAGAGAGCCTATCATATGACGGATACTTTGCAATGGGATGATTAGTACAAGAACAAGTTCCTTTTCCTAATGGCTATAGGTATATCCAGATCATTAGATTCTGTTTCAATAGAAGTATTAGGAATAGGAGGAGAATCAATAGAAGGAGATGAAAGTTGAGGAGAATCAACATTACTTGAACCTAAATTCGAAAGCATTAGATTGGCTTGGTGGTGCTTCGGTTATAGATGATTCTCTACCTTTTGAATGAATTTTCTTCCTTGTATAAACAATAACCTCGAGCTTATATTCCTTAAAATTATTTGGTAACGTTTCTCCCTTTGTCAAAGATTCCTCAATACTTGACGTAATAGGATTAGGAGGTATGACTTTGGGTAAAATATGTTGAATCCCAACTATTTTCTTCATTTAGTTTCTCCCCCGAAGAAAATTATTTCGAAAATAGGGTTGATTTTCAAGAAACACAACATCCATTGTAACAACAATTTTGCAAGTTAATGGATGAAAACATTTATATCCTTTCTTATTTGCTGCATAACCAACAAAAACATATTTTTCAGCTCGAGGATCAAGTTTCGACCGATCATTCGAGGGATAAAAACATAAGCTATGCAACCAAAAACTTTAAGAGGTAAGTGTGAAAAAATCCCGACTATTAGGAAAAAATGTTTGAAACACTCTAAGGGTGTAATGTAATTTAAAACACCGGTAGGCATCCTGTTAATTAAATATGATGCAGTTAAAATAGCTTCACCCCGAGATATTTAGGAATATGCATAGAAAACATTAGTGCATGGGCAACTTCTAGTAAATGTCGATTTTTTCTTTAAGCAATGTCATTTTGTTGTAGTGTATCAACATAGTTAGATTGATGTTGACTACCCTTTTCTTTGAAGAAGCTACCAAAAGTATTATTAAAATATTCGAGTGCCATTATCAATATGCAAAATTCTAACTTTTGTATGAAATTGTGTTACAACCATTACAAAAAAACTTTGAAATAAAGTTTGAACTTCAGATTTATTATTTATTAAATATACCCAACATAATCGAGTACGATCATCAATAAACGTCACAAACCATCTTTTTTCAAAACAAGTTTGAATTCTTGAAGGCCCCCAAACATCACCATGAATTAGGTAAAAAGGTCGAGAAGGCTGATATGGTTTTGAATAATAGATATTTTTGTGATCTTTTGATAAAATGCAATGTTCGCAATAAAAATTGAAACTATCTATTCCATGAAATAAAGCGGCAAACAATTTCTTAAGATATGAAAAGCTAGGATATCCTAATTTATAGTGCCAAAGCATTATTTCATCCTTAATAGGAGTAGAACCGACACTACTAAACCCACGAGGCATTTTATTTTTGGAATCTTCATCTTAAAAGTAGTAGGGACCATCTATCATCCTAGCACCGCCAATCTTCCTCCCCAAATTCGGTCCTGGAAAACACAATGGGAATCAAAGAAAGTAATACAACATTTTAGAATCTTTAGTTATTTTACTAACAAATAGAAGATTGCGAGGCAAGTTTAGGAACATAAAGAACATATTTAAGAGATAAGGTTTTTGATAATTTGACCAAACCTTTGCTCGCAATAGAAGAATAAGATCTATCTGCTATACGAATTTTTTCTTATCCAAAACAAGGATTATATGTATGAAATAGATTGGAAAAACTAGCCATATGGTCGGATGCTTCGAATCTATTATCCAAGAAGCGGATTGCAAAAGAGAATAACAAACCAAGGCATTTAAATCACTACTTGTTTGTGCAAGAGAAGCATTAGGAGTACTCGATAATGCAGCATTAGATTTTAGCGAGCTTGAGAATATGATCTATTTGCGAAGACCGAATGGGACGGCTTCGGCTTCATGTGTAGTGGGAATACTCATTCGGCTAGTTTGCTTGGTTAAACTTCCCCTTATGCTTTCCTTTCCAATTAGCTGGTTTACCATGAAGTTTTCAACATGTTTCAAGGGTGTGTCTTGGCTTATTACAATGATCACACCATACACGAGTCTTCTCACGGTTGCTAGCATCGACTTCACCGATAGCCAAAGCGGAATTCCCAAGAATGCTACTTGAAGTCTTCTTGCCAAGCATGACAAGTCTACGACTCTCTTCACGACGAACTTCGGAAAAAACTTCACCAATAGAGGGAAGGGGTTGTCTACCAATTATCCTTCCTCTAACTTCATCAAATTCAACATTCAAACCAATGAAAAACTTAAAGATCCAGTCATCTTCAATCTTCTTTTTATAGTAGTTGTAATCATCGGAAGATTTCCACTCATGAGTATTGAATAAATCTAAATCCTGCCATAAGTGTTTCGGTGAATTGAAGTATTTGGTAACACTTGTCTTCGCCTTGACGGATATCTTCAAGTTTTAACATCATTTCATAGACTTGGGACTGATTTCCTAAATCTGAATACATAAGATTGACATTGTCCCAAAGCTCCTTAGCTGTGTGATAACACATATAGTTGGAGCTGATATCTTCCTCCATAGAGTTTACTAACCATGTCATTACCATAGAGTTTTCGGCATCTCATGTGGGGTATGTCCGATCATCCACGGCAGATTCTTTCTTATCTCCGGTAATGTAGCCAATTTTCCCTCTACCTCGAATATACATGCACACGGATTGGGACCAGCGTAGGAAATTATCTCCATTCAACCGAATAGTAGTTATTTGGATTGAATGAGATTCGAAGGAAACCAAGGCTGGAGTTGTTTTTTCCGAATGGCTGAAGTAGATGAGGAAGGATTAGTGGTCGTGGAGTCGATTCAATTTCAGACATGGTGGAGTTGTGGTTGCTTACTTGCGGCTAGGTTGGATGAGGAGGCTGTATATAGGTTGAACAGCCATGGTTTTTTTAGGTTTGCTCGATACCATGTAGAAAAATATGGAAGAAGAGAATAATAATTGTATTTGTTGTATTGGACTCAAAGTATTACAGCCCACATATATAGTAAATAGACTAGCCTATTTAGGAAGTATTAGCTATACAAAGAGACAGAATTCCCTAACTTAGGTAACATACAAACTTTCTATATTTATACCATAAATTACTCTATTCTTAATTATTTCCTTTCAACACATTTCAATAACAGTACGCCTAAAGCAGATTTCTTAAATTTCAGTTCACTGTTCATCTTTGAGCACAATGCTTCAGCATTTTGGTGATATAGAAACATCATTAATCTATCAACTAGAATAATCTGACAAACCAGAAGTTAAGTTAGCCCTGAATAGATAATAAGTGAACGTTTTTCCCCTGCATAAAAACACTATGCAATCCCAAAGCCCATGTTGGCCAAAGTTTTGGTTTTTTTAACTACCTGTCTAAATGCTCTTCCAGTTTAAAAATCTTCCCTCTATAAACTCGAAGTCCCTCCCACACTGAATCACCGCCTTGGACAACCGAGTCAAACACAGAAACCTGATACAAGTGACCGGATACATTCTGAAACTGTAACTCAAAGAACAATGGTACCAAACTTGTTCTATAATCAAGTACCTTGGCACTTTCACGGGGTAGAATCTCATCACCAACCCATGCAAGCAGCTTCTCATTTGCAGGGACGGGAAGATCAGGTGCAGGTAAGGGGGTCTTCAAAAGGGTTGACGTCTGTCTCGCATGGCGTCTGAGCCAGTTGTACAAAGGTAAACTTTGCTCCAGCAAGTCATAGTGAGATAGTGGAAATGGCTGGAAAGTTCATGAAAAAGGAATAAACAATAAAAAGATGGTTTTACATGAGAGATTTTTAACATTACGAAAATCCTTAAAATTATCAACCAATCTATCAGCCCTTGGGAAATGTTTTGTCTTCCTTCTTTCCGCCAAAACAAATCAATCAGGCATTCTGAACACAAAGTAAGTCTAAATGGATGCAAGACCTATGCAGGTACAAAGTCAATGTGGAAGGTATCTTTTGTTTATGGGAGCCAGAATGCATAAATACAGAATTTATGGATTACAAGCCTTCACCTTCAATGAAGAATTTTACTCCAAAGTTTCACTGAAACAGCAGTAGGTGCACGGTATTTGTGCTTGCGTTGAAATATAAATTCACAGAGCACATACCTCAGGATACTTTCTCGTTGATGTGAAACCTGTAGATTTATGTACACTTCTGTACCACCATGGAGCCCACAGTCCATCAATTGGTTTCGGACCAGCTTCCCATCTGTCAATGAATGAAAACTTGTCATGATCACAATCAAAAATATACTTTCTACAGAAAAGAATAAATCATCACTCATACACCTGGTGGATGGATACATTCATCAAGTTCAAATATATCTCCAAAAATGCTAATGATAAATAATAAGTTGTGAACAACGTAAGTTAAAATTTCAGGAATTGGAGCAATAAACTTTATTTCGGATGCTAAGGTCAATCTTTCTATTCCAATACCAATGATGCCCTTTGTGTGAACAAAAGAAGTTTTTATCATGAACAATCAAGAGAAAAGAGAATAAAATAACTTTCAGATGAAAATATTCCTGCGAACCTGAGCATTGCATCTTGAAAAGGAATATCCAAGTCTTCACAAAGACCACGCAAAGTAGCCTGCACATTCATAAGGTGAGTAGATAAAATCATGTGAAGTCCAAATAAACAATGACCACAGAGTAAGTGCAAAAAGAGCCTGTATAAGAGAAGTTATAGAAAGTAACCGGAAATGGAAATCAGCAAGTCATACTATTAACTGATTTCCAAGCAAATATAAATCGAATCAATATTAGTTGATCGAATAGAAAATCTCTTATTCATGCAAGTTAGTTTAATCAATAAAGTCACTTAAAAGTATTCTTGGGAGATAAGGGATCAAATCCTCTCACATCCAGGGTGGAAGGAGGAGTAAAGAGATAGGAGAGATCTACCAACTGTTTAAGCATAATTTTTATGAGAGAAGTTTTCACAATCATAGTACTATGAAAAGAATTCAGAAATTACTGTCAGAAGTCCACAAAAAGTAAAAAGTCATGGAAAGTATCTCTTTATTTCATGCACAGAATATTTCAGAGTAAATCATGCATAACTAGCAGAAGCAGATTCTCTAACCTCAGGATTTTGTTGAAGGTCTGTCGAATCAATAACAGGTGGGCGCCTTCCCAGCTGACAGAGGTCATTGTATATGGAGACTAGGTCTGCCAAACCTAAATCATGAAAGGATGGAGGAATAACCTTTCCAAAAGATGGCTGATAACACACAGAAGATAGAAGATAGTAAACAACAAGTAATGAGATCAGGAACACAAAGCCAGAAGATAGCAAAAGAGGGGTTCCTGGGTTTAGGCAGGTCAATATTTTTAAGAACTATGAACTAGTGGAATGAATGCAACAAGCAAACAAATTTAATGAATTTTCTTGTCTAATTAACTATATAACACAAATGAATGCTGGAAAATGCAAACCATCTTACCAATATATCAAGGGGATTACGAATCAATATAAAGTGCTTTCCTTTCTTCATTAGATCACCGGGCAAACCAGGTAGCCGTTCCTTTGATATATGCTGTAGACATCGATATGAAAACAATTTGATGTAAAACCAACAACACAAAGTTAAATTAATTAACCTGCAATTTAAATTTGCTTCAGCAGATGACTAAATTAACCCAAAATGTATCCTTATAGTAAATGCAGTAGATAAAAACTAAAAATGACCCTTCCTTTCTACAGAAAAACCCTATCGGCAACAGGTCAGGGGAATCCTTAGCCATTCATTTTTAGGAATTGATCAGCTAATTTCTAATAGGTTTCCCTTCTATCCTTAACAGCATATTCTTTTGACTAAAGCAACCTAAAATATACAATCTGGAACCTTCTGTCCATTGAATCCCAGTCCATCTATTTATGAACTAACCACAAAGAAATTGATTGATACAATTCCAACAGTCCTCAATCATAACAACATATACAGAGTTTAAAGGCGAAGCAACAGTTAACTGCTGGTTACTGCTGGCAAAGGAACAGCAAGGCATCAGTTTGTTTTGACAATGGCAGGGCGCTCTTACTGTATCTACTAGATTAAAATCATGGCAATCATTTGCTAAGGCTTCGTCTCATCTTGCATTTGTCCATTTTCGTGAATTTGGAAAAATGTGATTGGAATAGACTAATGTTCTAAATAGAAGGCATATGCTAAATTTTTTTTTATTTTATTATTATTTTAAGGGGGAGACGCAAGGTGCAGAAACCAAATATATGATAAGGAGAACCAAATTCAAGCACAACAATCATGCCATTGATAGAAGAGCTTGTCGATTACCTTACAAAACCGGTACTTCTTTTCTCCTGGACCATAAATTATCTCGTTTACAACCTTATGTCCATCAGATTCCTATTTTCAGCGAGAAAACCAAAACTTTAATGACAAGAAAAAGAAAATAATTCGAAAAAGATACCAAAAGCACAGAAGATTATGCAAACCATAAAAGAGAGAGAAAAAAAAAGGGGGTGAGCAAATAAGATGTCAGATGCTAATTTATCAAGTTTTCAATGGGAAAGAATATGATTATGCCCAACAGAAAACATAAAGTCATTTCCAGGTTCTCCAATGAGAAGAACCCACAACCCTTCAAAAGTTTTAATGCCAGAAGCACAAAACTTCCACCTTGACCCTCCACAACTCATTTTTGGTTTTAGATGAAACGAATTTAAAATTGATATGCAAAAGAGGAAAAAAAATAAAAACTACCAGTTCCTCTGGCCCACAGAACATAACACGTTAACTAACTTATCCTAAAGAAGAGAGCTAAGTTCATGTTCTATTTCTGCTTCTTATCAAGAAAAGTTAGTCCTGACTCCTGCCAAACACACTCATAGGAAGGTTAATCTATATAAAGTCTTCTCTATGCAAGTAGCTATTCTCCAACTTGATCAAATTCACTTAATTTAAACTCAAAATATTTATTGATAAGTAAGACGAAAATACTCTACTTGTAAATATAACTTGTACTACGAGAACCATTGGAGAAACTTGTCAGAAAATGCAAGTCAAGCAACAAAATTTTCAATATGAAAGGAACAGAAGGAGAAGAAAAAGGACAACAATACCACATTTAGCTTACCCCTTTGGACAGAAGCTCCTCTCTGTATGGTCTTTCAACACCGGTTACCTTTAGGAAAGTCGCATAGAGAGGTTCATCAAGCACTTCCATGTCATCCCTCTAATTACAGCACAGACAAAAAGCAGATTTTATTAGTACACAATCAATTTAAGACAGGTTCAAATGTCAATAGCTAATGTGTTTATAAATTCTATCAAGGCCATGTACTATCTGAAGTCAGAGACATGGGAAGTACGTTTCATAGGCTTGCAAGAAACCAAAAATCCTTTCAACTCAACTCCTCCATTTAGCATAAATAGAAACGGTGCCAAAAAAAAAAAGGAAAAAAGTAATTTTATAGACTGAATAAATGCATAAGGAACTGAAATCCTGATCACTTTGCAAGCATGTTGCTCATACTGAATCGGTGACCTCAGACTACAACTTAAACTACTGATCACCCATTGCCAACTAAAACCAACCAAAGCAAACCCCCAACGAAATCGATCACGAATATGTTACCAGAATATAAGCAAAACCCAGACGTCAAAAAGGAAAAGAATTCCACTAGACTCACAATTTGATCAAGTACACGCAGAAGAAAATCCCAAATTTCACTTTCTTGATGAAAATTGAAATCATATTAAAACCCAAAGAGCCATAAAGACAGCGACGCTAAAGGCTCAGAAAAAGATTACAACCATGCCAATAATTCTTCCCGCCTTACTAAGGCCTGTTTTGCTAAGCTGACAGCAACATGATTCCCTTCCCTATTGACATGAATAACACTAACAGATCCAATCTTCTTGGTAAGACTAGCAATACAATTAAAAGCATTCTGAAATTTCCATGGCCTATTACAAGGCTAATACCACAGCCAGCTCACAGCATTCCCCGAATCCGACGCTATGATCCACTCAACTTGGTTAACAAGAGGACAGTTCCCAGTAATCTCAAGAGCTTGCTAAATGGCTAAAACCTTAACCCCATTTGACTCTTTAATGCCTGTTAGAGCTAAGCAGCAGCAAATTTGGCCTATCATCTACTCCATTCTTTCCCTTATCCTTTCCAAAACCAATCAAGAACTAAAGCAAGAAAACCAAAGACAGTTGTTTGAACTGATAATTCAGTATAAAAGACAGTTTTACAAATGATTACTTATCATTTATAAATAATTACTCATTTGATTGTAAAAGATTAATAGTGAAATAATTTATAACTAATTATTAACTATAATTATCAACCAAACAATTAATTAAAATTAATCATAAATTATTGATTTAATTATAAATAAATAATATTAAAAAAATTATATATTTATTAATAATTAATTAGTTTCAAATTTTTCACAAATGATTACAGTTTTGTAATAATTATTTTCAATAATTTAAGTATAATTTAATTAATGTTTGAAATAATAATAAAAAATTAAAAATAAATTATAAAAATATTTATTATAAAAATAATTTTAAAGTATAAAAATAGCTTTTAAAAATATTTAATGTATTTATAAATCGAAAAATCAAATATTAATAGAAATAGAAAAAATAATTAAATAATTCATAACAATTGATAAAAAATTATTTGATATATTTTAAATAAAAAATAAAAAAATTATTAAAATATATCAAGAGAAAAGTTAATAATACGATAGCGAGACAGATCGTGAAAAAGAACGAAATATTTTTCTCTTTCTTAGCTTAAAAAGCATTCTCAAAAATATTTTATCATTTCCTGTTTGTTGTTGTCTTCTTTTTTTTTTTTTTTTGAACACAAAACAAACACCAAAAAAAATAAGAAAAACAAATTTATAGAACTTAGTAAACTTCTAAGAGGAAAGTTAGAAACCTGAACAAAAGAGTACATGAGACTGGTACTAAGAGACCTTGGAGCCGACCATGAGTGAATCACCTCTACTTCTCCCTCTCCTTGCTCTTGTCGCACCATGTTTTGAATGATTCTTGCCAACTTTCTTGAGTGTGTCTTAATGGATCGATGGAGTTCTTGAGGGAGAGCTAAAAGTACACGTTGAGTTGGAATTGATGGTGGGTGTTCCAATGCATGGACGAAAAAATTAGCTGTGTCAGTACATGTCAGAAAAGATGTTGACGTGTAATGAAGTAGAGCACTAACTTTTTCTGAAACTGATGAGGTTCATGCGTGACCTTTTGTTGTTTTCTCTCACTGTCACATGAATTCCTTGTCAACAATTTTTTATGTAAAATCACTCAATCATAGTCCTCTGACCAGATCTATTTCCTAGTATATTAATGAGAAAAATTATTTCGTGCCGCCTCTTTTTAAAATTTCAATCTTCCTATATCTATGAAAAATTGTTTTTCAAAAAATAAAATAAAACCCGCTGACATAGCAAGAAATATTAAGTTTTAATCCAAGATAATATCACGGAAAACAAACATCACACACTGTGATACAGTATTATCCAAGCTCAACATAAAAATCGTTTTAAATCTTCAACTAGACATTTACAAAGTTGAATTTTAATTTCTATTATTTCATTTTCTTATTACCGGATGCATCTTATAGCTTTTTGAAATTGCGACCCTAAAGACAAGACGTCGAGGATAATATTCTTCTGCTTTGCACCTATGTTTCATCAGTGATCATCTCTATCTTTTTCCGGTCTAAATTATATAGCAGTGAAGAAAAATCAGATAATAAAATAGTCGTGCGAGTTATGATCTGATTCTATTCTTTCCGGCGAACAACCACAATTTTGTTTTCATTTTTAATCGGGAAACAGAAATGATGTGATCTACGAACCATTAGGCACATGTTGCAAGTGCAAATTTCAGTCTCCACCAACCAACATTTTCAATTTAAACAGCACAAAAATTCGTCCAACTGCATGAATTTCTGCACACGCCCATTCTGAGAGAGGAATAGAGAGAATATAAATAAAGACAATCCACATCCAGATCCAAAATTGAATAGAACTCGTAATGCTGAAATATTATGCCAAGTAGCAGTAAACAATTCAGCTAACAAGCTAAATGTGAATCATTACATAATACAGAATCTCATAAATTATAATGCAGCTGTAATAAGTTACAGCAGATAATTCAGCTGGCAAATTAATCGGCTCTTTCAACGTGTTCGTTGAAATGGGGGGAAAAAATGTAGATAATGCAAGAGAGACTGTTGGCAAAAAGAAATGAACAAAAAGGAAGAGAAGAATGTTGTTATTTGCATTTTACAGTAAATAAGCGTATGCTTGATCGGTTGTAAGACTGCATATATGGAAGCAAATTTAAGGGCACTAGCGTTTCAGTTATGTCTGTGATTGCAAGGTTAGCTTGTTCTGCTAGTTTAAGAAAACAATTGAAAGTGTCAATATTGCGAATAACAGAGGCAATATAAGCCATGGGACCTTCCCTGGATCTGGCAACTGAAGGACCACCATGAAGTTCCTCAACTTGATAAGGATCAATTATGTTGCCATTTTGAATGGTATCACACTCAGATCCAGCTAAATGATGGGCCCAGGTAGATTTCCCTTCGGCAGCACAATCGGTTTTTACATCAATGTGTTCAGCATCTTGTAATGGGAACTCACAACTTTCTTTCCGAGCCTGAGAATATGCTTTCATTGGACTCAAAAGAATGGCAAGCACTCGGACAAGGTGTGGAAGGCATGATGGATCATAAATAATATCCGCACCCAAACTGTAGCCGAATAATTTAGGAAAAGGGCAATGGATCAGATAGGGACTCAATAAAACAAATGACTGACAAAAGCATTTGCATCAAGAATTATTTGCTAAATTCCCTCCTTTAATGGTAGAAAACTCAGGCAATTAACCACAGACAATGGAGAAAACAAAAAAATAAATATATAAATTAGAAGATAAGAAAAGTACTCACACAATGTCATGCATGAATTCTTGAAGCTCACTTTCTGTGGCAGATTCCCATGGCAGATGAAAGCATTTCAGCTTAGATCTATTGTTCATTTCAGATTTCACCTGCTGAATAATCATTTCTTCCCATTATTGCAGGGTTTTGACTTCTTAAAATTTTCAAACAGTTCAAAGAATCATTTAACAGATTTTGGAAAGAGAATTCCACACACTGACATGCATTGAATTTAACATCCATAAGCACAAATAAAGTGAAGTAAAATAACAACCTTCAAGATTATGCCAGCAGATTTCCCAGATCTTAATGGCTATTTGAGGCACATATCTTTACGTAAAGAATGCTAACAACAAAAATTTATTAAGCAGCACATCGATTAGATTTTTCGTTTACTGAGATTTCATATCAAGAAAAAAAAGTTAGGAATACAGAGTTGTCACAGAAACACTTGCTGGATGAATCAGTCTCTGGAACCAATTGGGCATTTCTTAGCTATTTCTTTGTTTTATGATTATGGAATTCAACATCTTTACATTGAGAGAGAAACTAAAAATAGAACACCTAAAACAGTTACAGCTAATTCAAGCAATTGGTTGTCAGGAAAGAAAGATGGTGACCGAAAATAAAAGGTCAACAACTTGAACTTACCATATTCAGATCTTCACCAAATCTTTCTGGTACATCAGTTTCAGCACTCAACTGGTTTAACTCCAAATTAACCTTCATGTTAGCTAAAGTTGACAGATCACCATCACTTAATGTAACCTGCATCAAATGCACGTATTGCAAGTAGTGAGTTGTCCAGAACAGACAAGAATCAATAATATCAGGCACCTGCCACCAAAAATAATTCAGCTGCGCATAATACTTAAGTCCACTTCAATCATTCTCAATCAGAACACAAGATAACAAGAATCTATCAAGAAGAAACCAATTTGCTCTGTGTACCGAATGTGTTGAGTATTATAAACCTCAAGATGTGCCACATCGATTGCATTGTTAGGGCTATGAGACATGATGGGTGTAAAATACTGCAATAAATGCATTTCATATTTTTAATGTTTCTTTATGAAAGTTATTCGTGATCATGGACTTCCAAACATGTTCTTTCATATCCACATTTAAGGCGGAAACATTAGGAGAGAATGTAATTTATTGAATGACACCAATAATAGAAGCACACTTCTCTAAAATTGTTGACATGAGATTGAAACTGCATACCTGGGAAGCGTTTACATGAGAGAGACAAATTCCAACCAAACCAACACCAGAACCAACCTGCACTCAGTTTTGGGCAAAGCCCAAAATTCATTAAGACAAAAAAAAATACTATTGTAGACCATAAGAAGGGAGGAAAGAAAACATCTGAGCCCAAAATAGTGCACTTTGAGATATCAAATAATTGGAAAGGAGGTAAAATCAGGCCAGAGTAAAAAAAAAAAATACCTAAAAAATACCCTAAAAATGTAATGTTTGTGCCGAAACATTAATCAAACTATCAGCTCATATGGCAATGGTAGGAACCAACAACAAGCAGAACGGATATATATGAATACACCAACTTTAACCACATTCCATGATTCAAATATGAGAAACTTATAACTGAACTAGTTACCTCAAAACATGATTTATTGGAGAATATGTCTCGAAAAGAAAGTACAAACTCCGACAAATATAGGCTTGAGGGCCAAACAGAACACCTGCATTAATGACACCAGTAAGACTTATCTGCACGTATTTATGTGTTTCTTAGACATGACTTTCACAAACATGCACAGAAGGGAAGAGGGAGGATTCTGTTACAACCATGATACATGCAATTAATAGAGTTTATCAGAAAAAAGGGTGTATGCATACACATAGACATACACACATATATGCAAATAAAAAGAGTGCTCCTATTGAATCACACATCAACATTGCTCTCCACAAACATTGAAATATAGATGATTTCAAGTATGCGGCCACAATGAATATGTGCTTCAGAGACAAAATTCAAGAAAAAGAATAAAATATGAAACATACCCAGTGTCTCCTTCAAGCATGTTGAGTGAACAATGAAGTGGAACCACCAGATTGCTTGACTTTGGACAACTTGGAAGCGCACAACCTACAAATACCATATCATCAGTAAAACAAGACTCTATGCAAATAACTGCAAACATCAAAGCACCGACATCAGAAGCCAAATAATTATTACCATCAGGAAAAAGAAAAGAAATACATTTGCAGACCCTTGCACTTCCTTTAACCAGACCATCATCCTACAAAAAACGAAAATCATACCAGCCATAACTCAATTAACCAATCATGTAATTAAAGATAACAACCTCCATAACACAATTTGCTCTTTATGCATAATTCTTTATTACCTTCAATGAACTCATGTAAAAACCGCATTGTTCATATAACTCATCCAACACGGTCCTCGACTCAACTTCAAAAATAAGCTTCTTCACAAATTTCTTCAAGTAAGGACCATACCCTTTTTCACCCTGGCATTAATGACACAACTGAACCGATCTTTATAACAAAGAAACAAACCTTGAAGTCACCAATAAGAAAAAATTTACAGACTTGAACAAAAGTTGCAACCTTTTCTAAATAAAGGGCACATAATTAGTACTTACAGCTTTGCTGCTTATACAATGTTCCCAAATAAACCTCTGCACTCCCTCTGAGACCAATCCTCCACCGCATTCTCTATCATTTCAATCATAAAAAAACAAACTCATTAGCCCTAATCTCTTAAACATGCAAGAAGAGCAAACAAATGAATAAAATTTGAGAAAATGCTATAAGGAACTGGTAAATGCTGAAGTGCGCCTGTTACCTTGACAGGGAGAGTAAGGAGTCGGTCGGCTCCATGGAGAGGAAGGCGGAGAGCAGGTGGAGACCAGGGGGGATGGTGGGGTCGAGATATTGTTCTGCCATGGCTGGGACGGAAGTTCTCAGGGTTTGGAGCTTCTGGGGTTTTAGGAGTTGAAGTTATAAATGGTAGATGATTTGTTGGTGCACGACGTCGTTTAGTTGGAAAAAGAACGGATCCATGGCCCAATGGGTGCTATTGACATTCTGGTAATAATTGAAAAAATACAGCATAGAATACTGTATTTAATAATTGAAATAACCAAAGAAAATAAATAAATAAATAAAAATAATTGAAATAATCAAGTTTTGTTGTTAGGGTGAACAATAGTTGGTATAAATTGAAAAACCAAACCAAATTAAATCGAAGTATCAATTTCAATTAATTTTAACTTAAAATTAAAATAAATAAAAAAGAAGAACTGAAATTTTATTTTAGTTTTTTATTTCTATTTGATTTTTGAAATTTTCCATTCAATTATTACTGAATACTGAAAACCAAACCAATTTGAATTGAAATATTAATTTTGATTCAATTTTAACTTACAATTAAAATAAATAAAAAGACAAACCGAAAATTTTATTTTGGTTTTCTATTTCTATTTGATTTTTGAAATTTTCTGTTCAATTATTACCAAAAACTGAATTATTATTTTTTTAAGAACGCATTTGAATTTTTTATTACTATTTGAAATTTGTTAGCTTGGTTTACAATATCTTTGAACAATTAATGAGTTTTCGTTGTTATATATTTTAGATATAAATTAATGGGCTTGTATTTAAATTTTGATATCTTATTTATGAATATAATTTTATGTTTTAGTCTTATTTAAACAAATATTTATTATTTTTTATATAAGCAATTTAGACAATTGGATTGAAGGTAGGACTACATAGTCCATAATACAATTTTCTTGTTCTATTTACATCATTTGGAAAACAAATATTGGAAAAAAATCTAACTTTACAAAAAAACCAAATTTGAAAACTAAAATTTTTAATTTTAAAAACCAAAAAATTGCATAGCAATTTGATTCGGATTTTTTTTTTAATGAGTTCTGTTAACTGAAAATCGAATTAAATATTATGAATCGAAACCAAAAAATCATATATTATTCAACCCTACTTGTAGCATTCCACTGAGCCATCCGAATATGTATATATATTTTTTAAAAAAATATGAGCAATCCAGTTGCACCTGATAATATATTGTTTCGAGTTAGGTGGAGAGGCGCCCAAGTTCCGTGAGAAGAGAAGAGCACCATGCCATCTAACATAGTCTCGTGCAAAATAGGATCTCGTTGAGATTCACTGAAAGCAGGTGGGCTCACTGAAAACGATAGGATATCAATTGTCAAATCGTGGTTCCTGAAGGGTGCCATCTTTGGAGCGAGACTTGTTATCATTAGAAGGAAAGACGTCAAGTTGGGCTACTGGCTCGATAGTCTCTTGACATACGCTATTAGTGTTAAATTGACATATCAGATGCTGACTGCTCAGCAGGTGTTAGATGTTTACACTTTCAAAAAATTATAATCTTGTTATTAATAAATAATTTTTTCATCAAGAAAGATAATATAAATTACAAGTGGGAAAATAATTTATCAAATAAGATATACAGTGCATCACCTAGGATTAAAATTTTAAAATTTTAGAAATTAAAATGAAATAATTTAAAAATTTTAAAAAACTTAAGGAAAAAACTAAGAGTGAAAATTACAAAAAAAACAAAATAATGTAAAAATAAATTAAAAAAAAAAAAGAAAAAAGGAAAGATTGAAAATAAAAAAAGGGGAAAAAAAACTAATCCGGAGTAGCAGTATAATGTGAAGAAAAAAAAAACCATTACTCTTCAAATGAATAGTATGTGGGGGAGTTAACTATCATTGACTGTTCATTTTGAACAGTGAACTCCTCATAAGTTTTAGTTTATTAGTAATATAAAAAATGAAAATGCATAACTTTTGTTTAATTGAGATGAGAAACAGATATCCGAAACTTTGTTTTTATTTAATGACAAATGTAAATATATGAAAAATTTGAAAGCGTCTTATTTCATGTGTTTTTGGAGTTTGTAAAATTTTACGATTTTACATTGCCATCTATAATCTGGTTTTTCAGATCCTAAAACAAACCTAAGAAAGAATTTCCTCGTTTTAATTCAGAAGATTCAATAAATGGCTATTCAATTAATATCGGTTTTTCAAGAATGAATCAAAAAATAATTATAAAAAGGTGCAATACAAATTTATTTCTGGATGAAAATGCATTTCATTGACATCCTAATGTGCATCCGCTCTTTTATTTCATATGTAAGAGGTCCTTCATCTTTTTTTTTTTTGGTCTTGGTATCAATCTTGTAAATATTTTTTGTTATCTCAGACCCTCCTGTAAATTGGAGGACTAAGGGACTGTTTCGTTCGTTTTACAATTTAGAGGAATTAATTTGTAATTTACTCGTCCATCAGTCTGTTGTTCTATTTTTTATTTAATAGTAACGGATATAAAATTTTTCCTAGTGAAGCTCGTTTTTACTCCAATCACGCAAGCCACGTTTGCTGCTTATCGGATCAGTTCCTCTATAAAACCCTTACTGCGAGGTTACAGTTTTTTAACGCTTCTCATTCCCGCCAATTCAAAAACCATACAAATTCTGTGACTCTCATTTTCTCTCCTCTCCGTTTGGTTCTCTAGAAACCGCAGAAAATTTTCTCAGTCTTCGAATCTTAAAAACCTTCAAGTTTTTACTCACACGAAAACGTAAATCGAGATTTTAGGTAGAGACGGGAGCGCGACTTTCATTTCTCAAAAAAGATCGAATCATTTCAGATTTTCTTTCAATTTTCTATTGTTTTCTCGCCTACCAAACAGAATGCCAGAAACTATTTATTAAGCACAAGTTTTGAAAAAAAAAAAATTCATCTATTTTCTTTTTTAACTTTTTTAAACAGAGTATCAAATGCTTCTCTTTCAAGCACATAATATTTTCTTTAGAATCAAATAAATTTCTCTGATTTTTCCTTCATTTTCTCAGGAAATAAACAAAATTGTTACAGTTTAAAAGGTTTCGAGCTTCAAAATTCGAAATCTAAAAATAATTTGTCTAAAAAAGAAGAAGCTAAATTAGTATATATTATATAATGCATATTTTATAGCACTTGATTTTTCTTTTATTTATTTATTAATTTTTTTGATAGAGTGATTTCTCCGTTTAATTTGTTTCGCAGGAGATAAAGTGATGTCGAATATAACAGTATGCGCTCGCTTCAGGCCGTTGAGTTCAAAAGAGAGAAAAGACAACAGCGACAGCGTTTGCATTCGCAGTAAAGACACCGAAACTTTCATTTTCAAGGTCTCCATTTTTTGTCAAATTTTATACACATTTTCTCTATACACACATACGCACACGCATGTCGAATTGATTGTTGTTGTGGCTTGTGTTGATTTTTTGATAGGATGAGAAAGAAGAGGAGAGTACATTTAGCTTTGATAGAGTGTTTTACGAGGAATCTGTGCAAGCTGATGTGTACGAGTTTTTAGCTCTGCCTATTGTTCGAGGTATGAAACAAATTAAGCCTTTCTGGATTTATTTTATTATCTCGTGTGGAATTAATAAGTTATCGTGTTTTCTTTTTTAATGATTACTGTTTTTATGAGATGGCTTTATTTTGTATGAAGCAGATGCTGTTATGGGAGTAAATGGAACAATCATTACTTATGGACAGGTAACATTTGGTTGAGTAAAATGTTGATTTATGTTTGTGTATATTCATGCTTCCATGTATTCAATACCGAAACGCATGATCGACAACTGACGAGGAATATATAAGCCTTTCTATACATGAAGGTAGTTTTGTGTATGCAATTGATTTGAGTTGAGCCGTATTGAGAGGTGATTATGCTGGTAAGCGTAGGGATGGCAATGGACTGGACTAATCTAGGCTTGGTGCTTCAAACATCATTGCAATGTGCTGTAAAGTATTGGCATAAAAGACCTTGAACACCTATACTTTATAGAATAAATTTAATTAGCCAGTTTAGGCTATTTTCTGTTTGAAGTTATTGAAACAGAAAAGATTTTACGCATTTAGATGACAAAGAAACAGATATGATTCCATGTATTTCCTTATTCACAGGGCAGGCGTATCCATAAGATTACACTGTTTGTCATAATCTCTGTGCTAGATTTATGATGTCTTTATAATTCTGTCTTGAACTAATGCATTTTTTTGTGCATTTATTAACAGACTGGAGCGGGGAAGACATATTGCATGGAGGTACTGCGAAGCTCTTGTAAATTTAATCTGGAAGTGATGTATATATGGATCAGAAACCTCAAGAAAAGTAATGTTTAACATTTGAAATCAGGGACCTTGCATTCTAGAATGTGATGAGCAAAAGAAAGGATTACTTCCAAGAGTAGTGGATGGACTATTCGAGTGTATTAGCTATGCTGATGAGTCAACAAAGTACACAATCAAATTATCAATGGTATTGATGCACAATATCCCGTTGCATTGTGACAATTGTTTGCATTGGTATGATAAGCACTCACACTAAACATGTTCTGTGTTTTTATGACTCCCCTAGGTAGAGGTCTACATGGAGAAAGTCAGGTATGCGCCCCTTCCTCAAAATTATGATTCACGTCTACATATTTTGGGTTGCTCATTCCCTATCCCAAAACAGAAAATTTACATTCTGCACAACTTTCTAAGATTTCTAATACATGCAGCTTGACTGCTGGACGTTACTTCCCTTGTTCTTCTCAGGGACCTACTTGATTTAACAAAGGACAACATACAGATTAAGGAGAACAAAGTGCAAGAAATATTGCTATCAGGAGTTACAGAGGTAAAATTAAGTTTTTCAGTCCTCGCTCTGTCATTTATTTGTTTAAGTAAATTTCATTTTTGCTTTATCCTTACTTGCATATCCTTAAATGAAAAGTAGCATGGCCGCTCTTTGTTTAGATCTGAACATTAAGCGAGACAACCAAAAGAATGTCTTGCCAAAGATAGCAGTGATTTAATCTGGAACCTCATTGCTCTTTTTTTAAACTTTATATGAATTTAGAGCTACTTCTGAGAAACCTTGTATGGAAAATTAAGCGTTATCTCATGACAGTTCGAACTAAGTGATCTATCAAATTGTAACTTCAGTATTCATGGTTTGGTTTCATTGCTTCTCTTCTCCATGTTACTTGTGTGTTTATTTGCAACTTCATTTTAATTTTCCTTTCCTAGATCACTGTATCAGACCCGGAAGAAGCTTTGCAAAGCCTATCTGTAAGACACAAAGTTGCTTGATTACTCTATGTTCACTGTCCAGTAATAGTCCACCTTCTGATCTACAGCTTGGAATTGCAGGGTGGGATAGTTAATAGAGCAGTTGGAGAAACTCGTATCCTTTTCCTTTTGCCTATATTTGAATTTATGCATTTTTTGATTATGCTTTACTTATAAAAGTATTCAATAACTGCACTCCATTTGCCTCTTTTTTCTTGGTGAATGTTGTGATCATAATTCTCCTGATTCTTTTGGGGCACTTAGCATAGACAGAAATGAATATGGCCAGCAGTAGAAGTCATGGTATTTACATATTGACTGTTCTGCTAGAGTCGACTGCAGATAAGAGGTATTACCATTTTTCGTATCTATGATCAATGCTTAAGGTGAGTTAGTCTTTTAAGATTTCACTACTGTTGACAGGGTGAAAACTGGGAAAGTAATTCTCGTGGACTTGGCGGGGTCTGAAAAGGTAGAGAAAACTGGAGCCGAAGGAAAAGTTTTTGAAGAAGCTAAGACTATCAACAAATCCCTATCAGCTCTAGGAAATGTAATAAGTGCTCTGACATGTAGTCCATCAGCCAAACCAAGCCATGTTCCTTTTCGTGATTCAAAACTTACCCGGATTCTACAAGATGCTCTTGTTAGTTTCTCGACACTGAATCCATCTTACAATAAAGCATCTCCGATTTTTATTGACTGACTTCTGACTCTCATCATATAGGGAGGGAGCTCAAGGACAGCATTGCTGTGTTGTTGCTCCCCAAGCCCTTCAAATGCATCAGAAACTCTCTCTACCCTTCGCTTTGGTACAAGGTATGGAAGTCCAAAGTTTATTCTGTGTCACCATATGGAAAACGATGAAACCATAAGAGGTGAATAGAAGGATAACAAGTTATGAGCACTTAGATTAGACAATTCTCTCAAAGATTACAACACCATTGATTAGTTGAAATGGTAACCACATTTGGAAACTATTTATGCAATAATAACTGAATAATCTGTCTATGGACTGGGTAACTGCATCCTTTTGAGGTACTTCCATCACTTGATTTTCATTTTGGATTTTACATTGTTGGCAGGGCAAAGCATATAAGGGCATCACCTTTAGTCAGCCGCAGAGAAGATAAACATGCCAAAAAGCATGGAGAAATCACCCCAACTAAAGATGAGTCATGTGACCGAATTCTAAACAAGGTAAGGAGTAAAATGTGACATGACAGAATTTTAAATGATGGGAAAAATAAGCAATGACATTTTAATTTTAGGTTCTAAGATAGTTTCCATTTGTAGTTGAGGGAGAGACTGGATGATGAAGATGTGAATTTACTTGAGGAGTTATTCATACTGGAGGGATTATTCGTTGACCTTACTTCAGTAGAAGATCTGGAAACAGCCTATCAAGATGTCACTTCGCAAACAATTTCCTCATTACAACAAGCAGTAGAAGAGCTCATATTCACTGTCGAGGAGGTAAAAATAATTGAGAATTTTGTCGGGACAATTTTGCTGGACAATAACTGGTCAGCACTTTTTCCTGTGCTTTCTGGCCACCTAAACAACATTTTCTAAAACACAGTAAAACTTAAGAAAGTAAAATAGTTAGTTGGTGTATAATGTGATTTATTTTGCACTTCGACTGCAAGAAAGTATACCATTTTTGTCTCTGCAAGCAGTTCATGACTGCAGTTTGGGGACTAGATCATATTTAGAATGGACCCTTGTGCTGAAGAAATTTGGTCCGAGTCCAAGTAGTGATCGGTCGTTCGCCCTATACATTGCTCCAAAACAATATGACTTCATGTGCATTTAATCTTTTCAGATAATAAGACCGAGTCTTGCAGTTTTCTCTCACACATAATATTGTCACATAATATTTAAGTGTTGATAATACTACATTGCAGCTTAAGAGCGAGAATAAGGCTCTTAAGACCAGACTGGCAGCTGCTGAAAGGTTCGATGCAATGAGCAAGGAGACGGAAGATAATGCTGGTGTTCTGTTAAAGATTTCAGGATTTATCAGCTTCTTATTTTCATGGGCTGGGTCGTTTTACCCTCTCAAGAGGCTGAGTTGAAACCAGATGGCTAATTCAAGGCGCTGGCTAGTGCAATATTAAGGGTAGGTATGCCACTCTAGCATGCGAAACTTGTACAATGTAGTTTCTGATTCTGTTAAATACGGTAATGTGCGCACATAAGAATTTTAGCTTTCTGTTGTATGGCATCCTCTTAGTCGTAGAAAAGGACGGCATCAAAGAAACCCTGTGCTGTAAAAATACAGAAGTTCTTATCCATCCAAATGTATGATGGATTAGCCACAATCTCTGAGTCTGTTCTCTAGTTTGTTAGTCACTGATGGAAATATTTTTTTTGCTCTGCATGTTTTTTTTTTTTTTTTTGGCGTTTTGTTTTTTTCCCTTTATTTTTTTTTATTTTATGTACTATTTTATGAAAATGATTTTTAAATCATTTTTTATTTGGAGGAAAAAAAATTGCTTTTTTAGGTTCTATAATAACACATGTCAATCATTGATGGGTGGTTTTTAACAGTAATGCATCATGTTAAATAGAAAATAGATCAGGTCATAACAAAGAATTTAAAATAAAAGATTTTGAAAAATAAAGAGTTTCAATAAAAAATATTAGAAAGAGTGCAATTTCTAAAAATGAGAAAAATCTTTCCTAAATTCGAACTGGGGTTTTCTAATTTAACTGCATATCGTGATGCATGAGGTCCCAGACTCTGATCTCATCTTTTTCTGTTCAATATTCCACAGAAATGATCTGTGACTCGAATCCGTGCCTATTGCCAACATGGTGGGCCCAATTGATTGGGAATGATTAGTGCTCTATATCCACGGAACCTGGCGTGATTCTGATCAGGACTTCGGAGTTTGTGTTGGATAAAAAGTTGCCAGTTCCTGAAAGGAAAAGGAACGGCAGTGATCACCGAACAATTAACAGTCGCCACTACTTATCTGTGTAATAAGTCTATACAGATCTATGAGATTAATTTGGACTCTTGAGTCTTGAGTGATGTTTGTAATGATACTAGTCGTGGCCTTATGCGTGCACACAAGAAAATATTGGAGTAAAATAGTTAGGATAGGAAACAACACTTCAAAGTATGCTATGAAATCGAGAAAAAGAAGTAGAGGAAAAAAAGCTTTGCTTTTGGGAGAATGGGGCACTTATGTTGCCTTTCCACAACTCAAAGCAAGCATTCATAATGTCCATAAAAGCACCAAACTTCTCTTATCATTACATATCTTCTTAAGACTTTTAGGATTGGAAGTTACCAACTTGATCATGGCTAGCAGAAAACTTACTCTTCGAATTCTCACCCTATTATTCATCCTATCATCTGTTGCAAATTCAATTGATTTCAATTACCCGTCAGTGTTCAATTTTGGTGATTCAAACTCTGACACAGGTGACCTTGCTGCTGGCCTAGGCTTCCTCCTTGCTCCTCCTAATGGACAAATTTACTTCAAGACTCCCACAGGAAGGTTCTGTGATGGCCGTCTCGTCGTTGATTTTCTAAGTAAACTTCCTATTCTCTAACCTTGCCAAAAATTGCCATTTTTAGGCACGCAAAATGATTTGTTTACACATTACAATAGATAGTCTAGTCGTGGTTTATTGCTATGCTATATTCAGTTTCATGCCCTCTAGGGAAAATTAATGTTTAGTATTGAGGAAGTGTGACGCAATCACACGACCAAACAAAAAGAAAAAAAATTATTTTCTTTTCTTGTGTCCCTTTCATAGAAGTTCGAGGAATCTTGAATTGTACACAATGCCCCACCACAAATGGTTGGTAGCTAATATTTAAAGTGAAAGCTACATATTTTTAGGCTTTTTCTTTCATCAGCGAACACATGCCCTCATCTTCTGTAGCCTAGCCTCCCAATGGCAGCCAAAAACTGTACCCTCCATTTTATCACCTTAATCTCCATCTTCTTGCCACTAACACAATCCATACAGTTCAATTTTCCTGCTGTTTTTAACTTTGGTGATTCAAATTCTGACACTGGCAACCTTGTTGGGGCTGGCATTGAAAGCATTAGACCACCTTATGGGGAAATTCACTTCCATATAGCATCTGGGAGATACTGTGACGGCCGTCTCATTATTGATTTCCTCAGTAAATCTCCCTCAACCATTAAAAATTTCCATGCTTTTTAGTTTATAATCATGTCAGCTCTGTTTTTATGCTCTGTATTATCCTTCTTTCAGGAAGAGAAGCTTTTTTTTTTTTTTACTCCGTTTCCTCTGTTCTTTTTTCTGTTTTCTTGCTCTGTATTCCCTTGTTTCCTCTGTTTTTGTGATGACAAGGTGTCCATTTTCTTGTTGATATATGGTATGATTGCTCCTTTTGTGTTCATTACCTATCTTTTTTTATGAATTTTTAGGAGCTAATTGATGTTAAGTACAAGAATTGATAGAAAATAGCAATGCTGTTAGAAGTACAAGAATCCGAAATCTTTTTTTTCAGTGTTTTTTTTCTTTTTCAATGTTCACATACTCTATTTCCTCTGTTTTCAAGCAGAAAGTATTGCACAATTTTATTTTCTTTTATTCATTTGGATTTTGATTTTCAGTGGATGCAATGGAGCTTCCCTTCCTAAATGCATATTTGGATTCAGTTGGGGTACCGAATTTTCAAAAAGGATGCAACTTTGCAGCTGCAGGATCAACTATACTTCCAGCAACTGCAACATCAGTTAGCCCATTTTCCTTTGGGGTTCAAGTGAATCAGTTTTTACGATTCAAAGCTCGGGTTCTTGAATTGCTGGCCAAAGGTATGTATGTACACGGTCCACTCTCATGTAAGCCATGTTTTAGGAGAAATTGATTGACAGTGATGAGAATTCAGTTTGTTGAAATCTAGAGAGATTCTAAGCTGAAGTTTATGTCTGAAGTATTGTAAGAAGTGTAACAACTTTTCATAGATTTTTCATGTTTTAAACTCTGCAACAGGTAAGAAATTTGATAAATACATCCCAGCAGAAGATTATTTTGGGAAGGCGCTATACATGTTTGATATAGGCCAGAATGATCTCGCTGGTGCATTTTATTCAAAAACATTTGATCAAATAGTTGCATCAATCCCCAACATTTTGGCCGATTTCGAAACTGGAGTCAAGGTTAGATCCTAGTTCTATCCTTTCCTTTTCTTTTGATTTTTTTTTTTTTCACACTAGCCTGTCTTGGAAGGAACTTGAAATCTACTTCACTGATTAATTGTTTTCTTGTTCTAGAAACTATATGACCAAGGAGGTAGGAATTTTTGGATCCACAACACCGGTCCTCTTGGGTGCTTGCCTCAAAATGTTGCGAAATTCGGAACTGATTTATCAAAGCTGGATGAGCTCGGATGTGTAAGTGGGCATAATCAAGCAGCTAAACTTTTAAATTTGCAGCTTCATGCTCTCACTAAAAAGCTGCAAGGCCAGTATGCGGATTCAAATATCACATATGTTGATATCTACACAATAAAATCCAACCTCATTGCTAATTATTCTCGATATGGTCAGTATGCCTTAGTTCCTTTATGATGGGAATTTTTAAGTTTTTTAGATTATCATCTTCTTCTTATCAAAAGAAATGGAAAAGGATAAGGGAAGAAAAGATACTTGATTCTGAGTGAATATGAATTTGCAGGATTTGAGCAACCCATAATGGCATGCTGTGGCTATGGAGGACCACCGCTTAACTATGACAGCAGGGTTTCTTGTGGGCAAACTAAAGTTTTGAATGGGACCAGCGTCACAGCCAAAGCATGCAAAGATACTACTGAGTATGTGAGTTGGGATGGAATTCATTATTCAGAGGCAGCAAATCAGCATATTTCCTCACAAATACTCACCGGAAAATTTTCAGATCCACCATTCTCTGATAAAATGCCTTTCCTTCTCAGTCTTAAGTTCTGAGGTGCTAATTTGCTTGTTATACTGTAATTAATCTATTCATTCTATTTCATTTTGTTGACAGCTAAAGATTGAATGCAAGCTGCTAATAATTTTATTAAGTTCTGACTAGTGCTCATTGATATGATTCTTAACTATAAAAGCTTGATGTTGCAGACTGCAACAACAAACCCTATTTTCTCGTAGGGTTCATCTTAGAATGGTACCGGGACAATGATATGATACTGTGAGCATAAGATGAAACCATGGTTCTGATAATACACAATTTCATGAGCATAAACCAAAAATTTGTACTTATCCTCTGGTACCAAGGTTCTCGTCGAGAACATTATGAACATTTGTACAACTATGAGCCAGCAGGTTTTGTCAAAACCTGGAGGAAATAATTTGAGAAACAAGTCTGACAGCACAGTTATGACCTATTTCTTTGAAACATAAGCATAGTACTGTGCCATAGGAACAACGAAAGCCACCACCAACAGACCTCCAACCACTAGAGTGAATTGCCCCCTCTTCTCTTCTGTCTCTTCCTTGCTTTTGAAGTTGGATTCTCGTTTATTTTCTTTAGCCTTTGGACCACCAGGATCTGGAAGCCCATCAATAGCAGCCACCAACCTCTTGGCGCTGCTATAAATTGCTTCATTGTACTTTTCTTCTGTCGCCAAGACTGCAATTGAAATCCACATAGCATCAGCTTCACTGTTCTATCTCAACCAAGGCAGTTCTTACGATCATGATTTAAATGAAAATTGGACAAGAAATCTTCTGGGTATAGCCTTAGATTGATGACATTTCAGAATTTAACTGGATTTCGAGATTCCAGGGATCTTTTTTGGATCACCTCCACAATTCCTCACCATCTAATAATATATGTTATGGTACTACACAGTAATCTTGCAATGTATATGATCCCTCATTCCATAAGAAAATACGGGAAAGATAACCACCAGCTTGAAAATTGAAAAGCAAGTTCATAGTTACCAGGAAGGTTCTCAGAGACAGTGGAATCAAGAACAGTTTCTCCAACTGCTTGGATAAATGCAGGACCCCCTGTAATTGCCCCTTCCTTTTGGCTGGTTACAAGCACAACAATTCCCTTATTGTTGCCTTCTTCAACAGTGGGATACCATTTCTCCAGGACTTGGTCAGCATACTCGAAAGCATCAGCTTTGCTCTGCAACCAAACAAATTCTGTAATCACTACCAATAATGTAAGAAAACATTAGATAATAATACTAATGAATAAAAATCCAAGCATTTAAATTCGAACTCCATAATTGTAGTCATAATTTAGCATGATGAAGTTATAGGACAATCTGATATTCTGATACTGTCAACGGTTAACATTAGGGTTCATTAGCTCTATTTCTTTCAAATAACCAAAAGCTTGCTTCAAAAGAGTGATATTCTTATTATATGCTAGACTAACAAAGAAATGATACCAAAAAACTTACAGTAAGCTTCCTAACAGTGATGAAATTAATCTTGAGGTTCTTCCTTGATTCCAAATCAGATATCAACCGCTTCAGATCAGATTTAGTCACTCTACTAAGCACACCAGCATCATCAAATACATAAGACTCTTTGGGTGGCCCTTCATTAAGCACATCAAATTCAGATGCTTGTGCAATGCCAGTGTACAACAGTGGACTAAAGTTGAGTGCTAAAGAGAGAGCTAACGCTGCTAAGCCTTGTTGGGCATGACTAAGCCAGCTATTGGGTACTGACAAAGATTGAGAGGTGTGCTTTTTGAGGGTAGAAGTGATGGTTTTAGGAGTGAAAGAGAGTGAGTTTGGTCTTGTTTGAAGTGACGGTAGCAAATGGGGTTTTGAAGAGGAAGATTTTGAGTTAAGGAGAGGAGAAAGAGAGCGCGAAGAAAGTAGAGTTTCCATGGGAAAGAGAGTGAGAGAGCAACAGAACAGAAACGTTGGACACAGAGAGGGAGATATTATGTTTTCTACATCATTTTCTGGTCTCTCTTTGGTTTAGGAATTTGGGTGGTTTGGATTTGTGTCGTTTTGGATTGGCTGGCTATAATTTGAAATGGATAACGTCTCTTAGCCATGGAAAAAATATAAGGACACTTTGGTCCATCCAGGATTTGATAAAGGAATCTCTGTGGCATTATCAGAAACCATAGGGATAACTAGAACTTCCTTCTCATGGAAGTGGGACAGTATCAATCAACGTAGTGCAAACCAAATCCCCAAAACACCCTTCCATGGTTCGCAGAATCGAAGATATAAAAACCCCACTCTCTACCCCACATTATCTCTCCCTCCATTTTTTTTCAACCGCCATGAAATCTAACCTCACTATCTCATGGCCGTTCTCCTCTCACTCTCTCCTCACCACCACCCCCTAAACCCTCCACAAAACCCAAACCCCAAGAGCCCAAAACCAACCTCTCTAGCCTCTACCCTCCTCAACACCATCTCTAAGAGAGAGTTCATCTTCAAAGCTACTTCACTTTGTGTCATTTCCTTAACCACTCAAAACCCACTTGTACAAGTCTTAGCTGAATCTTCTCCACCTTCAAAATCGGTACTTTCTACCCTTGCCAATACGAAATCTTGGTTTCAGTTCTATGGTGATGGTTTTGCCATCAGGGTCCCTCCTCAATTTGAGGACGTCATGGAACCAGAGGTATGTTTATCTTAATTTTTATTATGATTTCACTGTTTTGTCCCACATTGTTATGCTTTTAACTGTTTCGAGTTCAAGTTGGAATCTTTTGAGTTCTTGTTATCAATGTTGGTTTGGATATGGTGTTTTGGCTACCATTGCTGACATTCTGCATATTCTATTCTCATCATATGCATTGGATTGGCATGTATTTTTAATTTAGTGGATTTTCAAGGATAAAGGATACTCCAAATTGACCATTGGTGATAGATATATAAGCTTTGAAAACTAGAACTTTTAAAATCAACTCGGTTTTTCTTAGAGTTGATGTCTTGAATGAGGGAATGCCAAGTATTATAATGTGAAATGTGTTTCAAAATGTCAGAATTGTTTTTTAATCAACTTGGTTATTGTATCTTTGTTATAGGATTACAGTGCTGGGATGTCTTTATATGGAGATAAGGCAAAGCCAAAGACCTTTGCGGCCCGTTTTGCATCTTCTGATGGGTATATTATCTTACAGCAAGTTCAGTCTCTTTGATGTATTTATTTATTCAGCTTTCCATTGGAGTAATGCATAAAACCTTGTAGTAATAGTCATAGTTCATGCAAGTTTTTTTATTTGGTTTTTTTTGTCAACACAGATCTGAAGTTCTAAGTGTTGTTGTTCGCCCCTCCAATTCACTGAAGATCACCTTCTTAGAGGTTTGTATGGTGAAAATTGTTAAATTTTACTTCTATTGGTTTGTTTGTGAACTACTCTGCAAGCCTCATAAATAAAACATCCTTGTTCATTTACATGGTTAAAGTAAGACGGCTGCAGGAAGGCCAGGATAGTTCTCAACACTCTTACATTGGTTCTTGTGACAAATTAGTTGATTTCATAACTAACATGTGGAAGATTAAAAGTTTTAAATAATTTAATATCCCAAATCAAGCATCGTATTATTGTGGCATAATGCCAGCATTTTCCCTGATTTTAGGCATGGTAAGGTATCTCATCCTAGACTACAATGATTTTCAGGTTAATAATTATCTAGGGTTCCCTGTGGGATGACAAATGTCACTCCTTTATTGTGAAGTTTCATTATCTTTTTACCATGATAAGTCATTACCTTCTACTGCAAAATGCCTATCAACTCTGTTTTTCATTTTTTTTTTAAAAAAAAGGGTAAATGGATGGATAATGTCATGCACCCTTCTCCCTCATTTTAGCTTGGTCCAATTTAAGATCTCAAAGAGTAATTCTCTGAGGAACTTTGTCCTTTGCTGACATGGACAGGCTAAAGATATTACTGATTTGGGATCATTGAAGGAGGCCTCCAAAATCTTTGTTCCAGGTCTGTCTTCGCTATCAGCTATATTATTCTTGTAGTTTTTATTCTTTAGACCCTAGAATCCTCCATACAATTGTACTTTCCTGTTGCTTAGGAAAAAAAAAAAAAACTTTACATGGTTTCCCCCTTTTCCTGCAAATCATCTGTCATTTGGAAAACTAGTAGTGTAGTATTCTTCTCAACTATCTGGAGCTCAATTCCAGTTATCTGCAATGGCAGGTGGGTCAACTTTATACTCTGCCCGGACACTAAAAGTAAAGGAAGAGGAAGGTTACAGGTAAATTTTTCTATCTGTTCTGTGATCCTGGGTGCTCTTCAATTCGTAAATAATGCTATTGAAGTAGAACTGGCTTTCTCAGAAAAACAGTAAAGAGAGAGCAGTGAATAAACTGCTGTTTTTTATGAGGAATTAACTGTTTAGAAAATAGGAAATAATAGTTATAATGGTATCAATTAAATACGCTTGTTCCCTGCATTTATCAGCCATGGAAAGAGATAATTAACACAAAACCATCGCCCCTACATTAAATCTAAAGCAGCCAGGATGCCAGCATGCTACTGGAATCTATTTGAACTAGGCCATGAATGCTATAATTACAGTACTTTTCTGACATATGGTGTTCCATTGTTTGTTCGTTTCAGGACTTATTACTTCTATGAATTTGGTAGAGATGAAGAGCATGTGGCACTAGTAGCTGCAGTTAACAGTGGAAAGGTTAATACATTCACCTTATGTTTAGAATAGCAATTGCAGTGCCTGTATCTTTAGATAAATTTACTCATTACTCTTGTCAGAATGCTTTGGGTAAAGCCAATATATAGCCTGCTCATATGCCCCAAGATGAAAACCATAACTGATCTTGTATCAATTTTTGGCCTTGTTGAACATTCTCCATAATCCTGATTTGTTAGATTTTACAATTCACGAACTGTTATTGTTGTCATTTTAATGTAGGCAATTGTCGCTGGAGCAACTGCCCCACAGTCGAAGTGGGACAATGATGGCGTAAAGCTTCGGTCTGCTGCTATTTCACTGACAGTTCTGTAGGCATCTGCCTGACATCTGATTTTGCAGGTTCGTAAATTGAGGGATTTCACAGCACACCTATATATAGCTTAGCCAAACAAATCAGATGGCAGGTTATGGACTACATTCTTTTAAGTAGTGTGTGATAGACATGTAGAGAGACCTAAGATTAATGACAGTCAATCAGCTTCTCTGTCTTACAGGAATCTTTCTCTGGGGTTTGTAATCTTAACTCCTGTAACATGATTATTCCAGCTGGTATCCTATCATGAGAAGATCTAAACCACATACTATTTAGTTTCTCCTGCCAAATTATACGATGGTCATGCCTTGGCACCTTCAGGACTCAGAACTCATGTTTTAACTATTTCTTGACTCGCCTATTCTGCTTGAGACCGAGGCTTTCTACAAGGTAAAGCCTCAGGTTCAAGCTTTTGGGAGTTTAAAATTGTAGCATAAAAGAAGGGGAAAAATATATATATATATATCTGGATAGTGGATGCTGATACAAATGGAACCTAGGAGTCTAAATGCTACTTCTTTTTGTGTTTTCCAGTCTTTCGGTTGTCTTTGCATTCTTCTTCTTACTACACTGCCTTTTGATGCAGTGGAACCTTTTGCAAAGTGGGTAGAGGAAGAATTCTAAATAAGCCACGAGCACCGAGATTCCCTTTCAAACAACACATTATCTGTTCCAAAGGGTAATGGTCAGCTATCAGCAGCTTACTTTCATTGACAGCATACAGCTTATAGAGAACAAAAATTGATTTGAGGAATATTTTTGCCTGTGTTTGTATTAGGAAATTTCTTAAGCATGTGGTTATATTAAAATTGAGTAGAACACAATTTTTTTCCAGTTTTTGCACAATTCATTAGCTGTATTTATCATGGTTTGAATTCTTTTCACTTTGAATTTTGGCTCATATTCAATTTCAGTGCACACTCAGAATGTTGTGGGCTCTTTAAATAGTATTTGTACTTCCACATGATCTATTGGCAGTGCCATGTCTGACATCTATCTGCAGATAGCCATATATATATATATATATCCTGATATCAATCCATACATAGAGTATTATCTAAAACTGATGTTCAAAGCATAATCATTGTAGCAGTTCCCCATGCACTCAATGAATCATTCTCCCAAACGATTCCGAAAAATAGTTCAGGAAATTCTTAGATGAAGACTTTTGTGTAGTAGTTCGCGTCATAGTATTAAACTAGTCAGTTACCTACGTTATGCTGCAAGTTTGATTGAATAAAATTATTTTAAAATTTTAAAATTTTTAATTATCATTTCGCCTGTAATTAAATTTTTTTAATTGTTTTTTAATAAATTTTTGCTTAAAAAAAAACATAAATCATTCCTCTGTATGGATTGATTTTAACCAAAATATTAATTAAGAATTAAAAAACCTTTCTAAATATATTTTTCATCATATTGTCTTAAAAAACAAAGTTATAATTAATAAATAGATTCGTATAAAAGCTAACAAATGGAAAAAAATTTCTTAATTAATGCTGATAAGATATTTAATTTTTAAAATTATCCACACAACATAATTGATAGATAGAACAAAATCATTTCAAAATTTTATAATTTTTTATTTCATTATTTTTTTTTCATATAATTTCTACTTAAAAAAACATGGTTTATTTTTTTTATTTAGAGATTTTTAAATAAAAACTTGTAATATATAATTTCAACCTAAAATATATAGAGGAAGGAAGGAAGGGAAAAAACAAAAAACGAAAGAGGAAATACATAAAGGGAAAGGCCAAAAAAAGAAAAAAAAAACGTGAGGGTCCATAAATAGAACCCCAGACACGAGACACATGAAACCGGAGACAAATAAGAGAAAAAAGGAGGGTTGACTTACCAATGGGGTAAGCAAGTCCTATAATTATACAAAGGGAAAGGACAAAAAAAAGATAAAAAAAGAGGACATGCGCTGGCTGGCTTACAGGTGTTTGGTTGGTTTGTGCAACCAAGAACTTAAAAAACAAAAAGAATTCTGCAACTTTCAACGAACGAGATCTTGTGGGAAGTTGGTTGAAAAATCGAAATTCAATTTTTAGATTTCTAGAAATAAAATTTTGGTATTATTTTTTTTCATAAACAACTCTAAATGATCGAAATAAAGCTAATAAACACATCTAAAACCTTAAAAATTATTTTAATACATAAAAAAATAAAAAAAATACAAAATTAAATCGGATTTTTTTTTCTTTTTGGCTCCGATCTACCTTTTCTAATTATTTAATGGCTTGAAACAACTATGAAAAAACTTATCTCTCCAAGATAAACAAATATAGTAGATTTTCATAGGCTAAAGCAGCCTAAATAAGCTTGGCCAGCAATCTCTCTTTCTCCTCCCGTCTCTCTCTTCCCCTTCTTTCTCTCATATTTAGGGATCAAAATGAACGAGCAAATAAAGATGTGGATCGAAATGTTCGTTGACAAAAATCAAGAACCAAAGAGTTAAAAAAACCAATGAATAGTAAAATGTTAGTATATGAATAGTATTTAGAACAGTAACCGATCGTTTTGTTTTAGTTTATTTAGTTAATAACAACCTATATTTGACGTAACAATTGTTACGTAACGGATTCGATTATGTTTGTTATTATTACTGTTATATGTCGTTGTAAGAAGCATAATGACATTTTATGCAAATAATGTTATAACAGTGTTATAGTTGTTACGGTTGTATAATGCTGTTATTTGGTTGATAATGACCATTATTTTAAAAAAAATTGATTTTTTGTATTTTATTAGTTTTTATATAATATTAAACTATTAAAAGTGTTATTATCTTTTTTATATATAATATATTCAATTATTTTTATATAATATTAAATAATTACAAATATTATTATTATATTTGATCAATAAAATTATTAAAAACATATGAGTTAGAATAAATTTATTAATAATTGTTAGTATGCTAATATTGATTATCGAAATTATTATTTTACTCTTTGATAAATCACAAGTTGCAATAACGATCATCACTATTTTTACCATCATTTGCGATTTAAAACTTTGTTTGACATAGTAAATGCAAAGAATTAAAAAATGCCAACAAGAATACATACAGGTCCAATCTGTCCACCGCGTTCCAACTTGGCACATCTCTGTTTGTTCAGCGTTCGTCACATGTGCATTTTGTTTTCTTTTCCTTTTGTTTTTCCTTTGCCGTGTTCAATCTATAGTCACACGTTAATTCTAGAGTGCAACTTGTCGACAGTGATGAGTTTTTGTTAAAAAAATTAATCTCATTTTATATAAATTAGAATACATAATAATTAAAAACATAAAATAACAAAAATACTAAATTTATGTGAAATAAGCCTCTATATTATAGAGAAAAAAAACTACAAAATTAACTCTGAAATAATCCACTGTAATAATAAAAAAAATAATAAAATTATTCAAATTTATCCACGAAGTTAAAAAGTAAAAACATTATCAATAATACAAGTCAAGAAAGCTAGAAACCTGCAAAATTTCCTATTGCAATTCTCTATAATTATATTTGTGCACAAAAAATATTTAATTTCTTCTTATAGAATCAGTCAAAAAAAAAAAAAAACTTCTTTTGCAAATATATGAATGTCTCAACTAAATATAAAAAACAAAACAGGAAAAGAAATATTTTCTTTCGAGCTTCATAATAGATTTATTTATTTATTTATTTAACTTCTGTCATTTTCGTAGGTGAATCAGCACATGGGTCATATGGGCTGGACACATTACCCAACGGTTTTCCCTCAGGCAATGTGCCCTGATATTTTCTGGTGTATAAAGCCAAAAGGCTTTGCGCCCTTCCTATCTCCAGTTTGCAGAATCCAATTCGTTGGTCATAGATCGTTCCTTCAATAGATAAACCATTACCTAATTACAATCCTGTTGAATTGGCATTTTGAGGCAGAGAATTTTGAAGGAACCTTATCCTTGAAACGAGGGCCTAGGCTGAAATTCGGATCTATTTTGTTTTTTCAGTTACAATGAAAAGAAAGGTTAAACTGGCAAAACCTCCCTTAAATTTTAATTTATTTAAAAATTAATCTTTAAATTTCTAATTTTAGGTTTGACCTCTCCTAATTTTATTTTTTTAAAAAAATTAGTCTATCTTATAATCTTCGGCTGTCATTTTTTTCTAACAAAAAAAAATCAATTTATGGTATTTGAATTGAAGTTTTACATATACGTTGGAAAAAATCTAAATTCCAAAAATTTTTCAAGGCCTGAAAATATATTTTTTTATTTTATAAATTTTAAAAATATAAAAAATGAGTAAAAATGATTTCAAATTTTTTCGAAAGTCACAGATAAATTTTATTAAATAATTTTCATTGTTGGACTATTTATGTGACTATTTTTTTTATAAAAAACTACATAATGGATTAAATTAAAAAAAATCAAGGGAGACCAAGCTTAAAATTAAAAATTTAAATATTGATTTTCTAACAGACTAAAGTTCGGAGAATGTTCGACTCATTTAACAGAAAAAAATAATGTGGTTTGCAAGAAATAAAATTTTCATACATACATATATGCAGACGCGAACGATCCATTTAAAACCTGATCGAAAAGCTACTCCAAAAGCACTTTGATTGTTAAAAGCAAATTAGCATGCCCTAATCTGTCATTCCTGTTGAGTTAGCTAAACTTTTGCATCGAACAATCCCATGGCTAGCCGTTGCTTCACGCAATGAACTTCTATATCCTTCTAGTAAGGCTTAGTCAAATATGCATATTTCCATGTTTAATTCGAGAAAAAAAATCTAATCGTTGTAAGCTACCTTAACCATGGGAGTCGTGATAAGGATGTGATTTGAAGTATATTGTTTCCAAGTTAAATTCATTATATGTTCTTGTACTATTCTTAATTATTTATTTTAATTAATTTATTTAAATATGGTATAAAATAAATTTTATATTACAAAATATTAGAACAAATTATCATTTTATCTAATATCTGACTAATCATATACTGACTTGTAATTAACGAAGATAAATAAAAAAAATTGATTTGTTTGAACGTTTAATAATATATGATTTATTTTGTATTGTCTATGAATAAATAAATAAAAATATTGGATAGTATAAGTGTATGAGATGAATTTCACCCCATTGTTTCGTCAAAATAATCATTATTTTCATTTCTCCAGTGATAGCTAAGTTTGGTTTTATGAGATTTCTTTCTTTCTCTATATTCCAAGTTGAAGTTTTTTGTGGTTGAAACAGAAGATAATGACAGAAAGAAACCTTTATCTGTTTCTCTCTATATATTTTGTTTTGCCGTTTTAGTTATGGTATTCACAAAAATTAATTTTTCAAGGATGGCTCTTTCATAGTTTCACCACTTTTTTAGGTTCGCTTTGATCTGTAGCGTTTTTGAGAAAATTTCAATTTTTTCTCTACCATCTTAATAGACATACATACAGTATAGCTACCACAATTTTTTTTTTAGCCAATCTAGTAATCAATTGCTTTCAAGTACTTTATGTAGGTATAGACTATCTTTAAACTTTTCCAAACTCTCTATGTTCTTGAGATTGGAAAAGAAAGTATAAAAAGTGAGGTTCGAATCTAAAATTTGTAATCGAAAACCCAAAACTCATGTGTCGCTAAATCACTTCTTACGATTATACCTAATACAAATTGTAATTCATGATTTTTTTTAATGTTTTCAATTACTTTATGTAGGTACAGATTGTTTTTAAATTCGGACATTTCTAAACTTTCTACGTTCTTGAAACCATAAAAGAAAGTATAAGGAGGGAGATTCGAATCTAAAACCTCTAATCGAAAACCCAAAATTTCCATGTCAATTAATCACTTCTTATGATTATATCTAATACAAATTGTAACTCATAATTTTTGTTTGATTTCAAGGGTCTAAATCTTAGATTCAAATAAATAAGTCACTCATTAAAAAAAAACATGTTTATACTACACAAACATAGATATAGTCTTGGTTATATGAATATATAGTCTTCAATATATATATATATATAAAGCGAAATTTTTTTGGACCATTTTTTTTACATTAAGATTAAAAATTAATCTTTAAATCAGGTTAAAGATAAATTATCCATATCAAAATTAAAAAAACTCATGAATTTTTTAAAAACTTTCACAATTTAGTTTCAAGTTTTGAACTCTAATTGTTAAGAAAGAAGCACATCAGCTGTGGAATCTTTCTTTAGATTATGACAATTCATTTATAATGAAAAATCTCATCCTCATCAATTAAAATTAAGATAATTTGATAATTCTGAATAGAAAGTGATTTTGGGATTGACTTTTGCTGATATCAAAGTCATCAAGTTATTTTCATTCTTCAAAATAAAAGAATTTCCTTAAAAAACATCTAATAATGGTGCTGTCAAAATGGAGACAATGATTCGTTAACACTTTTCCTAGTCCTACTTTCATAAAAATGGCAATTCAACAAGAAGCAACATCGTCAATGATGATGTCAAAAATATAGAATCTTACATTTTTCCATCTCAACATATGTTTAATAATGTCTTTGTCCCGCTAGCTCAATCATGATTTCATGTTATAGAGGGTTTTCTATTTTTCAAATATTTTTCTCTTTGGGTGGGTGTAGGAGGAGTAAATTATAAATTAATCTCTCTATTTTTTAAAAACTAATTAGTTAGTTCTTTTTGTTTGAAAAATTAATTAAACTCGTATTGACCATGTTCAATTTAATATTACATGTCATTTTTTCTCATCAATAGTTCCATATATTTTACTTATTTTATCTTTTTTTATTTCTTAAAAAATATTAAAAAAGGACTAAGAAAGAGAAAATAAAAATATAAGGACTAAAAAATTAATTTTAAAACTAAAGGGGACTAATTTATAATTTACTCGAAAATGAGTTCCAAATTGTATGGTAAAAAAAATCATGTGCGACAGCCAACGGCCGTATCAACTACTTGAAGGACCGGCCAATTAATCCTCTAACTCTCTGCTCAAAGAGCCAACAAATTATCACCAATGAGAACCCAACAAGACAGCAGCCCGAAGGGTACTCTTGTAACTTATCCCGACACTTCAAGCGATAACACCAGTCAAAGATGCTTATTTTTTGACGTGGCTAGTTTATAAATAGACAGCTGTCAAGTTAAAGCAAACTCAAAGCAACCCCAACTACAGAGAAGTCAAATCTCATTCCAACTACCATTCTTCCCTCCATTCCAAGCCTGAAGACAAAACTATTCTAACACTGTCATTTTCAAAACCATCCTTGAAATTCCTCACAACAGTCCTAGAAATGCCACAAAATCTTGAATGCCATGTTTGGTATCAAGCCTCAAAACATGTCTTCTCTTGAAGATTTTCCTTTGCAATTAGTTACTTCATATCTTGATACTAGCACCATAATAGCACTTTCTGTCTTCTTCGCTCTCCTGTGTGCTTGTATCATTATTGGTCACCTTCTTGAAGAGAACCGGTGGGCTAATGAGTCCATCGCTGCACTTCTTTTGGTATGTCAATTTGATTATTGATTGTTTCTTGGTTGAAAAATGATGGGGTTCTCTCTTTTTCGGTTCTTGATTGACTGTCTAACATGGGGTGGGGGTGGTTTTTTATTCAGGGGTTGTGTGCTGGTGCTGTGGTTTTGTTGGTTAAAAAAGGCAAGAGTTCGCAGTTATTGAAGTTTAGTGAGGATTTATTCTTCCTTTATCTGCTTCCTCCTATCATTTTCAATGCTGGGTATGACTTATCTCTCTGCCTTACTGTGAATTTTGGCTGGTTTATCTAAATTGGTTCAGTGTTGGAATATTTTTTAGTTCCAAGTTTTCTTGATTTGGTCTATTGGAAATTGCAAATAATTTTCGAAGTTCAAAAATATATTCAAATCATGGTTTTTTTTACATGTATTGGGACTGGTGATCTTGATGTTTATGAGGTAAGATTTGGTTTGATGTGATTGATATGTTGTCTCTGAGAAAATCCTGAATTACATGTTTCTTTCTTCTCTCTCTCCTTTTTTTTTTTTTTTTGGTTTTCGTGTTACTTATCGTATCTTAAAATTTGAAAATTTTGTTCCAGATTCCAGGTTAAGAAAAAGAGGTTTTTCAAGAATTTCACAACAATCTTGTTGTTTGGAATATTTGGCACAGTAATTTCATTCTGCATCATATCACTAGGTAAGATCCATTTCAAGCATTTGTCATTTTTCAAGTCTGATAATAAATGTTGTTGGTTTATATATTGATAACAAAAAGCAAAGATTCAATCCATTTTTTCTCTTACGTACTGTGAAAATAGAAGGATTCTAACTTATTTTGTTTCTATGATGATCTTGTAGGTGTTTTTTGGCTTTTTAGGAAAATTGGTGTGAAACACTTGAATATCAAAGATCACCTAGGTGATTTTAGCAACTGTTGAATTTAATTTAATGGATGAGTCGTAGTTAATTCTTGCAGACCTTAATTACTGCTTCCTTCATCTGCAGCTATCGGTGCCATACTGTCAGCAACTGACTCAGTTTGCACATTACAGGTACACTAAATTAACGTTAGGATGAAAACAAAGTTGCTGTTGATAATGCACTAATGTTATTAATACATCATTTTTATTTTTTTCGTTTTTTGGCTCGTTTGTAAGGTTCTCAGTCAAGATGAGACACCCTTTCTTTACAGTATAGTGTTTGGGGAGGGTGTAGTGAATGATGCTACCTCTATTGTGCTTTTCAATTCAGTTCAAACCCTGGATTTCCGCAACATCGATGGCTTGATAGCCTTAAAATTGATAGGGACCTTCCTTTACCTCTTCTTCTCAAGCACTGCTCTTGGTATAGTGGTAAGTCTTCCTATCTTAGTCTTTTCAATGCCAAATTTTGATTGCGCCTGGTGGTAGCAGCTTCTCGGCTCTTGCTTATTTTTTGCATGACAGCTTGAGGCTAATAGTTTGTGATTTGCATCTAAATGGACATCCTGCAATTTTTTCAGGTGGGTCTTTTAAGTGCTTTCATCATAAAAACACTTTACTTTGGAAGGTAAGGAGTTTTTTTCAGCTCTCTGTTTCATCTATCATTGCTGGCCTCTTTCAGATGTCTATGTTTCTGTTTTCCAAAGCCTTGAACGTATCTGAGTTTCTAATGCACAACACATGACCATTGTTTTAGGTCAAGCTGAAGTTTAGGTAAATTGAAACTAGACCTTCTTAGGGAAAAAATGTTGGTTATCAATATTAGATTAAAAAGTAAAGAAGGTTCATCTAAAATGAGTGGAGGGAAACGCCAAAAGCGTCACAGGCAGTGAGGCTGGAGCTGGACCTGTAATGGTCAGTTGTTTAGCAGAAAGCCTTGTCCAAAATTGAGAGGAATGGCTAGTGATTCCTACGGTTTCTCCCATGCGATGGATCTGTTGCAATTGAGAGGCATACAGTGCTTAGTCCAGTCTTCTAGTTTCATATGTGATCACAATTTCGGAGAGGCCATTGATCTGACTTGTATGCATGTTAGACTTTAAATATTGCAACCTGACTTGATTTTTGTCTCATCAACAGGCATTCCACTGATCGTGAAGTTGCGCTTATGATTCTCATGGCCTATTTTTCATACATGATAGCTCAGGTACCGAACTATAAGCCTCAAAACTTTCCTGGTAAATTTTGAGGTTCACTATATAATGAAAACAAGGTGTGAAATGATCAGTGAGAGAAAAATGTTTTATGCCCTATATATAAATCTGAACGACAGCCATGCAGATGCTACCTCTCTTCCTAGTCCTCATTCATCATTTAGTAGATTAATATATGCCTCTAAATTTTCATTCCTTTCACCGGAGTTGCCTTACCACTCATCTGATGTTACTTCTTTAAGTTTGGTTTGAGATTGTATCTTCTAATTGGATGGGGTACGGTTGTCATCTTCTTGTGGAACCATACTAACAATACATTTCACCTCAACATTCGAAAGTTTCATCTCTTACAGGACTGTGATGAGCTAATTCCATCAAGATATAAACTGCAGATAATAAACAGAAAAGAATAAAGAGGTTGCGCCACTTGGATAAATTGATTCCGGTCTGGATCGAGATCCTGGTTGACTGTTAATGTATTTTTCTGATTGCAGTTCTTAAATCTCAGTGGGATTTTGACAGTTTTCTTCTGTGGCATTGTAATGTCGCACTACACTTGGCATAATGTCACCGAAAGCTCACGGATAACAACCAAGTAAGAGTAGGCTCCTATTCTTTCTATTTTTCTTTCCTCTTAAACTTGCAGAAACTTTGGTTTGTTTGACAGTTGTATCATGACATTAATTGGAAACACTCTAATCTTCATGGTGGTTGATAATTTCAGGCATGCATTTGCAACGATGTCATTCATTGCAGAAACTTTCATATTTCTATATGTTGGTATGGATGCCTTAGACATTGACAAATGGAGAGAGAGCAAAGCAAGGTAATTTCTACCCATAAACTCTACAGTTTATGGATATATAGCGCTTGCACAACTTGGTTGATAAACCTGAAAAAGGGACAAGGTAGTTCAACTGAAGCTTGATGATGCGTGTTGCAATATATATCGGCTCCAGCATCTAGTTTGTCGCTCTAAATTATTCAATATCTCTGAAGGATTTCATTAGACCAACATGTGTTATCTCTAACCAGTTTCACTTTCATGATTCAGTGCAGGAACTTCAGCTGCTGTCAGCTCAACATTGTTTGCATTAGTGTTAGTTGGAAGGGCAGCATTTGTTTTTCCTATAGCGACTATCTTAAATTGCGTTCAGAAAAGGGCGAGCTCAAAAATTCAGTTTAAAGAACAGGTGATTATTGCAGGCATCTAGACAATTAATTGCTATTATGACTTAGTTTACTCCAAACTGTGCTAACTGTTTGAAATCTCAGTTTATCATATGGTGGGCAGGGTTAATGAGAGGTGCAGTGACAATTGCTTTATCTTATAACCAGGTATGTCGCAAATTTTTAACATGTTGCTTCGATTATGATGTTTGGTTTCTGGATTTCTCACTTGTGCACTCTGCAATTACAGTTTGCAAACTCTGTGAGGAAGTCCCCAGAATCTGCACTAATGATCACCTCTACCATAATCGTTGTTCTTTTCAGTACAGTTGTAAGTTCTGTATTTTACTGACGTAACAGGAAAACAGTATTTGCTCTTATTAATAATTTCCACTGCATGTTGAAAATTGCAAGATATTTGCTGAATTTGTTTTAGTCTTAGCACGGAAGTATGACATTTCTGTTTTCTAAACAGTTCTGCGGTTCAGTGACGAAGCCTCTAATTGAAGCAGTGATGTTAAGGCATAGAAAACCCATGGCTTCAGACGTAGCTGATAACCTAAGCATGGAAGAGTTGAGGGCACTTTTACTAGAAAATGGCGATCCAAGTGACAGCAACAACGATCAACAAGCTCCAAGGGCAAGTAACTTAAGGTTGCTAATAAGCCACCCAACTACAACTGTTCACTACTTCTGGAGAAAATTTGATGATAGATTCATGAGACCAGTGTTCGGCGGGCGGGGATTCGTTCCATTTGTACCTGGTTCACCTACAGGTGCAGCTGATGAGAGTTCTTCAACGTGAAGGTTCGCACACAATTTTACATTTGTTATTTATTAATTTTGTTAGCATAGTTCTCATCTTGTCTTATACAGGCAGCAGCTGCAAATTTCATTTAGAGTTAAGCTGGTGTAATTATTCTAATGATCACACAAGTTTGTATTCTAGCTGTTCTCTGTTGCATAAATTTTAGATGAAATTGCATCTTTCCCTGTGTAATAATATAGCATCGAATTTGAAAATACAGAATTGAAGGTTTCTAGATGGTGCCATGACAAAAATGCTAACTCGCATCTATAAAGATTCTTCGGACTTCAGGCTAATGATCTTCCGTTTTCCTTTCTTTAATTAGTACAACATAAAACTGTGTTTGAATTGTCAAAGATTGGTTTTCATGGTCAAGCATGCATGTTTAATGTCTGCCACCATTACCACTGCCAGAACCACTACCAGATCCCTGGCCAGCACCAACTCCAACTCCTATGCCAATGCCAATTCCAACTCCAAATCCTCCACCTGCTCCACCACCACGGCCGCCACCTAAACCACCACCAGCACCACCTCCACCCGCACCAAAGCCGCCACCATGGCCGGATCCTCCACCTACACCTCCACCTCCTCCACCACCCTCACCCCCTCCAGCACCACCTCCAAGACCACCACCTACACCCCCTCCAGCGCCAAAACCCCCACCATGACCTGAACCACCACCAATACCACCGCCACCTCCGCCCCCACCTCCACCAGCACCACCTCCAAGCCCGCCGCCTACACCACCCCCAGCTCCAAATCCCCCACCATGACCGGAACCACCACCAACACCAACCCCGCCGCCTCCTCCTGCACCACCTCCAGCACCAAATCCTCCACCATGACCTGACCCACCACCAACACCACCTCCTAGTCCTCCACCACGTCCACCACGAAAACGGCCACCACACCCTCTTCGACCAAACCCACAGTTATCATCACGAAATCTAGTTTTGTCAAGTTTGTCATCGCCAAGAGTGATTGCAGTCAAATGAAGAACAATGCACAAGGAAAGCAAAAGAAAAGATACCCATTTTGGAGAGACACCCATTAATGGAGCTTTCTGTTTGTGCCAAGTTAAATAGCTAGCTAGCAGCAAGCTTCTCTGCAATGTTTGCTTTGCATAGAGAAATTCCACCCTTATATAGGGTTTATCCAGTACTGGCCAATTTGGCTAGCCAACCAAAGGAGCTATTCATAAGTGCAGTTAATTTCTGTTAAGCGTTGGAACCGTTGAGCTCCTAGCGGGAAACATTTAATGATCAAACCAAAGTCAGCCATGACTTCTTCTGATTGGGAGAATTATCACTTAGTCCCTTTTACTTTTAGAAACTAATAAGTGAGCCCTTTTTTGCCTAAAAATATATATTTTTTTTCATATGCAAAAGAAAAAACAATCACACTTGATTCTTATATTTTTATATTTTCTCAATGATTAGTTTTGTGATTCTAAATTACTATATATAGCGTTTAGCAAGTCTTTGTTACCAAAATGTTGTAAAAAGTACTATTGGTCCCCATACTTCTAAAATTTGGCCAAATCAACACTTTTATATAATTTTAGCTCAAAATTAAACCTTTACTCAGTCGTTTGAAGTGATCATAAACTAGCTAATCGGTTAAAATCTATTCTAACTTAGCTGTTTTTATTTTAATTTGAATTCTGAATTTATTTTTGTCTAACAACATTTTTTTTTTATCAAATTTTCATTCATTCGACAAATTTAATCATACACGCTGTCACGTGATGCATTAAAAAATAAAACATGTAAAAAGATATTTTTAGACGTGGTTTTTTTGTCATCCCTTCATAATATAAAAGGACAAATATATAAAATTAATAAGAAAAAGAAATAATTAGAGAAAAAACCTTCATAATATAAAAGGACAAATATATAAAATTAAAAAGCAAAAGAAATAAATAGAGAAAAAACCTTTTATTGGATCGGAAAAGCCATTAATACAATCAGGAGCAATATACATCTTCTTCATCTCCTTCCCCATTAATCCTAACCCAAAACGAATTCAAAAAATTCACCGCTTTCATTGCCAAACATTCTGTCAATCGTATGGCCGATTTCTTACACAAAGGCAAATCTTAAAATCATCACTCCTTTTCATTTTTGTTTTCACTTAAACACAACTAAATTAAATTTCACTATTTACATCCTTAATTACAAGGATGATATAGAGGAGGATGGGTGCATGCTATTAGTGGAAGGTGGATCAATAACTTAGAAGCTAAATTATGAGAAATTTATAATATTCAATGAGTAATTAGTAGACATATACAATAATTATTTTATGGATTCATTTTTTAGGAGAGAGATAAACACATTAAAAAGAGAATTACATACAAACCTATTAAAAATAATAAAAAGATTTCGACGTTAACTCAAAATTTTTGTTTTATTTTTCCTTTTTTTTTTTTTTTTTTTTTGTTTATGTCTATATCTCTTTATAGAGTAATTTATATTAATTACTCTTTGAGGATTATAAAATTAACCATCAAGTTATGGAGTGATGAATTGGGTTGGGACTTCAATAATAACACACTTTCTGTACGTACTAGCCTGAGTGGCGCCAGCTTTGTGATCCTAGCACCTAGTAACTAAGCCAAGGAAGATGTAGTGCATGCTAGTCTCAGCCATGGAAGTCATCGATCTCATGAATTCATGCTATCCTCATTGACCTTTTGAAATGTAATATGCAGGTCTACTCATGTGCAATACCGTCTTCCTCTAACAATTTCTCTTTTTCGTTTTTTTATACGGATTTCTTATACCAAATTTACTCAAATTAATAACCTAAAAAATTATAAAAATTATAATATTGCATCTACACGCGAATAATTAAGCATATATTATAACATCGGTAAGTTTAGCCAATAAACTACAGCTACCGTAATTGGTATTAATATCCTCCCTCTTTTAAAAAATTTAAATCGAATTTGATTTTTCTTTTGCGTAACAAAAAAATAAGATGGTTATTTGGATTTCTCAGATTAACTTGATATCTCTCATGCATCTTTTTTCTCCAGCTTCATCTGCACCTTCCATTGTTGTTGAGATTTAATTATTTTTGAGAAATAGGATGGAAGAAAGAGGAATCATATTGGTTTCCATTACGTAACCCTTTTTTTTTTTTTAATGGAAAAAATTGGGGAAAAAGATGGAAGTATATATGTGTGATTTTTTTATATTAAACTTCAAGAATATATATATATATATATATATATATATATATATATATGTATATATATAGTACAAGAAACCAACTAAGAAGATGGAACAATAACCATGCATGCTTCTACACATTGTTAGGACTAAACTCTTAGGCCATAGATCCGCCATTATGTTAATCAAAGTTCGTTAATTAAAAAGATATACATGGTGGACATGTGTATATATGGCGGACAATCACCTGATGATGATATTAAATGGATATGTCAAGTTGTAAAATGTAAACGGAAATCTATTTCATGTAGCTTGGTAAGGAAATTTTGAAACATTGATACGTACAGGACTCTTTGCATGTAAGATCTATTGCTGATGTAATTTGGAAAACCATAGACTTTTTAGTTTTTGCTATTCGTTACTGGTCGAGCAATTGAAATGGAATAAGATGAGAATCTCTAGAGATCTTTCCTCGCCACGTACTCGACCCAAATACATTATCTAAGATGGAAGTAGACATATTAATAATAGAATTTTCTTCAAAAAGGTAAAAAATATATCGATTTTCTTCTCCTGAGAAAATTGTTTCTGTAGCAGCTAGGGTAATTAAAAACAACCGATTTGGACTTTGATTTATGAAAAATTAGCATATTTTAATTAAAATTTATTTTTTTAAATATCTGTATTCCACATTGAAAATAGGATTAATTATATTCAGAATGAGAGTAATAAGATTTAATTCCTCTTAATAAATATAGTTTTAACATTTAAACTTATACATTGATAAAAAATTCGTTTAAGACTAGTTTTTTTATAACTGAACCAACAACTTATTTATTAATTAAAATTTATTGGCCCAATTAGCTACATGAAACTTTAATTAACCAACTTTTGATTAACATATATAAAGGCTAATCTATGGCCTATGGGTTTACAAATGAATTCAACTAAAACATTAATACAAAAGGGCAGAGAGCTGGCTAGCTAATTTGCGTTCTTTTATATCTGCTTGGCGGTTCTAAACTAGCATTGCAAGTTAATTAATTTCACAACTTTTGATCAGTTGATTTTGTTGGGATTTTTCTTTAAATAATTTTATAAATTGCAACTAGATCAAACTGTGTCAACGCATGCAAACATGAAGCCATGCATGCATGGTTGACTTTCATTTGATCATTAAATGTTTTCCCGCCAATCGCCCAACGGTTCCAACGCGTTAAATGAAGTGAGGAGCATGCACTAATTAATGGCTGGGCCGATCTTTGGTTGACTTGCCATTGCCAATTTGGCTTAGGCTTAGCTATATAAGGCAGGTTCTTTGTGCAAAGAAGAGCAAGCAAAGCTTGAACAGAGAAGCTTAATTAGTTTCTTAATCTGTTCTGCAAAAAGAAAGCTGCAGTAATGGGTGTCTCTCCAAAATGGGTTTCTTTTCTTTTGGTTTTCTTGTGCATTGTTCTTCATTTGAGTGCAATCACTCTTGGTGATGACAAACTTGACAAAACTAGATTTCGTGAAGATAACTGTGGGTTCGGTCGTAGAGGGTGTGGTGGCCGTTTTGGTGGTGGACGTGGTGGAGGACTAGGAGGTGGAGGTGGTGGTGGTGGTGGAGCTGGAGGAGGTGTTGGTGGTGGGTCAGGTCATGGTGGAGGATTTGGAGCTGGAGGTGGAGTAGGTGGTGGTCTTGGAGGTGGTGCAGGAGGCGGCGGTGGCGGTGGTGGAGGAGGAGGAGGTGGTGGTGGTGTAGGTGGAGGTTCAGGTCATGGAGGGGGCTTTGGAGCTGGAGGTGGTGTAGGTGGTGGTGCTGGAGGTGGTGGTGGAGGAGGCGGAGGAGGTGGTGGAGGTGGCGGTACTGGTGGTGGTTCAGGCCATGGTGGAGGCTTTGGAGCTGGTGGTGGTGTAGGCGGTGGTCTTGGAGGTGGTGCAGGAGGAGGGGGTGGTGGCGGTGGAGGAGGAGGAGGCGGGGGAGGTGGAGGGTCAGGCCATGGAGGTGGCTTTGGTGCAGGTGGAGGTTTAGGAGGCGGCCGTGGCGGTGGAGCTGGTGGAGGATTTGGAGTTGGAATTGGCATTGGAGCAGGAGTTGGAGTTGGTGCTGGTGCTGGTGCTGGCCAGGGATCTGGAAGTGGTTCTGGCCGCGGCAGTGGCAGTGGTGGCAAACATTAAACATGCATGCTATACCATGCAATGAAGACAAATCTTTTTAGACAATTTAAACTAAGTTATAAAGTTGTATTAATGAAAGGAAAACACAGGATTACTTCCTTAAACATCTTTTGTAATGGGCGTTTTTCAAGTCGTAACTTTTGTTTCTATAAATTACTTGTTACATTATAATTATTGTTGTTTTCCAATAACTTGGATTCTAATGCATTATAATTGAGAAATTAATTCAAAAATACCTAATTATTTATTTATTATAAAAAATAGATTTAATCTCAAAATCTATATATATATATATATATATCCATCAAATATTTGTGCATGGAAATCTAAAATGAGCCAGTTTTTAAGCTGTTTTGTCATGGACGATCAGAAATGTTACACGAGGAAAGATAGCATTTTCTTCCAAAATTGATGTAGCAGATAACATAATTAATCTTCCAGAATTGGAGTATCAGTTGAGTCCTAAAGCATTTGCCACAAGGAGGGAAGCATTTAGCATGAAAATATGACTCTATCTTGTTAAATTATTGGTAGAAATTCTTGTTATAAGAAAATGGACAGTACAACTTATTAAAATCATCTATATCCAGATTAATATATTAATAAGAAAACTTATTTTTATACCACCTTTTATAAAAGACTAGAATTTCCAACCCCAAATCACAACCTTTTTTTTAAAAAAAAACCAATTTAACACCATTTAAAATAAAAAATTTATGTTGTTCAAGTTAAACCTTTTGTGCAAATTATTATTATTATTATTATAAGAAAATGGATAGTCTTAACTCATTTAATTTATCCAAAACACAAGTAAATTATAAATTAGTCCCTCTAGTTTTGAAAAAAAATTAATTAATCCTTTTGTTTTAAAAAATTAATTATTATTTTTTGTCTATTTCTTGTTTTTTTCTTCTAATTTATACAAAACGCTAATTAGTTATAAATTAGTTCCTCTAGTTTTAAAAAATGAATTAATTAATCCTTCTAGTTTTAAAAAGTAATTATTTAATTGTTTGTCTATTTTTTCTTTCTTTCTTTGTTTTTGTTTTTTTTTTTTGTTTTTGTAGAAATGATAAAAGGAAAAAAATAAATAGAAATTATGGAAAGATGGATGAAAAACAAAGATATTTTTTAATAAAATAATATCAAATTAAGTGTGGTTAATACTGACATAAAAAATTAAATAATTAATTTTTAATATAAGAAGAATTAATTTATTTATTGCTCCAAACTAGAAGGAGTAATTTATAATTTACTCTCCAAAACGCAGCACCTTGCTCAAATAGTGTATTCTTTCTTAATTGAGAGTCCTACCAGCAGTTAAGAAGTAAAAAAAAATTTACTGATAGTATGGTTTTTCTGTTGGTTATCCTCGAACCACAGTGACCAGCCCAATAAACAAGCCCAAGCCCATAAACGTAAGGCACACAGACTTCAGTACTGCTGTCTTGTAGTATATACTTTTCCTCCTTAAACCCTTCAGCAGCAACAAAAACCTCTCTAATTCTAAGATCAGTACATTTTCAAAGAGACTTTTGAAGAGACTATGCATGATTGATAAAGATGGCTCTTTTAAGAAGATTACAAGCAATTCGTGCCCTTAATCATACCATTGGGATCCGAGAATCTTCTTCTTATCTGTGAGTAATTTTTTTTTCATTTTTTTATTGCTCTGTTTGGTTTCTTAGAAAATGCAAGAAAAAAGAAAATGGAAAAGTAAGTTTGAGTTTTGAATGGAAAATTTTCGTCTTTTTGACTTGGAGAGAGACCGATTTGGATATATGACTTGTAAGGATATGAGAGTTTTTTGGTTGATGAGAAAATTCAGTACTGCTATGTTTGATTGATGAGAAAATGCAGGGAAAGGAAAGGGAAAGTTTCAATTTTGAATGAAGGGTTCCATTTAAAAAAAAAAAAAAACAATATCAAGACTTACAAGTAGCATAGCTGTTTGGCTGTAGTTTATGAGGATAAATTTCTTGTTTCACACTTAGTTTAATTGGTTGAAGAGACAAATTGGGAAGTGCAAAGAAACTATTAAATCTTGATAGGGCGATGTTATGTTGTGTGACTACTATAACAAAAGGAGGGCTTTGTTGGGTTTGTTTTTCCTTTTCTATTATTTGCAGCAGAATTTGCCAAGTTAATCAGGTATCAAGTTTTATTTCCATTGCATTGCCTACATTTTCTAGAAAAAATGTTTTCTTCTTATAATTTCCTGGGAATTGGAGTTAAATTGTGTTTGAAGGTAGTTTTATGAAAAATGTTGCTCTTTGTCCACTCAGGCTTGGGAGCTCAAGAAGCTACTCCACTGATATTTCAAATGGTAAATTGTTTATTCGGCATTCCTATTAATTGTTGTTTATTATTACTAGTTTAATTTATCTTAAATTTTAATGGAGAATTTCATTATTCATATGTTTGCTTTTTGATTAGGTCTTAAACTTAATTCCCAGAGATTCTCTTCTTGCTTATATAATGACCACAATGCTCTTCCTTGGACTCATAGAAGTACAATGACTCTTCGTTCTACAATGGTAAATTTATTATGGATTATAAAATTTTGGTGAAAATAGGTGTAATTTCTTTTAATTATGATTGAAGCACTTGCTCTAGTTTTTGCAGTATTAATTCTTCAAATGTCAAATTGTTTTAAGGTATGATACTGTTCTTATTCATTTAGTGCGTACGGTTTCATTCAGGCCATGGAGTTATCAATCTTTTTAAATGACAAGAGGTCGGTAGCAACACAAGTGAAAGCCCCCCGCAAGCACGACAGATGGTGTGTCATCTTTACCATTTAAACTGCCAATTATTGTTCTTCCTTTCAGTTTGATTTTGGAAGTGGTTGCAATGTTCATGATGTAGAACTTTTATAAGCAATCAAGTCAAACTAAAAGAAAAGGAAAGAGTGAAATAATTTAAATCGAATTGGTATTAATATCCTCCCTCTTTTAAAAAATTTAAATCCAATTTGATTTTTTCCCTTTTTCGTAACAAAAAAAATAAGAAGGTTATTTGGATTTCTCGGATTAACTTGATATATATCTCTCATACATCTTTTTTTGCCAGCTTCATCTATACCTTATATTGTTGTTGAGATTTAATTATTTTGAGAAAGAAGATGGAAGAAAGAGAAATCATATTGGTTTCCATTACGTAACTTTTTTTTTTTTTTTTTAATGGAAAAAATTTGGGAAAAAGATGGAAATATATATATATATATGTGTGATTTGGCAGCAATGTTCATGATGTCGAACTTTTATAAGCAATCAAGTCAAACTAAAAGAAAAAGGAAAGAGTGAAATAATTTGGGAAGATCTTTGCAACGTGCAAGAACTTGAGTACAATAAATAGTATTTAGCAGATCAATCATTGGCTTCAGAGCAGAGAGATGTGTATTTCCCTTGGCTTTCTTATACTTTAAGTCTTGATGATTACTTAAACAGAAGTTCGTTTGGAGCTTAGTTGTTCAAAGATGCATACTGGCCTAGATGTAAATTTGTAACAATAAGCTTCCCAGATTTAGCTACTGTTCTATTGTTGTGATACAGTTCTTCATGGTTCAACTTATTTGCACTATGTCTTGTCCATATTCTGTATATAATCTATTTGCAACAGAAAAATTTAGAACCAGAAATGATGCTTCAGTGTGCCAGATCAACAAAATCTTACGATTTTGTGAGCATTGATATCATGTAAAACCATAAAACCAGTGCAGAGTCACATTCGACATGCCTGATGGAGGTAGAAAATGCATACTTTGGTAGTTTAGTTTGGGTGGTGTATATTCCTTCTCCATTGAACTTATTCATGTCCAAGGGCTGTCATTTGGTTCATTTGGTGCTATTTCTGGCTAATCACTTTAACAGATTAGGGATTTTGCATCAATATTTTATTCTTAAATAAGAACTTGTATGAACTTACTCTTGCCTCAACTTTCTTGGTTGTCTTATTATGGAGTAAGAAAATAACTTGACTGACTTCCCTATGTAATAATATATGCAGGGAGCTCTTAAAGTGGCCATTTCAAGTCCTGGATTCATATATGAACCTTATGCTCCTCGTGATAAAATCTCATTCTGGCGGAGGTTAGAGTGAAATTCCTCTCTAGATGGCTGAAGAATGGTTTATTTGGCAGCCATTCCTCTCCACTATAGATCTTTTACATATGAACCCCTTTCCTCCAAATTGTCAAACTATCAAAAATTTCTTCTGTGAGATTTCGAGCTAATTATTGTTTGAACCAAATTATACTCGATAAATTGCTTGGTGGCAATTCTAGATGGTCCCCCACCAAGTCACTGTATAAATTTTTTTTCTTGTTGATAAATAATCAATGTATTAGATGCTTTTGAAGATTTGACTGTTGAGGCTATGTATAGCATTCTCAATGCGATCCAATAGGTGGGATGCACTAAGATTAGAACCAGCTCATTCAGACCATATCGGAATTCTTTTACTAAGTTCTTTAAATTATGTTTTGATCTTATGACAACCAGCTTTCTTCTGTATGTTATCTCCTTATTCTTGAATGGCATGCATCTAAAATTAGTTACAAACTTCTGGTTGACTTTATTAGTTAGTGGGTTGCATTTCTCCTGTACTCTTTTAAGCATGCAATTAGATTTCATAGTTCCTATGTCTTCTGTTGAGCAGTTAGTACAAAGTTCCCGGCCATCAGCACCCTTTTTTGTTTTTTCCTTTGTATCAGATGGTTCACAAAAAGTGGGTGGAGAAGAACAAAAGCCGACATCATTTTAGAGGTGGCTCTCTTGTTCATCATTATATTTGTAGCATTTATTTCTCCCACAAATCAACTTATTGATTGGGTTTATTCAGACTTCTTTTCTCTTCTAGCATTCTAGAACTGTTTTTCATATAAATCACTCCCACATGGTCTTACTGTTACCTGAATTGCCATGTCTGACTCTCATTTTTGCAGCTAAAAAATGCCTATGCTATTGTTAAGTTAAGAAAAACTGGATACTCAAAACACAGGTTTTACATAGAGGCCATCAATTTATACAAGCAGGTATCCTGTTCTTTATGTTCCCAAGTTCAAACTAACCTGAAGTCATGCTGGTTACTTTGTTTTGTTAATACACTACTGGATTCAGATTACATGCTTGTTTCCTTTTGTTTTCATTTGGGGTTTCCAGATAAACACTCTACTGGCAAATGGTGACAAAACAGCACTCAGAAAACTAGTTACCGAGAAAATGTACTCCGTATGCACTGCTCCTTTTCCTTCTGCTTGCTCCTGCTTTTTTAAGATTCACCTCTTTATTTTCTGTTCAGTTATGCTGCTTTCTGCCTTTGCAGCATAATCAAATTTGGCCTCACACACAAATTGTCTCTTGAGTCATTATTATCAGTTACGTTACTGACAGGAACTCAAAAATGAAATTAAACAAAGAGAATCTGCATGGAATATGAGCAAGCTTTATTGGGAGATGATTGAACCAGCTGTTCTAGTACGAACTTTGCGAGCTCGACTGGCAAGTATTAACTTTTTTCTTTACCATGTTAATCTACATCAAATTGGTCTTCAATGTGAAGATAACAAATACCAAATAGTTTGCAGCTTTGCTTTAACATAGAAAAAAGTGGAACTATGTATATACACACGTGTCCCTGAGCTGAGGTCATTCAAATTTGGGACTTGTCCTTTTCCTTTGTACTGACTACACTTGCCTTTCTTTTCTTACATATTTACAGATTGGTGTTGATAAGAGCGACCTCAATAAAGTTTTTATACAGCTGACACTTGAGATCAAGACAAAGCAGGTACAATTACTGTATAGGAATTTTCTCTGTTATTTGTCATTTTCTACATGTTTATTTTATTGCCTAAATATGTGCATGACTTGGATGTTAACCAAGGCAAATTCCCCATGGTTCAGTTCCTCAAATATGCAGCAGTATTGATCCTTGAAAGGCTAATTCATCCAATAGTGGGAATCATTCACGATCAGTGACTGTAGTTTTAGATCTTTGACAGTGGTGTGATCAACTGCTTAGTTGGTTGCTATATAAGCATTGACATTGTTATGCAAGTGCTTCCTTGATGCCATGACGCATATTAAAATTAGTTGCAAAACAGAGGATTTTGATTTTACGTAGAAATTATGGCCTGATTGTCATTTCTCAAACTACTACTCTCCTCATGCCCCTCTGCTTTTGCTCATTAATACTTTTTTCATGACAATTCGGTAGACTTACATATTGGTTATTCCTTGCAGAAGTTCGAAGCATATGATTCTAAGGGAGCCAGAGTTGCAGGAGATAAAAATAAGGAGGTAGGCTTAATTGCATAATTGTCCTTTTGGTTTTGTACTGCCTATTTTCTTAGTTCTATCCAATACTCAGACCTTTTCTTTTCTTTCATGACATTGCAATTAAAACCTGCTTGAAATCTTATTTGAAAATGTTTATCACTCAGTTCTTTGAGTGGAAATGTAGTTTTCTGTCATTTGATGGTCAACCATGGGACGTTAGGCCCTAGTTAAACATCGAAGCTTACCCTAGCTTCATCATTTATTTTGATTGTAATTGGTGGACATCTCTTGCTTGCCACGTGACATTTCATTTGAAGAAGCACTCGTTTTGTTTGATTTTTTCAAAACCATAAAATGTTCAATGAATTGCAAACATAATGTGGAAGCACATCATTCTATCAAAATTTCATGTTTGAGTCCATCATTTAGCATTTTCCCATCTCCTCCGAATTATTGTTGATGTCTACTATAATTTCCAGATTCTTGTCCGCGAAATCTGGGTATTTGAGAAATCCCTTTTTCACCCTGGAGCTTACTGGCGGCTTTGTGGGCGAATTAAAACATAAGCTGGCCCTTTGTGATGAGCAATCAAAGACCAAGTTCTGCCGTGCTGATAATAATAATAGTTCTTCTCTAATTTTGTAAGCTGAAGAGAATTGTAATAGATCTGAGTATCATGGCAGGCTTAGTTTTTTTTTGTTTTTTTTTTTTTTTCGATATCAATCTGTGTACTGAAATTCCAAGAAATAAATGGACTTACAGCTTGCAATTTTCCATATCTGATTATCTTCCCATTCAGTGTTGTCCACGAAAAGGAAATATCTTAGGAGGCATTACTACATCATGGAGATCAGAGACAGGAATTGGTAAATCTTGAACCCAAACGCATCAACATTTATGAGCTTTTCGAGGAATTGTACTACTTAGCTATTCATAGCATGATGCTTTTCTCTCTCTCTCTCTCTCTCTCTCTCTTTTTGAATAATACATCTTTTATATGGGTATGATGCATTTAGAGAAATGAATTGCTCTGTATATTGATCTTAATCTTAAGGTTCAATCTTAAAAAATCAAGAAAAGAAATGAACTTTTTTGACCATCCAACCAACACCTTAAGGTTACATATACTAGAAATTATTTAATCATGAACTGAACTTATTTGCCTTGTGGGTCTCGATTTCATGCCCATGATAAATTTGCCTTGTCCCATAAGTGTAAGCAATGTCTTGCTTCCCATATATCACGAATCTATTGCATCATGGGCATCTATGTTGTATCGGTTATCTGTCTCGTATCTTTGTGTCTATTGTGTTGGCAAAAGACGACCAACCAGCAGTTTCAAACTACAGTAAAAACTGAGCCACATTTTCTTTGGTGTTTTTTCTTCCACTTCTGTTTGGCTGCTGAGGAACTTGGGAATATAGAAAGGAAAAACCTTTTGCTAAATGAAGTGTTCTTAAGACTTCTACGCAGTAACTGAATCATCTACCAAAGGTTGTGAATGGATTCTATCCTAATCCAATTTTTTTTGTATCTGACACAATTAAATGGATTTGGTATACAAATTATACTATCTATTTCTTATTATGCTATGTATCTATTTATCTAAAATATGTTAAAATAAATATAAAAATAGTTTAGGTTACTAATACTAACTTTAGGTTTATGAATGTTAATAAAAGTATAAAGAAATGAATTAAGTTTACTTATTTTAAAATCTAAGAAAACAGTTCTTTTTTTGAATGACAATCAAGGATACCTAATAATTTCTCTTTGATTATTTTTTTTTTTAATATTTTAGGTTCTTGTGTTAGTAGATTGGTTGTTTGTTCCTTCGGTTAAAGAAAATTCTCCCAATTAGAATACCTAATCTCATAGTTAAATATAGACTGACATTGACATTCAAAATACCGCATTTAAACTTATAGGATATGATTCATTCATTCATCATCATACAAAAAAAAAAAAAAAAAAAAAAAAAAAAAAAAGGATATAAACATCATAATCCAGTCACAATCCAATCCGACTTACAACCTATATGGGAAATAGTAATACAGCAAAATTTTGCCAACCTATACAGTTTCTTTTTATGGACAATTGCAATGGATACTTAACTTGCCTTCTGATATTCTTCCAAGCACCTTTTGCTTTAAACACAAGTAGAGTTTGCAGACTTTTTGTTTTGGGGTTATGAACATTTCTCAAGAAAAGCAAAGCATTCCCTCCAAGCAACGTCTTTATGCTTCCTGTTAACCTCTACTTGCAAGAAAAGAACAGCCCATTTCAAAACACCATTCATCAAAACCCTCCTCCATTCCTTTCAAATCCATCAACTTTGAAATGGATAAAAAAGAGCACCAATTCCATCCTCTTGACATTTGCAACAGGTTCTACAACTTTGTCACGAAAATTGTCTCAGCACATGCCTTCAAGACTGTGAAATTAGGCCATCCTATGCACCAAAACTTGGCCAAACCACAGAATGGGGCTAGGGCTATCCATGAGAGTAATCAGAAGGTGCACCCCAGGATTCAAGGGGTGGCACCTGGTTGTGAAGATGTAAAACAAGCCAATAGTTTGAAGAGTTCAGACACTTTTCCCTCTTCTTGCTCTTCTAGCAATGATCACGAGCAAGATGGCAAGGAGCTACCCACAGTTCAAGAAAACGATGCCAGTCTTGGAACAAGACTACAAGAGGAAGCACCATTGCCTTATTCGCTTGTCCCACAAGCAAATCCAACCAAGCTCAAGAAAAATGTTAGCATAAATGAAAGGGTGGAGGAGATAGATACGAGGAAGAAAATGAGGAGGAGGAAGTCAACTGAAAAACTGCCTTCAATTGACCTGGAAGAAGACATTGTTCATCCTGTGAAATCAATTCTCAAGAAGGATTCTGACTCGGGTAGAAGATTAAACTCTCTTGATAATTGTGATTTTCGTGAAAGATCACTTTTCTTTATTCAATGTGACAGTGATAGATGAATTTGGGTAAGCTCATTTTCTTCTTGTCTGAGGAACAAGCCGTGCTGGTGGCTGATTTGTCAGAGTCTAGACTGACATTACTGGGTCACAATATCTTTCTGGTCATTTAACTGTATAAATAAATATCATATTACCAAAAATTGGTTACTTTTCTTGTCATTTATGGCAAATGTTTTATAAATGGCTAATTGAAAGTATTGTGAATTATTGATCACAAATAAATAAATAGAAATTCTTTTCTAATTTAAATTCTTTGTCTTTTTATTCCATGATTAAGTTTTTTTATCTCGTTAACTCGATCTAAGATGTGAAATTATTAAAATAATGACACATACACTGAAAACTCAAAATACAGAATTTTTATCATTGTTTTTTGATTAATGTGAAACTATGTCTAATGTGATTTGAGATTAATCAATAAAATAAATAAAAATTAATTATAAAACAAAAGAAAAGTTGACAACTTTTCTTTTGTTATAATTACGGATACTTTCTAATCAATTAGCCTTTATAAATTTATAACAATTTAAAATATGATTAAAATAAGAATAATTACAGTTAAAAAATTATTTTATTGGTATATTTATTTCATCAAATTAAAATAATTTGACAAAAACTAATTCGTTCAATTTCTTGTAAAATAAGTAGCATAAACCCAACACATTCTATTTATTTTAATAAAAAAAAACCTAAGACATTTTGTTTATTTGTTTTATACTTTAATAAATCTGGCTATGTTCATGTCAAGAGTTTAGAGACACAATAGACTAGTGGACTCGTACCTCCAAACCTATAATTGTCTAAATATTTCTAGCTCCTCTTTATACCAGTTCAACCCCTCAATTACAATTTAATTCTTCGTGATCTAAGTGAGTTTTGAATTTTCACCAAAATTTTTGATAAGTATACTAGTTTGGAATGTCCTGTTAATTCTATATAATTTTTTTCCGTCGACTATAAAAGTTATTTTTAGATTAATTTTTATGGATTAATCAAGATATATTTTTTACATTGAATTGATACAACCTGCTTAATATTAGATAAAGAAATAATTTAATTTTGATTTGAGAAAGTTGTTCAAAAATATCCTAAATATTAAAAGCCAAAGACAGAAAAACTATCAACCAAATGGTAGGGAAAAAAAGGAAAAGCAAAACTATAAAACAAATGGGCATCAGCAATGATGTTTTTCTTTGGGGTGGTCTAAAGTTTGAATCTTGAACCAAAACCTAACCCGATACAATCAACAAGTACATTTCTAGGAATAAAATAAACTTTTACACGGACAAACTTGAAAGCAACCATCTAATTGAACCTAGGCAACATCACCTAAGCATCAAGAATAGATTAAAGTAATCAAAATGTAATAAAACAAGTGTCGTATTTCTCCTTTGCCAACAAAAAAAGGCCAAAATGGGTATCTCTTATTCATCCCCTCTTTCCCCATCTATCTCCACCTGTGCTCCTAGCATCACTCATTCCTCTCTTTTTCCTTTCACATCAGAAGGAAACTCAGAACCAATACCAAATTCTACTTTTAATCACTCCAATAACATCAGTTTGACTAATCTCCAAAAACCCACAAACAAGTTTGGATCTTTTTATCATTGTTCACTGAGTATTTCTTGTCCAGGTCCACAGCTTGTAACTTTGAAGTGTTGTTGCAAAGTAAGGGAAATGGAGACTCAAGAGGGAATTGTTCAAAAGCCCATGATTGATTTTCATGGTATTGATGAAGAATTGGTTCAAAAGATGGTTTATGATGCTCTTGTTTGGAGTTCTCTTCATGGCCTTGTTGTTGGTGATAGAAGTGTTCAGGTCTGTGGATAAAGTTATATATATATATAATGTCTCTCTGTCAATGAAATTTAACATAATTCAGATTCATGGTTATGAATGATTGAGCTCTTTGGATTATGTTTTGATTCATTGTGGAGTGAGAGTGTCTAAATATATATTGGTAGTGATTGCTTGATTAGTTGATAATCGTTTGCTTAATTTTTCTAAGTTCTTACTGCTAGTATCTACTCTCCATTAGTGTTCATGATAATAGTGAAACCCAAAATTTTAATTTTGGTTCACCTAAGTTCTTTTTAGTATTGGCATCAAGCTGATATCACATTGCCATGTGTAACGTAAGATAGGAATAATGGGGTTATTTGAATTGCAGAGATCAGGGAAAGTACCTGGTGTGGGCTTGGTACATGCGCCATTTGCCTTGTTGCCTATGTCATTCCCGGAAAGCCATTGGAAGCTAGCATGTGAAGTAGCACCTATCTTCAATGAACTCATTGATCGTGTGAGTTTGGATGGGAAATTTCTACAGAATGCTTTATCCAGGTACTTTCTATTACACATACCTAAATAATTTGCTATCTTGTGTTTCCAAAGCAACTAGAAATGATTCCAACAGGCTATCATATATAAGATCATGGGTTAGTAGATGTTTCTTCAGTGCCTCGATCAGTATCAAGTATGTTTATTGGCTGTTTCTGTCAACTTATAGCTGGAACCTTTGGAGTTTTGGTCAGCAGCATGTTAGCTTTACCACTTTTTTTTTTTTTTTTTTTCCTGAACTTTCTGAATCAGTTTTAGAATATTCTGTTACTATTTGTTGGGTTTCCTATGCATAGTTCAGCTTCATCTCTTTTAATCGTCAGTAATGTATTTGGGTGCATTTTTAAAACTGCAGAACGAAGAAAGTGGATGTCTTTACATCGAGGCTTTTAGATATTCATTCCAAGATGCTAGAAATTAACAAGACAGAAGTAAGTTTATCTCAGTTAGGCATTTGTAATCTATCATGTTTTTTTAGCATTGGTTCGTTTAAATTGGTGTACAGGGAAACAGCTGATTTTCATATGGTTGGTAGATGCTAATTTTTTTTTTTAAACACTAATGCAGGAGATACGCTTGGGTTTACACCGATCAGATTATATGCTTGATGAACAAACTAAATTACTCCTCCAAATAGAGCTAAATACAATTTCATCTTCATTTCCTGGCCTCGGTTGTCTTGTCAGTGACCTTCACAGGTTAAGAAATTTATATTAGCTCTCTGAAGTTTTGTACTTTCTTCTTAGCCATGGCATCTTTAACTTGAGTTTTGGCTTGGAGTTGAGTTTAAGGACCTTATAGCTGCTTTTTATTTTAATATTGTTCTGATCATTATGATGCTGGATTTTATATCAAGTTATGAATTTGGTCATGGTTTTGCAGATAACATTTAAAAGTAAGCAGTGAAGTAGATTAGGCTTGTTATGGGTAAATTTCCGTGTTTTATCAAAGTTTCTTGTTGGGAAATCAAATATAGCACATGTAAACCAGAGGCAGGGTATAGGGTTAGAATAACATATTAGTCACAGATTTTGTAGCATCCATTTTACGTAGCTTTGAATTTTGTTCCATATATTAGATAAATCTCAATATTGCCTGGGACATTTCAGTCAATTTCCCCACACTGTCAACCCACCCACCTCCATCAAGTGACATTGAACTTCATTATTGTTTTCCAGCCTATCACATTTGTATGCTGCAGTCTTCTAACACTATGGGGTGCTATATTGCATAGAACTTTGGATTGCAATGTGCAAAATTCTCCATCTTCCATGCATAGTTCACAAAAGGGGAGCAACCAAGAATTATAACCCTTCTGTTTATTACTGCAGGAGTTTGCTTAAGTACCATGGAGAACATATTGGATTAGATTCCAGAAGAATACCTGGAAACCCTTCTGTTGATAAGTTTGCAGAAGCGCTGGCTAAAGCTTGGACTGAGTATAATAACTCTAGGTTGGATCTGAATTAAAGGTTCTTCATTTCTTTCTTCTGCTGGGTTGTTTTGGTTAGTAATTTGTCAATATATTGCACAGGGCTTTAGTTATGGTGGTTGTTCAACCTGAAGAACGCAACATGTATGATCAACATTGGCTTTGTGAGGCATTGAAGGAAAGATATCCTTTTCACATGCAATATTGTCTCTCATGTGTGGAGAACCAGTATTGTTTCTGAAATATGTTCTCTTATTACAAAGAAAATAGAGATATAATTAGGGATAGAATAGATAGACAATTTTTTTTTAATGAATATCGAAAGTTTGAAAGGTGATGAAATGCTCACCAATTCCAAAATTTATTTATTGTTGAAGCGCAACATTTTCAGAAATCACTTTCCAGATGATTAAATTTTAATCAAAAAGCTTTTCATGGAGTTAAAAAGAGTGATTTATTCCTTAGCTTTATAACACACATAATGTGAAAACTGTTCGGAAAACATTGGCAGAAATTGATGAGGAAGGGGAAATTCTACCAGATGGAACTCTTCTTGTGTACGTAACTTCCTTCCTGCCATGGAAATCTAATATCACCCTTCTAGAGGTTTTACTATGCCAGTATTTCTAACTTAGATATACTTTACAATGCATTTGCAGAGGTGGCCAAGAAATTTCAGTTGTTTATTTTAGAGCTGGGTATGCACCTTCTGATTATCCTTCAGAAGCTGTAAGCGTTTATTCATGTTTCTTAATTTTTCTGCTGCCTGCTATCTTGATTCAAGTACGCTCCAAAAGTATTTTGTTTTGGACTTTGGCAGTGACTTATTAATTCGGACATTATTTTCTTGGATTAGTTCAATCAATATCAGTTGCAAGATATTTATTTTTACCTTTAAATGTTCTTTAGTTTTCTCTACACTCTTGTTGCTTCTATGAATAAACAATGCTGTTTCCTGGAGTATGATTGATATTGTATGGTGTTTGATGCTCATTCTTTGTCTAGGAATGGAGAGCTAGGGTCCTTATGGAGCAGTCGTTAGCTGTCAAGTGCCCATCAATATCTTATCATTTGGCAGGAACAAAAAAGGTTCAACAAGAACTTGCAAAACCCAATATGCTTGAAAGGTAGTAAATTTTTGCAAGATGAACATTTCCGGCTTTGCCCAAATCATTGTTGGATTAGTTTATTTTTTAATTTTTAATTTTTAATTTTTTTCCTCTAAGGATGTTTACTGGAGGTTGAAAAAAGAATTTGTAATGGTCTAGCACATGTTATTTGTTAAGTGAAGTTGGAATCTAGTGTTATGGCTCGTAAAGCGAACAATTAACTTCTTTTTCGACCACAACGACTGCCAAATTTTTATAGATTAGCGGCATATGCCTTTACTCAGAGGCATGCTGATCTAGCCATCTAGGTTTGCTTCAAGAAAAATTATAACATGTTTAAAAGTGCCATTTGGTTAGAATTTAAACTGTATAGTCTACCCTTGCAAATGTTTCTGGGTAGATGAATGTTGGTTGTTGACTATGAGTAGCTCATTGGTCCCTTAAATCTGAGTAGAAAAGCAGCATTCACCACTCTCATAGGTCCCTTAAACAATAATTTTTTTTTTTTTTTTTGTAGATTTCTAAAGAACAAAGAGGACATTGCCAAACTGCGGAAATGCTTTGCTGGATTATGGAGTCTGGATGATCCAGATATCATCAAAAAAGCCATTGAGAGGCCCGAGCTCTTTGTGATGAAGCCCCAAAGAGAAGGGGGAGGTCTCTTATTTCTGATTTTCACTTTGATATTCTTCTTGTTGTTGGGTTGATGTTTTACAGACAATGAGATCATTGCTTTCAGGGAACAATATCTACGGTGATGATGTGAGGACAAACCTTCTAAGATTGCAGAAGGAAGGAGGCGAAGAGGATGCTGCTTACATCCTCATGCAAAGAATTTTTCCTACTGTTTCGCCCACATTTTTGGTGCGTGAGGGCATTTCTCACAAAGATTTTGCCATATCAGAACTTGGAGTATATGGTGCTTACTTGAGGTATGTAACTCGTGCATCAAAATAGGTCAATATTTGACATTTTTTGCAAATTTGAAAAAGTTAAAATGAGGATTCTAAGAGTGAATGATAATCCATGCCCATTGTTCAGTCTCGAGAGAGAGAGTTCACTAATGACCACCTAGCACCATTTCTTTCACACATTTATGCTTGAAATTTTTGTTATGTGCAGGAACAAGGAGAAAGTTATTGTAAATGAGCAGTGTGGATACTTGATGCGGACAAAGGTATCTTCATCAAATGAGGGTGGAGTTGCAGCTGGATTTGCAGTCTTGGACAGTATATACTTGAGTTAACAGAGTAGTTTCATATTTTCTCCAAGTGGATTTATGTTCTTAATCCAAACACTTAATGATTAACTTCGCATGCGTGTTAACAGTATTCAGCACCAGATTTGGCTATTGTTCCGATAAATGGGTCCTCAGGTCAAGATTTTTCTTGAAGAAAAAAATTAATTTCCCCATTTCCATTTTTTTCTGAAAGAAACATTGATAGGCAGGAGTTCCCTTTCTTTTCCTGTTCCCGCTTTGTGATAGGTGGTTTGCCTTCCTGGCATTTCTGTAACAGGTCTTTTGTAATTGTATCAGCAAATAATCTATCTCCGCTATTGCAAAGGGAACCATACATGGCAACTCAAAATTTTAGAATGCAATAACTGTGATGAGTAAAGTTCAAGGGAGATTTGTAATTTTATACTCTTGGTCTTGGTGCAATCTTGTGGAATGTGAGTTGTCATACTCTTAATTTTACTTCCCTGTTCCTCTCGCAAAGAAAAAAAGTGTTGTTTTTTATTTATTGGCAGGATATCCAAGTGCAGTAGCAGATATTGCAAAGGATGAGGCACTGTATGTGGCAATAAAATGTGATGCAGGAAACATAAACCTATAGAAATTTCTCTGGAAGATGTAAATATTGGAAGCAGGTATTTTATTGGGATGCATACAATTGGGCTCTACAAAAGGATTATGTACAAGCTTCAGAAAGAAACCAATCTCTCTCCTTGTAGGACTTCCCTGATTCCTTTACAACAGCTTAGAGAAAGATCATTGTTTTGCAATACATAAAATCACAAAGAAATGCTTGTAACAGAGTGGTAAAATGCAGAATCATTTCAGTTTTCTAATTTCCTTTGCATATAAGGCAGCCTAATAGTGACTCTTTCATATAGAAAAGAGTGGCTAAAAGTGCAAATAGAATATTTATATACACGAGAAGATTGTAAGAAAAGGTTAAACAAGCTACTCCACAATTAAAACCCAATGCTCGTCTTTTTTGCCCTTTTTGATTTGACAGTAAGGGTTATTCTCGGCTCAGCTTGTGCGTTAACCGAGATTAAGTTTCCTTTTTAGGTGATCTTAAAGGGGCACTCCTCACATCAGACTTGTCTTTTTTTATTTGACTATTAATAGTGTTATTATCTGCACAAGTTATATTTTCTCTCCATCCCAGTTCTAGAGCTCGTTGCTCCCACAATGCTGTAAGTTTACGCTCCTCTACCAATCCTGCTTCGGCTCTTTCCCTTCCTGCTTCACAAGTTTCTGTGTGTGCACTACATTTTTGTGCTTCGATTTGGTAATGTGAAGAAGTTATCCTAGCAGTAATTACCAATTTCCTGCTCTGCTCCAATGTTTCATTAGCTACTCTTCTTTGTAAATCAATCTCCTCGGATATTAAATCAGCAACACCCTTCTGCATTTCTTCACTTATTTCTGGATCGTGTTTGCCACATTCTGCAAATGAGGATAGAAGAGTTTTGATTACTTAGTAAAACTAGCTTGACAAAAATTAAATGTAAAGCATCTTTAGCACTTAGCACTGTATAAATCTTCCATGAGTTCTATATGCAATTAAGATATGGAGAAAGTTGTCCATCTGGTAAAGTGGGCAAATGTTAAGAATTTTGTTAGTTCTAAATTCAACACAGAAAAGAGAAAGCAATATAAAAGAACATTTGGTTCTGAAAATAATTTCATCAAATGATTAAATACAAAAAAACACGACAGAAAATACTTTTGGTTCTGAAAACATGATTATGAGCAAATACATGCTTGCACAGTTTTCTATGCACTACTTAGCTGTATATGTTGAATTGTAGGACTTGTTTCTGAGCTGAATACATATGCAAGTGTTATAATAAATTAACCTCTTCCTGCAATATGTTTTATGACCCATAGAGGAACTAGGGCAGCAAACGTTTCCAATTTCAAAGTTTCCACATGAGGTTGTTTAACAACATGCTTAGAGAAACAAAAATCATGTGTACAAAGCGTCAAATGTGAATATTTTTGTGGTTCCAACTTCAACTGCTAGGGCCATTCAATCCCCAAGTAAAGGAAATAAAGCAACATTTTAAACAGCAGATAAAGCAAGAAAGTATGACTGACCTGGGTATGAGTTGTTGATAAATTCTGCAGAATGATAAAGGTTAAAACATAGTTAGAGGAAACATCAATGTTTTAAACAGGAGGGAAAGGACCGAAAATTAAATATTCAAAGTAACTTCACAATGTACAAGAAACAAACAATCAAGATCGAAAAGATAATTAATCAATATTCACCTATATACTCAATTTCTAGGTGCAGAAGGTTAAATAAAGTGGCACTAATTTCAGATTCTTTATGTAGAAGTCCAGGACTGTCCTAAAGTGTAATTAAACTTTTTCATTTCATAGAGGTATGACTTTAGATGCATGATTAAAGGGTACTCTAGCATCCAATCAGGGAAAAAAAAAAAGGGTATCAGTTGGTGCTATTATGTAATCAGCATATAACCAGCACTCAAATGGTGCCATAGTTTAATGATGTTTTTGTGACTGGCAATACTATTTCAGTTGGTGCTCTGCTTTGATATTCATTGAATTGTACCAAAGAAGCCCTTTTATTCCAAAGCAGAAAGCAGCCAATATTCCAAGACTCTAATTAACATCAAATGGTTTGAAAACACAGTTGAGCACTTTTAAACATAAAAAAAGTTTTTATTCAACCTTTCTGCGTGTTAAAGAAGAGATTCATACAAGTGCACAAGCTATCTGCTGTGGAATAGTTCTTCACTTAATTAATTGGAACTTTATACAACTTAGGCCTAAGCAACTAACTGCATTTCATTTGAATATGATTCACATTGATGTTGTGTTTCATGGGATTGACGGGAAAATCTACCATGAATGTACTTGAACTTGTTCTTTGGTGCATGAACTTGACAAAAGCTAATACTGTTGGTGCAAATTCCACCAAATAACTCTGATATATGTTGAAAAATGTGCAAGAAAGTGAAGCCCGATGAAGTTCTCACAGCTGGAACCAAACAGAAAGAAGGATAATGGATAATATATCATCAAATGAGACCTTGTATTTCCGGTACTACTCTGAACCCACAAAACCTCAAGACATTTATTGCACCTAATTAGAGTTTTTCAATGCAAACCTCTTCACCTTTAACCACACAAACCATACTCAAAAAGTATGGGCTAAATCAACCGAAGATTCATACTTCTTGGTCCATATTTCGTAGTATAATTATCAGCATATATTCCTTAAAGGATTAATCAAACGTAGCAGACTGCATTGAAGATTTTTTTTTATTAGCTTAAATCTCCTTGAAAAAGTTGCCAATTGAAAGCTAATCCATCATAACCAAATCTGCTCAGATAACCTAGATGTTAAATAAATTGTTTTTCATATGCAACAAAAAAGTATAGCAACCCATTTTCAGTAAAAAATAAGGTAAGATTATCCCACAGGCCACAACTATAACCAAGTCAATGCTGATGGTAACTTTAATTGGGAGATTTAAAGAAGCAAAACAAAAACACCAACAAAAAAGAAAGAGAAGTCCATTAGATCACAAAATTGATATGAACTAAAAGACATTTCTACCTTGTGGAATTATAGCAAATTACATAAACAGAACACACCATAGTCGTACTAACCACATATACAGATTACAGACCAACCAATTACCGTTTATTAACTACAGCATCAAAAGAGATAAAGAAACTGAAAACTGAACTCTCGGCCAAAAATAGTGCAATTTTTTACACAGAAGTAAAAAAATCTACTAAAAATAGGCTCATTTTTATGGTATCAAAACAGACCCCAGATACGCAAACTAACACACACCCCATGTTTAGAAACGTTAGTAAGAAGCTTTTACTCACCTGATGTCCATGACAACTCCGCTTCAGAGCAATCACAATCACAAGAGCATGAAGTTTGGGCATCATTTGAACTACCCTTCGAAAACAATCCAGGTCCAACAATGTAGACAACAAAGAACATAGCCACCAGCATCAAAACCACCCTTAAAGCGCCATTACTACTCAACCCATAATGCTCTGATGGATAAGCCATCTCTGCAGTCCCAACTTTCCACAATCGAAAACAGAAACAAAACCAAAAATACCAAACTTTATTTTGTTCTTTCAAAGAAAGGAACTAAACGACCAAACCCCAGATATCAAAAGCCGAACTTTTTTTTTACAGAAACATATAAACACAACATTTCAAGATCTGGGTCACACTCAGTTTGGGGATCTGAGTAGTCTGACTACAAGAACTAGACTACGACACTAGTAGTTGTAGTAAAACTTTACTAAAAATATCAATTTCAGTGAATGAACGTATGTAAAAGAAATGCATATTTTTTAGTGTTTTGAGGAAATAAAGGAACCCCGGATCCCTATAAAGCGAAAAACAAATTTACAAGACTTGGAAATGAGTGAACTTGTAGTCAGAGAAAAAGAGAGAGAGTGTGACCAAGGGAGAAAATGTTGAAGAGTAGCTTTAGTGCTTAAATCTTCTACTAGTAATATAATGGTTTGCTTTAATCATTTTGTTGCTGCTTTTGCTGCGGTTAAAGAAGTTTTGGGAAGCTATTGAAGTAGTAGTAATCTGATTGTATTTACAGGCTGTAACTTGGTGTCATCCTAACTTATCAAACAGTTCGAAGAAAGAGAAGAAAAATCTAACTAGAGATAACCGTTCGTTGTTCTTTGATGACCACAATAAAAATAACAGATAAATACGGTTGTCAGTTGGTATTTATCTTTAAAAGTCCATTTTTTGCATGTAACTTAATAAGTTGTTTTGGAGAGCATTTGATTTTTAACAGAACTTAATAAATTACTTTTAGGGTTTGGTACACATTTTGTCATTCCGAATTTAAATTCAAGAAGCTGGATTGGGAATCAGCTGACCCATTCTATTAGTGAAAGTAAAAAATAATCAGTGACCATATAGGTATTGCTAAATAAAAGGGCTTTAATGTACAGCATTAAAGACCATGGTCCGTAAGGCTCAAGTTGAGTATTTATTGCTTGTCGGAATTAATCTCTAGCTGCAGAAAGCCAATCTTGGCGAGTTTGCAGTTGGGCTATCAAAAGTAACATCCATATGAGGAAATTGCCAGCACAGTCCTCGGACCACATTTCTGCATTGCTCGATGCCATGATATCAGGAAGTTTGTCATAGCCTCATAAGAATCTCATAAATTGACAGTTAAACTACTGAGATTGAACAAGTCTTGTTAGTAAATCCCAGTTAAAAGGGTAATCCGCAGTTGGAAGACATAGAAGGCAGGTTTCTTAGCCAAAATTATCACATAATCACATCATAGAAGCTCCTCCTCGGACGATTTCAACATCAGAACTAATTTGTTTGAGAAAATGGTAGATCATACATTGACAAGCAAAAATATACGTCTTCAACATTATTACAATCAATACCAAGTACAATCAATTTCATAACGTGGTGTTGCTCTTTGAGGCATGATCCGAACATTGAATCAAACCCAATATATTTCATTTTCGATATCATGTTTACCATTAGAAGACTACAATTAGTACAGATTGAATCAAAGAATTTTCAATCAATTATCAGGGAAGACTATTCACACATGCCTGAAGAACCATTTTCTTTGTCATCGCATTCTTTGTCCAAGTCTGCTAGATGGTCAAAAAATTCATCAAGGTACCAGGAGCACCTTTCGTTCCACTCACCCCTGTTGGCATCCATCCTCCACTTTTGATCAGTAATCATTTCAGGAGAGAGTCCCCATTCTTGCATCTCTTCCTCTGTGTGATGGAAGGCCAAGCTGTATTCTCCACCGGGTCCCAACTGCATTATTCGAAACTCACAGTTCCCAGGATTATTTAAGCGCTCAAATTGCTCAACTGTCCATTTGAACCATTTCATAAGGAATACACGACAAGTTAACCCATGTGATACGATTATAAGGTTCAAGTCATGGGCAGGGTCTTGGTCAAGCCTATTCATGTCTATGTCCCTCCATACAGATTCAAGAAAACCTGTGAAAGACCAATTTTTAACCTTATTATTCATTCTGTTATAAAGGGTTTTTTTTCAAGCTAGTAAGTTAAAAAGCAGTTCACTTTTTGGTAACAGATTGATCACTTAATGATCAATATATCAAAAACAGCCACAAGAAAAAGCATGAACCAAAGAAGTTTGCTTCTCACTTTCACCATATCATGCAAAAATAAGAATCCACACACCAAGCCACACAATATGATATGGAAAGCTAGAGGTTTTTCTTTACTCCCTCAGGAAAACAGACACTTCAGGTTCAAGAACTACAGGACTAATTTTGAATCATTTCTCTCATGAATATGCCACAAGCAGATCCTATTAAAGAAAACCAAATGGGTTGCACTAAAAAAATAAAAAGTCATGAATTCCCCCACTAGAGATCTAATTTTGCTAACTGTAGCCAAACTTTCGGGAAATTTGTACAAACATCATACAGCAACAGTTTTTCCTAAATTATCAGTTTCCTGTTTCTGAGGAGTTATGAGACTTATGATAAATAGGCCAATAGCATTTAGCATTGCTTACGTGCTGAACAAATAAAATAAGTGAATAGTGCCATGCCCAGGTCATATGAATCTCTAATTAGGTACCCAGAAAAAAGTATATCATTGAAAGGTAAAAGAGATGCCCTCGAGTGCTTGGGCAATAGAGTAGTTACCTCCAATTTTCATATTGCAAAAGATATGGCAAAACATGTTAGCGGTAACACGATTAACCAAAAGCCATCCATATTGACATTCACAATAACTAGACAAGCAATTTCAAAGAACAAGAATTTCATCACTTGCAGTGCTAAATACGTCTCTGCCAAGAATTGAAGATTAAATCATGAGAGCAGCATCAAATTATTTCTAACTTCCACCATGGTTATTTTGCTGACCAATCAAAAATCATTCAACCAATCTGGCCAGAGGGATCAAATAATTGATCCAATAAAAAAGTCAGGCCACCATCGGTGCACATTTAAACAAAGAGCTATTTCAAAGTGGGGAAATACATTAGAATGATATTCTAGCCTTTTCTTTGTCTTTTTTCTGCCAAGCAATAAACAACAAAACCTACATTAAATTAAATCAAGGTAGCAAAACCTTCAACTAAAATCAAGGCTTTAGGCTCCAAAACCAGGTATGAAACAGATTTAATATCATAGAGAATGAAGCAAAATATACCATGTTACATGCAAATATCAGTTGAAAATAAGAAGTTTTTGTTATTAGCACAGTAAACCTCTACAAGATGTTCGAATACCTAATCAAATCCATTGCCTATAACCTCAGATGTCAAAGCCTAACAATGCTAGTTGGTTAAGCATTTTGCAAGATCCAATCCAGCATAAACAAGCTTCATAAGAAGACAAGGCAACTGGCATATAGAAGCACAATAGACTACAGTCCTATGACCAAATTAATAAGCTTTTCACTCAGAAGAAACAAATTAAGCACAGCATTTGCTTATCCTGCATTTTCACTTACAAACAGAGTGCAAACAGATTCAGAGAAGGAACCACGGAATATGGTGCCAAAATCAATTCATGGGATCCCAAAAAGAAAACTTTGAAATTTAAAAAAGAAGCAAGCAAAAAGATTATACCATTATTAAGTTCTCATATAAATCAATCCTCTTACAGCATCCTTAAGTGCTTTTAATCTTAGCAGTATGTTATATCTTCTCTTAACTTTGAAAAAATACTTAATTAGCTATATAATTAACAGACATTCAGCATTCCCATATAAAAACACAAAACAACAAACCAAGCACAACCACCAAATACCCAAAACGACTTCCAAAATTGCAATTAAGAAAAGCTAGCAACAAACAAGCTTAATTAATTAACTAAACACAAATAAACAAGCAAGAAAAAAAAAACAAGAAGCAATTTTTAATGATTTTAACAAAATCCCACTTCTTTTTCTTCCATATTTTTAAATTACCATCATTCTAAATTCCCTTCAACAAAAAAGACAAAAACCCTATAACCCAAATCATCAAACCACACAACAAAAACAAAAACAACCGAAAAAAAAAAAATACTTGAAACAAGAAAATGCAAGACAAGAAGCAATTTTTACACATTTTAACAGGACCCCATTTCGATTTATTCCTCTTATTTCAATAACCATCATTCTAACATTCATTTCAACTGAAAAAACAAAAACCCATTAACACAAATCAATCAAACTAAACAAAAAGAATAGAAAGAAACATACTTGAAACACGATCAAAGACATCGGCGGCAGATTCTCCTTCAGGAAACCTATAAAAGAACCTCCCAAACCTCTCTCTAGTCTCTTTAATAACCTTCATTCTCTCCTTCACTTGAAAATTCCCAAAATCCTGTTCTCTAACTCTACATTCTTCTCTAACCCCAATAATCCTCTCTCTCTTGAACGACCGTCCGATCTCCCTAAGTGTTGATCTTGTCCGATCATAAGGTGACACATAGAAGTAAACCCTCCAGTTCTTGTTGTCGTCATCAGAGATTATGTTGCACAAGTGGTTCCCAGCTTGGCGAGCTTGTGTTAGACCCATTGGAGTTAATGGGATTTTGTTGTCAGGTGTTGTCGTGTAAGCAGCCGTATCCAGGTTGCCTTGTGATTCTCCATGGCGGACAAGGATTATTCTTTTTGGAAGGTGTTTGTCTTGGTGGTGGTGCTGCTGCTGTTGCATGGTTTCTTGATTTGGTTCCGTCACTTTCTCGGTTTTATTGAGTATTTGTTTATGTATGATCAGGTTTTCTTGATTATTGTTGTCAAAAAGGCAAAAAGACCAAAAGTGTGAAAGAGTTTCTTGAATGTGTAATAACAGCGTACCGTTTTATCTGCATATATCGTGCGATGCACATCTTTATGGTCAAAAGCTACAAGCTGCCAGAAATCAAACTATGAAAAAATAATTTTTTTTATTTTCTTAATTTTAGCATGAATAGTATAGTTTTTGCTGGAATTCAAGAAATATATATAACCAACTAGAAAAATACGTTTACTTTGAATGTATATTGGCCGGAAAATATAAACACTGTCATAAAATATATAAAAAAAAGTGTATTTTTTTTCTAATGTAACAAATAAATTAAAATTTTATACTGGACTAGTATTAATATATTATAAATTAAAAAATAAAATTATAACTCTTTTCATATGTCAATGAAGAATTTACAATGATTTAGTTATTGTTTGTTGAAGAACTTGCTTGAGTTGTACTCAAATGACAAGGATTTTTGGATAGCTCTCTGTCATTGTTCACCAAATAAGTAGGTATTATTTGATAATTATTGAGGCAGCCTCAAAATCAAGTAAGAAAATGAAAACCTGTTTTGCACAAAAACCATGAAATCTTCTTTCCTTTTGACCATGAAATTGTGTATGGAAGGAATATTTTGACACTTCCTCCATTGTCTGTCTGCCATCTCTCTGTCATTGTTTTTTTTTTTCCTTGTCGGTGCTAGGAATTACACGATTTTCTTTTACTTTTTTGTAGGTTAAAATGATAAAACAAACCATTCAATTCCAAATCTCAAATTTTTCTCAGGGTAAAAAAAATCTTGGCAAAGGGAATTTGAATTATGATCTATTACGTGCGTAGAGATTTATCTGGTGTTTTACATCCTGGCCTGTAGATAAATATGGATAGAAAGTAAAAAAGATAGAGTTAATTTTCTGGATAAGTCAACAAAGACTTCACAATAATTTAGTTATTCGAAGAACTTGCCTGAGTTGTTCTCAAACATGAGGAGGATTTGGATGGCTACCAGCTGTTATTCACAAGATAACGTCCACATTTTTCAACAAAAAGGAAAAAAATGCCCATAGAACAAGAAATCTTCCTTCCTTTTTGACCATGATCATTATTGTGTATGGAATTTTGACACTTTCTTTCTCCATTTTCTAGCGTTTTCAGACGAATCCCTTTAAATTGTACAATCGTTAGCAAACTAATCTGCATGGCAATTATCCCTTTTGAAAAATATGAGGAATATAGACTTTTCAATCTTCTCAAAAAGCATGGCGAATGCAGACTTTCCGATCTCTGCTAATAACAGAACGCAGGGTTGCCTGTTTCCTTTGCAAGATTAGAATTTTTTTTTTTTTATGTATAAAAAAATATCATTTTTTGTTTTGAAAAATAGATAATTTTTATTTTGTTGATTTTTATGGCTTAAACAAAGACAAAAGGGGACTGAAGGCCTAGAAGACAAACAAAGTAAACGACACAATTCCCACTGGTTGCTAGCCCAATAAGATTGACCCATCAGCCAGGGCCCAAGCCCAGTTTATTTCTTAGCTTTCTCTAATTCTCTTCCCCAGCTTGATGTCCTGTCGGAAAGCACTCCAGCATTCTATCATTATCCACCACTTCATTTAGTGAGTAAAAATGAAAGATTAGCATTTTTTTTTTTTTATGTATAAAAAAATAGCATTTGTTTTTTTGAAAAATAGATAATTTTTATTTTGTTGATTTTTATGGCTTAGACAGACAAAAGGGGGCTGAAGGCCTAGAAGACAAACAAAGTAAACGACACAATTCCCACGGGTTGCCAGCCCAATAAGATTGACCCATCAGCCAGGGCCCAAGCCCAGTTTATTTCTTAGCTTTCTCTAATTCTCTTCCCCAGCTTGATGTCCTGTCGGAAAAGTACTCCAGCATTCTATCATTATCTACCGCTTCATTTAGTGAGTAAATTATAACTAGTTTCTCTATTTAAAAAACAATTAATTGGTTCTTTTTTAAAGAAAAATTAATTATTTAATTTCTTAACTAGAGTTGACAAAGCTTAATTTAATGTTATTTTATTTTAAAAAATCTCATTTTTTTCATTAGTTCTTTCATATTTTTAAATTTTTTTTCTATCTATTAAACAAAAAATAATATAAATGAAAAAAGAACAAAAATGATTAAGTTAAAAAAAATTAAAAATATAAGGACTAAAATAATTATTTTTTAAAACAAAAGGAATTAATTTATTTATTTCTCAAAACGAGAAATACTAATTTATAATTTATTCTCTCGTTCAAATGAAGCTAGTGATTGAAAATCACCATTCAAATTGCTATGGTTATTAAAGTTGATATAATTTTTATTCTTACTTTCATATATTGTTTATATTGCCTTAAATCACTTGAATCATAATAATTTTAATGATGATTAACAATCATTCTGTATAGAATAGTTCCCACTTTTAATAATAATATTGCTTAAAAAAAAGAGCCTTTTGAAATTATTGTTGAGCAAAATAAAATATTTGTTAAGAAATAATGAATGTCCATTATCATGTTTATCCACTTTTCATATCCCCACTACTCATGATTATCAATATGATTCAATTCATCATTCAATATGAGAAATTGAAAGAGTGATGCAATTGATTATTCATAGTCTCTTCCAATTCTCTCCTCAATTTTGAAGCCTATAAATAGGCTTGATTTGTTCATTAGTTGGTGTACAAGTTTCCTAGAGAGAATAAGAGAAACTTTGAAATTCTTATCACTTATATTCACATTATAGTGATTTTAATTTCTTGTCATCATTTTCTTCAATTCTCCTATTATTTATATTTATTTTATAACATGTTATCAATGCACGAGGCTCTAACCAATCGAGACAATAGACCATGAGGTATGTATCTTCCAAAAGACTTAATTAATTATTTCAACCATTAGATTTCTTCGCATAAGTGCTTCTACCAATTGGATCTAAATTATTATTTAGATCATCACGAGGTATGTATCTAATTTATCATGTACTTTAAATATAATGATACATAGATAAACAGTTGAAAAATTTTAATGATTTAATATATAGAATCTAATAACATAATATATATTATTTGAAAGATTCAAATTTTATTATTATGTTTGTATTTATTTAAATTTTATTATTAAATTTTGTCTTTATTTCCTAACATTATTATTGTACTTTACAATAGACAATTTTAATGATATTATATCAACCATCACAAAAAATTTATTTTGTGGCCCTTGACATTTTGGACAAGAATTATTGATCATGAGTGCTTGATCCTAAGTTAATATCATCTACTTTTCATGTCTCAAATATGCTCTCGCAGATAGCATATCAAGAAAAAGAGTTTAAGAAATATTTTGAATCAATTTCATACTTATTCATGGCTAAATAAAATGACAAGCTATTGATGAAAAAGAATAAATCTCGTCCAATTGGATCTGCTCCATTCCCCGAAGTGAATGTGACAATTTATAATAATTTTAGGCATGGACGAAGATGTGGTCATAACCATGGACGTGGTCGAATAGTTATAATCGTAATGACCATAATATTAAATCTTACCACCGAAGTGGATAAATATATATATATATATATATATATATATATATATATATATAATAGATAAAGTAAGCATTCTGAAAATGAATGTTATAAATATGGTATGAATGGACATTAGTCGTGTACCTGCTTGTACACCAAAGCACCTCATCAAGCTTTGTCAATCCTCGTTGAAAAAGGAAAAAAAATATATGCTAATTTTATATATCAAAGTAATAGTAATTGGAATTAATTACTTGATTTTTATATTTATAAATAAAATGCTTTATATTTCTTACAATTTATATTGTATATTGATGGTTACAAATTTATTTTACTATTTATTTATTTGTTTGTGTTTATAAGGAATATATATATTTATTTATTTTGTATTGATTTATTTGATTATTTATTTTATGTTAATATTATATATGATAATATCAATCTAATAGAAAGCTCTAGAAGAGCGACTATATTATTATCTAAAGAGATAGATTTTGAAGGCTCTAGAAGAGCGATTATATCATGACTTGAAGAGACAAATTTTTAAAGCTCTAGAAGAGTGAATAAATTATTATTTGAAGAGAAAATGTTTAAAGGCTCTAGAAGAGTCGATATATTATTGCTTGAAGTAACACAATTTAAAGGCTCCGGAAGAGCAAATATGTTATTATCCGAAAAGATAAATTTATTATGAATGATGTACTATTCTCTTCAAAGTCTCATAGAAATTTATTGAGTTTCAAAGATATTCATCCGAATTGATATCATATCAAGATAACAAATACGAATTCTTATATGTTATAATCATTATATCATGTAGAAAATATCTATAAAAAAATTTATCCGTTTTCTCTTTTAGTCTTTGTTACAAACATTGAAATGATTGAAACCAATATTATAGTAAACCAAAAGTTTACTAATTCAAATACTTTTACTATATGACATCACCAATTGTGTTATCTTGGGTCTTTTATGATGCGAAAAAATTATTAAAAAATTATATGAATATCTATCGAAGAGCCGAAGATTCTTAAATTTAATAAACTTTCTCATGTTCCGCATGTTGCCAAGGCAAATTGATGATTAAGCCATCATCAAGTAAAATTGAGATTGAATCTTCGATATTTTAGAATATATTCAAGGTGATATATGTGGATTAATTCATCCACCATGTGGATAATTTAAATATTTTATGATGTTGATAAATGCATCCACAAGATGGTCACATATATACTTATTATCTACTCGAAACCCGACGTTTTCGAGATTGCTAGCAAATAATTTGATTGCGAGCATAATTTTCAAATTATGCCATTAAACAAGTCACCTTGATAATGCTCGATGAATTTATTTCTCAAGCATTAAATTATTATTGATTGACTATTAAAATAAAAGTTGAACATGTTGTTGCTCATGTTCATACTCAAAAAGGTTTAGCAAAATCATTTATCAAAAGGCTCAAATTGATAGCTAAATCGTTATTTAAAAATAAAACTCTCTGTTTATGTTTGAGGACATGCAATTTTACATGCAAGTAACATTTATTCACATATGACCCATAAGTTATCGAAATTGATTTATGGTCATAAGCCAATTATTTCTTGTTTAAGAAATTTTGGCATTGCATTGTATATCCTTAGTGCTCCTCTATAATGAAATAAAATGAGCACTTAAAAAAGATTGGAAATATATGAATCCTCTTCAATAATTCAATCTCTTGATTTATGAACAAGAAGAAATTTTTACGACTCGATTTATCGACTCGTCATTTTGATGAAATAGTTTTTTCAACATTGGGGGAGAGAATAAGCAAAATAAGCAGTTGAAAATGTTGAAAAAAAAAGATTACATGGAGTACTCTATCTTATATCACCTTGATTCTTGTAGAAGATAATGTGAACTAGAAGTTCAAAAGATAATTCATTTACAAAATATTGAAACCAACCGCCGGATGCATTCTTAGAACTTAAATGAGTAACTAAAATGCACGTCCCCGTCGAGAATGCTCCTATTATAATTAATGTCCCGAAGGATAATCTATTAATATTATAGCTAACGAATTTAAAGCACGCCCGAAACGTGAAAGACCGATCGGTTCTAAAGATAAAAATCCCTAAAAGAAAAGGACAAGATGAAAATATTCACAAAATGGTCCAATATATTTCTAATAATAGGCTTCTGAAGAAGTCCAAATACTTGAGAAAAATCAAGAGATTTTGATAAATTATATCAATGCAGGGAGAAAATAGGACCGAAAAGAAATATCCATTGATAAGATTTTTGCATATAATATTGCAATTGATATTATGGATGAAAATAAGGATCCTAAGCCTAAATTATTGAAGAATATCGACATAAAGATGATTGGCCTAAATGACAAGAGCAATCTAGGCAAAATTATGTTCTCTTATAAAAGAGTAGTTTTTTGAACCCATAGCTAAAACACCCGAAGATGTTAAGCTAGTGGGATACAAATATGTATTTATGCGAAAATGAAATAAGAAAGATGAGATTATAAGATATAAAGCAAAACTTTTAACATAAAAGTTTTCGTAAAGAATTGACATTGACTACGAGGAGACATATTCTCCTATGGTGGATGCAATTGTCTTTTGTTATCTCATTAGCTTGGGAAAATATATGAAAACATTCATATGCATACATTTAATGAATGTGATCACGGTTTATTTGTTCATTTGAAATGATATCGGTATGAAAGTCCTAGAAGGACTTAACATGTCGAAACATGTAATATATATTCTCGAGAAAAGAATTCAATTAGATTATAGAGATCTCTATTAGGATTATTTTAGTATTTTTGTTTTATTATTTTGGTTTTTAAAAATTCAATATATATTAGGATCATTTGAAACATGTAATATTTTATTTTTTTATCAACTGTTTATTACTAACCCGTGTGTATGTGATATAATCACTTCAATGATTATTTGTTGAAATAAAGTTATAAAAAATAACCCTATTTGTTCATATATTTTTATTTGAAAAAGGGTTTGTTGTATATGTTGATAACTTAAATATTATTGGAACTCTCGAAGAGATTCCAAGTGTAATAAGTTACCTAAAAAGAGAATTTGATATGAATATCTTGGGAAAAAAAATATTATCTCAACTCGCAGTTCGAGCACTCGGAGAATGAGATTTTCATTCATCGATCAATTTATATAGAAAAAAGTTCTACAATGATTCTATATAAAGATCATTCATTGACTAGCCAAATGGTAGTTCATTCATTTGATATCCAAAAAGACTCTTTTCGACCTCGAGAAGATAACAAAAACTACTTGGTCCCGAAGTACCATATTTTAGTGCCACTGGTGCATTGATGTATCTTGCTAATAATACTTGACTCGATATAGTCTTTTCTATAAATTTCTTAACAAGTCATAGTTCCGTTTCAATATAGAGACATTGAAATAAAGTTAAATATATATTACGTTATCTTTAAGAGATAATTGATATGGGCTTATATTACTTTAATAAATCAAAGACAAGATTAATTGGTTATGCAGATGCAAGTTATTTATTTGATCTACACAAAGCTCGATCACAATTGGTTATATATTTACATATGGAGATACAACTATATCTTGACGTTCTATGAAGCAAACTACAGCTACAACATATTCAAATCATGCGAAATATCAACTTACGAGGCAAGTCGAGAATGTGTTTGGCTAATATCAATGATCCATCTTATCCGAGAGACATGCAATTTATCTATCGGCAAAAGAAGTTTCAACAATATCATATGAAGATAATGCTGCTTGCATGGTTCCATTAAAGGAAGAATACATCAAAGTGATAATCCAGCAGATTTGTTCACCAAGGTGTTACCTACCACAACTTTTGAGAAGATGATTCACAAGATTGGAATGCGTTGTCTTAGAGATCTTAAATAATGCCTTCAACAGGGGAGACCAAAATAGAGATTAATGTGTATAAGGAATATTATACTCTTTTTCCTTCACTAGGATTTTTTTTCCCACCGGGTTTTTTCCTAGTAAGGTTTTAACGAGGCATGTTCCTTGTACAATGGACATTCAATGGGGAGTGTTAAGAAATAATGAATATCCATCATCATGTTCATCCACTTTTCATATCCCCACTACTTATGATTATCAATATGATTTAATTCATCATTCAATATGAGAAATTGAAAGAGTGATGCAATTGATTATTCATAGTCTCTTCCAATTCTCTCCTCAATTTTGAAGCCTATAAATAGGCTTGATTTGTTCATTAGTTGGTGTACAAGTTTCCTAAAGAGAATAAGAGAAACTTTGAAATTCTTATAACTTATATTCACATTATAGTGATTTTATTTTCTTGTCATCGTTTTCTTCAATTCTCCTTTATTTATATTTATTTTATAACAATATTGTTATTTATTTATTTATTTATTGAATGCTAAGAAATTTCAGTTTCAATTCAGAGAATCCGAAGGAGATATATACGTTTTCTTCTTTATTTTATAACTTAGATTCAAATTTTAAAATCGATATTTAAGGAATTTATTAAATTATAAATACCACCATCTTTCCTTTGCTATTTAGGTTAAAAAAAGTTCATATTCGGAATAAAGTTCTAAGTAAACCTAAATTCAGGATTGCTAGGTTTCTCATTAAATACAAGCCAATATATTTACCTCTCCTTAGGCGATGCAAACAGAAGGTGCCCTTCCACAGACTCTCTCTCTCGTCAACAGAAAGAAGAAGAAGATGGAAGGGGCATGGGCTAACCTTCCTGAAGATTTGCTTGTAACAGTCTTTTCAAGAATGGCTTTCCTTGATCAAATTCGAAGCCGTGCTGTTTGCAAGAACTGGAAACAGCTGACTAAAGATATTAAGCCTGTTGACAAGTTACCGATGGTAATGATATTGAATTGGCGTGAAAGCCAAGGACGTGCTAAGAGTGTATGCAGATTATATGTACCAACCCATCGAAGAGTATTAACAATTAAGAAAGAATACAAGGGAAAAAAAGCATAGGAAATATGTTGGTGCTGAAGTTTGTGATTCTAAAGATGGATGGGTGCTTTTCAGAAAACATCGAGTTGACACAACTTTCTTCTTTGCACACTCTCCTTTTTCTAATGAGATCGTTGAACTTCCCAATAACTTGGGCAGGGATTTCAGAAAGGGCAAGGCTACCTTTTCCTCAAGTCCCACATCTCCAGATTGTGTGTTCTTCGCCGCGAAACATCCTCATATCAGCATATGTCGTCGTGGAGATCAGGTTTGGACGGAAATTAATACTAGTTCAATAGACCGATTTTACGAGGCAAGGGATTTGGCTTTTCTGAATGGAAATTTTTACTGTCTTTTGCGTGGAGGAGCTTTGATATCTTGGAAGGTTGCTAGGCAAAGATGGCATCGTTATGACACTAAGAAGGCCCCTTGTTTTCACACTGGGAAGGATTGCTTGATCGAATCTGATGGGCAACTACTAAGACTGAAGTATGCAAGAAACGATGATAAATATTGGTGCCAGCTCTCAAGATTTGACTTCTCTCAAGAAAACTGGGTGGAGGAAGAAAGTTTGGGGGATCGAGCTGTTTTTGTTAATTCAAGATCGTTCTCTTTCTTGATTCCAGCAGGAGGAGAAGCTAGCGAGCTAAGAGAGACGTTTAATCTTTAAGGCCATACGCACTATAGGTAAATCATCGTCTTCGAAACTATTATGGCTACAGACCTTATTCCTTCGTAACGGGTGAAGTTCTCAAGCGTTGTGAACCTTATAGTAGCCCTGTTGGAGGAGAGTTTAAAGGAATTTGGGTTCAAACTCCTCAATTCAGTACCAACTAGTTCATTTTTTTAATGCTATGTCGATTCCTCTTTTGAGCAGAATTTCTGAATAACGCACTTTTTAGTTGTAATTTCAATCAGCTTTTAGTTTTATTTCTTTTAATGTTCTTTTATATTAAGATTTTCGTGATAAACTAGCATTAGTTATTGGTAACTTGGGTATATTTCTCATCTTGTCAATTGCATTAATTATTCATAATTAATTTTTTTTATCTCATTGACTAATTTCACTCAACATGAGAAACACAAAAATAACGCGATGTTTGTAACTCTAAAAGTATTTTCAATGTGATCTAAGATTAATCCGACAAAAAAAAAAACTTAATTGGAGATAATAAAAGTTAAAAAATTTTCTCAAGTTATTAATAATTCAAAATACTTTATAATCAATTAGTTTCGACAAAATTACTAGCAAATCCATTAGCTTTTATGTTAATATTGCTGTGATAAACTAGCATTAATATTTATTGATAACTTGGTTATGTTTCCCACCAGCTTGTCAATCACATGTACATTAATTGTAATTGTTTGTGCCCTTACACATGGTACGAACAAACACCAATTTAGTATATGCATCAACCGGATATTGTAAGAAGAAGAAGAATTTAAGTTCTTGCTTATAAAAGTAACTGATTTAGATGCAAGTTTATAATTTTACATTTTAGAGGATAGTTTATTAGTATCTATAAAAGAAGTTGAACTTAATTTTGAAAAAATAAATTACAAGATGAACTTCTTTTTTATGAAATTGAATTAAAAAAAAAACCTCGAAGGTCTACCAGAAGTAAAATAGAGCTTGAGATAGAGTTATCCCAACCATATTATCTAATAACAAAGAAGCAAGTCCCTCTAGGGATAAATATGCTGAATATAAACTTTCCAATCCTCTCAAAAAGTAGGGGAAATGCAGACCTTTGAATCTCTACTAATGATTTTCTTGATTCCAAAGATAATAGAACGCAGACTTGCCCGATTCCTTAGCAGGATTAGCATTATATATATATAATAGCATTTTTGTTTTGCAAAATAGATAATTTTTATTTTGTTGATTTTTATAGCTTAAACTTTAGTGCATGGGAAAAATGGCGGCTCCGGGCCCAGAAGACAAACAAAGTAAAAGACACCATTCCCATGGGTCGGCAGCCCAATAAGATTGACCCATTGTAGAGGGCTCAAGCCCAGTTTATTTCTTAGCTTCCTCTCAAATTCTCTTACCCAACCTGATGTCCTGCCGGAAAATACTCCAGCACTCTATCATTATCTACCACTCCATACTCCATTTATGGAGTAAATTATAAATTAGTTTCTCTAATTTTTGAAAAATAATTAATCAGTTCTGTTTATTTTTTTTATAAAAAAACTAATTCTTAGTTTCTTGACTAGTGTTGACAAAGCTTAATTTAATATTGCTTTATTTTAAAAAATATTATCTTTTTTTCATCAATTCTTTCACATTTTTAACTTATTTTTCCTTTTTTTCTATTTATTAAACAAAAAATCAATATAAATTGAAAAAGAATGAAAATGATTAAGTTAAAAAAATCAAAAAATATAAGAATTAAATAATTAGTTTTTGAAACAAAAGACATTAATTAATTTATTTCTCAATACTAGAGAGATTATTTTATAATTTATTATTCTCAATTCATTTAATTGAAGCTACTGATTGAAAATCGCCATTAAAATTGCTATGATGATTAAAGGAGATATGATTTTTATTTTTAATTGCTATGTTATGTGTTGTTTAAACCCTTAATGATGATTATCAATCATTCTGTATAGAATACTTCCAACTTTGAATAATAATATTGCTTAAAAAAAACTGTTGAAATTATCGTTGAACAAAAAAAAATATTTTGTTTTATTTATTTATTTATTATTATTATTAAATCCTAAAAAAAATTTAGGTTATATATATTCAGAGAATCCTAAGGCGATATACATGTTTTCTTCTTTATTTTATTACTCAGATTCAAATCTTAAAATCGATATTTTTTACATACTACCATCTTTCCTTTGCAATCTAGGTTAAAAAAAGTTCCTAGTTGGAATAAAGTTCTAAATAAACCTAAAGTCAGGGCTGCTAGGTTTCTCATTATATACAAGCCAAAATACCTTTTGTTCTCCTTAGACGATCCAAGCATGATAAGGTCCTCGCACAGACTTTCTCTCATCGTCAACGGCAAGAAGAAGAAGATGGAAGGGGCATGGGCTAACCTTCCTGAAGATTTGCTTGTAACAGTCTTTGCAAGAATGGCTTTCATTGATCAAATTCGAAGCCGTGCTGTTTGCAAGAATTGGAAACATCTGACTAAAGATATCAGGCCTTCAGACAAGTTGCCGATGGTAATGATATTGAATTGGCATGAGAGTCAAGGACGTGTTAAGAGTGTATGCGAATTATATGTACCAACCCATGTCAGAGAATTGACAATTGAGAAAGAATACCAGAGAAAAGAGCATAGGAAATATGTTGGTGCAGAAGTTTGTGAATCTAAATATGGATGGGTGCTTTTCAGGAAATCTCTACGTGAGACAGCTTTCTTCTTTGCATACTCTCCTTTTTTTAATGAGATTGTTGAACTTCCCAATAATTTGGAGAGGTATTTCCTACAGGGCAAGGTTACCTTTTCCTCAACTCCGACATCTCCAGATTGTGTGTTCTTCGCCGCGAAACATCCTCATATCAGCATATGTCGTCGTGGAGATCAGGCTTGGACGAAAATTAATGCCAGTTCAATAAATCGATTTTATGAGATAAGAGATGTGGCTTATCTGAATGGAGAATTTTACTGCCTTCTGGATGGAGGATCTTTGATATCTTGGAACGTTGCTAGGCAAAGATGGCGTCGCTATGATGCTTATCAGGCCCCTTATTATTATCATGGGAAGGATTGCTTGATCGAATCCGATGGGCAACTACTAAGACTGAAGTACGTAACAAACAATGATAGATATTGGTGTCAGCTCTCAAGATTTGACTTCTATCAAGAAAATTGGGTGGTGGAAGCAAGTTTGGGGGATCGAGCTGTTTTTGTTAACTCATCATCGTTCTGTTTCTTGATTCCAGCAGTAGGAGAAGCTAGCGAGCTGGCAGAGACATTTCATTTTTATGGCCATACGAGCTATAAGGTAAAAGATTGTTTTATTTTTTATTATGGCTACAGATCTTATTCCTTCATAACGGGTGAAGTTCTCAAGCGTTGTGAACCTTATAGTAGTCTTCTTAGAGGAAAGTCTAGAGGAATTTGGATTCAACCTCCTCAATTCAGTAATAATTAACTGTGTTGATTCATCTTCTGAGCAGAATTTCTGAATAATGCACTCTTTAGTTGGAAAATTTCGATCGGCTCATAGTTTTATTTCTTGTTTGATAAAAAGCTAATAACTTACTAATCCAAAACAAAATAATTTAATTTTTTATTTATTTATATTGGTCTTCTAATTTGTTTTTTTGCAAAATTAAGTTTTTTCATGTCGAGACACGTGTAATTATTAAAATAAGGACATGTGTGTTTTAAATATGATTTGAGAATGAAAAAAAAATATACATTTCGACGTGTAAAAAAATTTGGAGGCTGAAATCGAAAAAAAAAAACCGAAGTTAAGAATTTTTCTCATATTGACCCATACTTCAAGATAGTTTATAACCAATTAGTCTTGGTAAAATTACTAGCAAATCCATTAGCTTTTATATTAAGATTGTGGTGATAAACTAGCAGTAATTATTGGTAACTTAGTTATGTTTCCCACCTTCTCAATCGCATGTATGTTCTATTTTGTGCCCTTGCATATGGTAGGAATAAACACCACCTTAAAATATGCATCAACCAGGATATTCTAAGAAGAAGAATTTAATTAAGTTCTTGGTTATAAGGGTAACTGATTGAGATGCAAATTTATAATTTTACATTTTAGATGATAGTTTATGAGTACCTACAGAAGTTGAACTTGATTTTGAAAAAAAAAATTACATTATTTTTTTTTATGAAATTGAGAAAAAAAATTTGAAGGTCGACCAGAAGTAAAATAGAACTGATTTAACTTCTTTTTTTCCTTATAAAATTGAATTTATTTATTTATATATTTATGATTATTGTTGATATATTCTAAAATTCAAAAAAAAAAAAACATCGCATAATTTTTATAACTGTTAGTATGTGTAAAAATTAAAAATAACAATTGTTTTTTTATAATTTTCGCAATCAATTCAATAATTACAATAATAATATACTTAAATTGCTAAAAAAAAACCTGTGCGCGAGCCTGAAGAAGCAAGCTTAAGGCTCAAGCTTGCGTGCTGGGCTGCTTGAGTAGGCCCAAAGCGCAAGCCTGTGCGCCTCGGCTACCAGAGCAGGCTGGCACAAGACTGTGCACTTGGGCCAGGAAAGACAGCCCGGGTGGTCCGTAGGAAGGAAAAAAAAAAAAAAAAAAAAGCAGCAAAACCTGCAACTTCCAGATAATTGCAATTATTGGAATCCTCGTCAGGAAAATCGAGGTTGCTTTTTGAGTTTGAGGGACGCAAAACCATTTTCAGCATTGCTTTTGCTTCAAAACACTTTTAAAATAATTGAAATAAAACCAATAAACTCATTTAAAATTTTAAAAATTATTCATTACACATTAAAAACACAAAAAAAAAAATCAAATTGAAAAATAAAATTTGTTTTGGACTGCAAGCTACTTTATTTAATCATTTTATAACTTAAAAAATCATAAATAGCCTCTCATCTTCAAGATAAATAATCTGAATGCATGATCCAGCAAAAAACAATTATAATCTCGTTTCTCTCTCCTCCATTCTCTCCTTTTGTTATTCATGAAGGACCATAAATATGTTTTGAAAATAGGATGAATCATAAATATTCTGTGAAAACATGAAGAATTAAAATATATAAAAAATATGCTAAATTTACATATCATTATCTAAAAAAAAAAACAAAAAAAAAAGGAAAAACCATTGGCAAAAATAACGAAAATTGCCAACAAAAAGCAGTTGGTGAAAGCAGACTTAAAGACTCGGTCTATTTTGTAAAAACAGATACTCGGTTTATTCTGCTGGATCCATTAATTCGAGGGTTCATAAATTCTCAATCAAGTACCCATCTCGTATTTATATCAATCAAGTACCCCATCTCTTATTTATATTAAAATTCTTAAAGTTTCCCTGTCCAAAATCAAAAAAGGAGCCACTAACATTTATGATACCATATGCCAAAAATGAGCAGAACCACAGATCCATTTATGTACTTTGGAGTTTGGAATACCTAAATAAGGAAAAAAGATTATCATTTTAAGATGGTACCTAAACTAATTTTTTTACTCATATTAGAGTCAGATAAAATATATAAAATTATTTATTTTGATATCTCGTATTATATTATGCGTCTATCAAAATAAATTAAATAAAAACGAAACAAAAGTTCATTCAATTTTATAATTTTTTAATCAAAATTTTGTATTTGACTAATTATTCTTTATATTTTCATAATTTTTTATAAAAAAATATTATTTATTTATTTTTATCCATATTTTTAGTTAAAAAATTATTTTGTAAATTATTGTTTCAAACATATTTTTAGCTTAAACTTTTTAATTAAAAAAAACAGAGAAAAAAACTAAGAACCAAAATGATCAAAATGAAACAAAAAAGAGAGATCAAAATAAAAATAAAAAAATTGAGGATCAAAAAAACAATATTTAAAAAAAAAGATCAAAATATAATATTATAAAAACTTTCATAATAAATACTTTAAGAATGTTTTGAAACTATAAAAATATCAATATATAGTGAAAAAAATAAAAAATAGTGAAATGAGTTTAGATGAATAATGTTTCAAAGAAAGTGAATAGAAAACAATGGTTTTATTTTTATTTTTTTTATAATAAGAAAAAAGTGACAATTTTTACGGGATAATATAAAATTAACAAATACAATAACGTTCAAATTTCCAAATACAAAAGAGGATGGCTTTATTTATGAAAGAAGAAACTTGATACTTTTACATTATTTTCCATCAGTTTTTGACTTCTGGGTTTTTGCAAAGGTAAAATAGAACAGTCTGAAACTGATGGCACAACTACAAAGAGCACATCATACCCCAATCAGGAAGTGTTGAATGATGTCAAGTTGTCGTGGCACCGGAGCGCAAACAAGATCATGAGCCCTTGGAACAGTTAATCCAGGCCTTTCGGTCATATCAACGGCACCATCGCCGTTGATCTTCTCACCATGTGGGCCAACCAAATTCCATTCAAAACATTGAATCATAGCCGGAAGTGTTGTCGACAGCTCCTGCATGGCCAAGGCAAGGCCAGGGCAGCTTCTTCTGCCAGTACCAAACGGCAACAACTGACAGTGCTGCCCTCTGATGTCCACTGCGGCGGTGTCATTGACGGTATCCCCATTGGATTTTAGAAATCGTTCAGGTTGAAATTCCAATGGGTTTTCCCAGTACTTTGAATCTCTTCCAATAGACCACATGTTCACAAATAACAACGTGTTTTCAGGGATTGTGTATCCGTTGACCTTACATTCTTGGGTTGATTTTCTTGAGATCATTGGGATTGGTGGGTGAAGCCGGAAAGTTTCCTTGAAGATGGCTTGCATGTAATGAAGATTTGGACAGTCTGATTCTTCTACTAGCCTCTTGTTTCCAACGACAGCATCAATCTCCTGCCTTGCTTTCTCGAGGATCTTTGGATGGTTTATGAGCTCTGCTAGCGCCCATTCAGTTGCAGCCGCTGTCGTATCCGTGCCGGCTGTTAAGAAATCCTAAACAAATGTGCAGCACTATTGAGACAAGGACTTCTGTCACGTATATATGGATGTTCTTGTCTTTGCATAGAAATGCTGATTTTATTGAAATGGTATTCCCAGTCAAATTAGTTTGAAAATCCGCATTCATTGAAGGGATAGAATACTCAAAGAGGGTTTAATGGCATTAATGGCAAAAAAATATCATCAAATTATTGAGGTTATAATAATTTAATATTTTTATTATGAATTTGATTTATTTAGATTCAAAATTATTATTTCTAAACAAATATTGTCGTACTTTTATTATTTTTTATGGTCAAATAATTGATAATTAACTTAAATATTTAAATGACTTCGTTTAAAGATTTAAGGGTTTTTTTTTGTGAAAATTTTAATTATAATTAAAAAAAAGTTGATTTAATAAAACTATATGTCACATATTAGGATATATTCTTTATTAATTATTATTATTTTTTAAAACAAAATTAATTTTTTTGAAAAAAAACTCGAATGCATTTATAAGAATAATATTTTTTCAGAAAAACAATAATTTATGAGTCTAAATAACTTAAATTGATAATAAAAACCTTAAATTGTCGTAATTCCAATAAATTGAGGATAATTTTTTTCATTAAATCACTAAATATATCTTTTTAATCAAATTACTTCTAATTAAATACTCCTTAAAAATCTTAAATGTATGGAACACATGGTGATCAGATCCACTGGTCTAATGAGATTTTATATTAAAAGTTTCTTCTTAATTAAATCAATCATTGAAAACTCTGTTTAATGAATAAGTATCGTTTTAATTGGATTAAAGCACTTTTTGAAAAATCGCAATTTTTTAATATACGGTAAGGTCCACTCATCTAAAGATGAGATCGTTCGGGAAGACACTGTTAGTAAAACTGGCATTACTCAACTTTGTATATGTAGAAAATAATAAAATTGCAAATAAACCAAAGTAAAATTAGGTCTTTGTTGTTTGAGTTATTTTGCTCAAGCACTGTAAAAATGAAGGCAAATATCTCAAGTTGCTAGCGAAAAAAGGTTGTACTTACCAAAACCAAGGCTTTAATGGTATCTCTAGTAAATTCCACCCCTGAATTTTGATCTTCCAAAGTATCAAGCATCATGTCCAAAAGATCTTCGGCCTGAAGTTCTCCTCCGCTTTTCTTTCTCGCAAGCTCGCGGTTTGTGATGATATTCTCCAGCAAAGCATCAAATCTTCTGTGTACATCCTCATATTTCTTTCTAAAGCCCTGAAAGTCCAAGTTCCTGCAAAACCATACTAAATCTGAGACATTGAACTCTCCGAAAATCTGTGTCACCTCACGTGCCAAAGTTTTAGCATCATCAGCCTGGCTGTCGTTCCCTGAACACCTGATACCCAACATCATTCGTGAAATTATGTTGTTTGATAAGTTTAGCAACTCTTGAGTGACATTAACACTCTCCCCAAGTTTAGACTTGTTAAGTAGATGTTGAAGTAAATGTTGCAATTCATTTTTTCGTATAGGATGAAATTGGCTAAGGGCCCGGCTGCTTAAGAGCTCAAACGTGCTCAACTTCTTGAGGAACTTCCAAAACGGTCCATAGGGTGCAAAGGCAAAAGAAGAGTTATAGGTAAGGTGAGTAATGGCTCGAGAATCCATTTGACGGGAAGAGAAGGTAAGATCATTTGTCTTGAGGAGTTCTTTAGCAAGTTCGGGTGTGGAGGCCACAACACACGGCACAGAACCAAGCCGGAGAAAAATTATAGGACCATAGCGAGAAGAGATATCACGAAAAGAATGATGAATTAGGGGTTCAAGAAGATGGAGGTGACCAATTACAGGTAAAGCCCGCGGACCTGGAGGAAAATGGTTTGGTCTGTTTGTTAAGATCAAGAATATTGAAAACAACAGAATGCCGAAACCTATTAGCTCAAGCATCATGGCTTATGTAAAATAGAATGGAAATGATTGCTTCTATTATAAAATTTAGAGGACGTGAATATATATATATATATATATATATATATACACACACACACACACATACAGTGAGTGTAGCTTTTTTTCTTTTTTTAACTCACACATCCAATGCTTCTTAGAGGATTAATCTACAAGAATTTGAATCCATAACCTCTTGATGAAAGAGACCATTATCACTAAACTGCAGGATCTTTGATGTGAGTGGAGCCTCATTCAACCTAATAAGATGGAGCATAAAAACATAATTTATCGATCGAGTTCAATTCGGACTCGTGATTCATTAGAGGGTATAATCCATCGATCAAAGTCTCAAAAAAAAATATTACCTTTATAAGACTCGGCTATCTCCCAAAAAGAATTTAAGAATCCCCATATCCTAAAGAACCTCGATCTAAAAAAAAAAAAAAAAAGACATTGTTTTCCTCCACAACCACTAAGAGTACAAAACATTTAATGAAAATTCTTCAATAATGACATTAATCAAATCACCACTCATCGAACCACGAGTAATGTCATCGCACATCAAATACAATGATACTAAAACATCAACACTTATCAATTCGACTCAATAATGTTATCGTGCAAAAAAAAGCCCGAAGTCTCTTTTTGCTCACGCCTAGACCACCATAAGCACAAATTTTAGGTATTGTTCTTAGTATTCTTAATACAACTCTAAAGAGTTCACCTCAAGTTAGATAATTTTAAACACATGTGATGGTTCTATCAATCTTAGAGAATACATGCAAAACGAAAGGGGAACCTTTGAGCTTGTGTTGCATGGGACAAATATCATATGCAAAGTGTTTTTCATTACCTTATGAGGTATCGCCAAAAGGTGGTACAACACTCTAAGTCTTTAATCCATTTTAAACTATAAGAACTTTAGTTCGAGCCAATAACCCGATTTTGTACGAGCATCCTTGTCGAAAGAAGGTTGGCATCTAGCATTTCTCTATCACACAAGCAAGAAAGAAAGAGCATCTAGCATATCTCTCTCGATTCTATAAAGAGATGCTAAAGGTAAATAGTCCGTTAGAACCAGTAGCCATAAAAGCTCTTATTAAAGGAGTTAGCGATACTCATTTGTGAAAAAAGATCTACTCTCTTCCCACCGAAACTTATACCAATTAAAGAACCTAGTTGAAAGCCACATTCGGATGGAGGAAGCAATAGCCGCTAGAGAGACACGTCCCTAATTTCAACGATCGATCGATAATTAGAAAAAAAGTCATCATCTTTCCTTACAAGTTCAAAAAAGAACCTTATGAGGTTTGTGTATAGTCTAGAAGAGTCATCCTCACTTAAAATTCTCGAAGAAGTGCCATCTCTATCACCGGAATCATGGGCATGAAATTAGAGAATGTTATTCCTTGAAAAAAAATCGAGAAGTTGATAATTAGAGATATCTCAAAAGGTTTTTGAGGGATGATCCCAATTACAATAATGATAAACATAAGCACTCCCAAGATAACCCACCATAAATCATTGTTAATCTACTAGGAGAATCCAATCAAGATAAGTCATTGAGGAAAATATCGGGAAAAATATATGGAAAAAAATGTTCCTCACCACAACCCAAATAATGACGTCATGACATAAGCCCATAATCTTTACCTCTAAAGACTCTATTAGGATTTCTCATCCTACCGATTATACCTTAATTATATCCGTCATCATCCCCGAGCATAAAGTTCACTACATCTTAGTAGACGGTGAAAGTTTAATGAATATCATCTCCAAGAAGGTTTTTAGATTTACAGGACCAAAAGCATCTTAACTTAAGTCAATCACTACACCAATAATAGACATAAAGGAGATGAGTAGTTGTAGAAGAAATAGTGCAATTACTCGTCAAATTAGGTTTTTTTTCCTAAGAGATCATTGTTACTTGATCGTTTGCAATTATTCAAATATGTCTAACATACAACGACATCTTTAAGAGACCCTTATTGCATAAAATAGGGGTAGTAACCTATACATAGGTAAAGTATAGCCTCTTCCCATAATTATGACATGTCAAACTTAAAAGATAGTTTCACATTAATGTAACAACACCACATGAGGTGGTAAATTAGACACATAGATGTCTAATAGGAATAATTATTACTCTTATCATAAACATAAGAAAACATAAACAATTATAGAAATAGAGGCACCTAGCGCGTTGTCATGACCTCGAAAGTGGGCCATGACAAATGCAAGAATTAAGGGGACCATAAGGCCTATCTCAACCCAATCAAAGCTCATATATTAGACTAAAATCCTTAAATTGCTACCGGACTTATACTATAGTCCTTAAAGCAATATCACTTTACATATCATTTCATTCAACATTAGCCCAACTTAATAAACATTTCTTACGACCTCAATACAATTAATAATTTAATATTCGTTATTAATTCCTAATGCATTACCCATAACTATAACTACGAGCTTTTAAGATTTACATTTAAAATAATATAGATTTTAAAAAATTACAATTAAAGCAAGTCATATGATAAAAGTATCGACTTCAAGACAAGCAATTCAAAATGAAGCAAAACAACAATCCCTCAATATCCCGTAAAACCGAAACGATAAGGTGTGAGCAATCGCAACTCGGTGAATAGACATTACATAAAATACTAAAAAAGGAAAACAAACTAACGATACTTCTAAATTCAACTCAATATGCCATACTCGGTTTCTTCAAAACACATGCATATCGAAAAATCAAATTGTACGTTATAAATTTAAATGATTCAAAACTATTTCGTATCAAATCATCGAAACCTTTATATAATCATATATCATAATCATAGAAAATCATATATATATATATATATATATATATATATATATATATATATATATATATATATATATATATATATATATATATATATATATATATATATATATATATATATTTAGGTTTTTATACAATCGTCGAGTAATAGCGTATCATTGGGTGTGAACACCCAAAGGTCACGCCTCCGGTGACTAGGTTTTTGCATGTTGGCCAATACACGGGCTAGCACTATACCTCTCTTGCTAATTGGAGCCTTGGATCATCGAGCTCAAAAACTACACCCCCGTAGCTAAGTTTCCTAGAGTCTCGAAAAAATTTTAAAAAACCAAACATACTTATACATTTTTGAAATCGATATTTCAAATACCATACATGCATTTTAAAAATTATATGAATAATCAAAATAATGAGTATAACACATTCACTTTCAAATCCAAAAACACATTTCAAATCCAAGAACACATTTGGTCAAACACATATTCAAATCCCTTTCCAATTTAAATCAAATCATTTTGATTTGAAATCATTTCAAATATTTAGGAAGTCCGTTCCCATCTAAATTCTAATGGAATGCTTCTAAATCATATTTAAATCAATGATGCATGATGAATACAATCAAAGAAATGTAAAACATAATATGCTATATAATATTCACTCACCGTACAAATAGAGAACCGAACAAAATCAAGGTTATGATGGAGTCGCCTACTTCGAAGAATCTAGCAACACATGATGGTAAACTAACCATCAATATCACATCTCAATGAATAATTTAAAACAATGAGTTATTCAAAATAAGCATACAAGATTATCAAATAAAAACAAAATTGATTAGAAAAACTCAAACCAAAACCTAACTCAATTCTATAATTCCCCAATTGATTCTAAACAATCATCTAATCATATTCCATTACCAATCTTCAACTTATTTTTTAAACAATCAACCTTCAATAAGTCGATCCTTAATTCGACCGAATGATCAATTTTATTCTAATTCATCCAAGTACTCATTCTATTAATCTTTAATTATACTTTTATAACTTAACTCATCTTTTTTCCTAAATTCTTTCCAATTAAAACCTAAATTCAAAATTTTCACTATTCATCATCTTCAACCTCTTAATTTCTCAAATTCACTTCAAATTAACTTCTTGATTCACTTACTCAAGATAATTAAACATCACTCAAGTTATTATAATCATTTAGAATCATTTTTTCCCAAATGGGTCTCAAAAACTCTAACCTTAATCTAAGCAATTCCTCAAGCATTTAACAAACCTAAAGCAATTGCATTTCAATATCATCATCAACCGTACATAAACATCTCAATTCAAAGATTAATTGATCATAAATCTTACCTTCACACTTTGCTATTCTAAATCCTAAATCAATCCTAGCTCTCCAAGCTTCTCAAGCTCTAAGCTAGCTAAAGTACACTTAAATCTTCTAATTTATGGTTCTCCTAAGCTAATTTAGCAATAAATTAGCTTAGGAATTGAAGTGAGAATTTAGGAGGAGTTTTGGAAGAAAAATGTGTGAGAGAGGGAGAGAAATGAGAAGAAATTTTTGGAAATGAGGCAACTATTGCCCCTTTTATACCAGCCTTCCTTTTTTTATTGATTTTTAGACACATCTAGACGATTACTCTTTCCTCACTCAAAGCCACCAAATTAAAAACGCTAGGTTAAAAACAATGCTTAATTTACCAAAAGATCACGAATTATACACTTTTTAATGATTTTAGCTCGTTCTTTAAAAATTATATAAAAAGATCACCAACTAAGCGTTCAATAACAATACTAGCATCGATTTTATTTTTTAGCCGAATTACGATCAATGTTGACATGGCAATCCACGTACATAAGCATGACACATGGACTTTAGCAAGCCACATAGGATTCACACCAACAATGACATGGAAAATCAATTATGTGGATCCTACGTGGTCGACTAAAGCTCGCATGTCATGCTTTCATAGATCCTATGTGGCTTATTAAAATTCATATGTCATGCATCGTTATTTGCCATGTCGGCATTGATTGGAATTTTTATCAAAAAATCAGATCGGTATTAGTATTATTATCGAATGTTTAATTGATGATTTTTTTATATAATTTTTAAATAATAAGCTAAAATCATTAAAACGTGTATAGTTCATGATTTTTTA